GTCATTGGGACGACACACAGTACTTTCACCTTTGATAATAAACAGAACGGGGTCACGGCGCTCTAATGTGTGTGGAAACGTGACGCCGAGAGGACGACGGAGGATTGATTACAGTCGTGTGGGAGAGGTTAACGTTAAACTCAATTGAAAACCTAATGTCGTTTTAGTTTCTGTACAGTTATATTTTTGGTGTACGCTTCACTGGGGCTCTGTGAGATACAAGGCCTTCAGGGGATGGGGGGGGCTGAAAACCCAGGGGACAGGGCCTTCTCCGTGCCTCGTCCACGGACCCATTTTGAAGCTCTGTTTTGTCACTGCATGAGTATGATCCTTGTGTTTTGGTCTATTGTTAATATATTTATAGGTTTTGTCCTTTTTGATTTGGAATGATTTTACTGTACTTTTTTAATAAGTTTTAGTCTTTTACTGGTCTTGTCTCTCCAGTTCCCTCTCCTGTCTATCTCCAGTCTCTCTCTGGTCTTTCTCTGGTGTCTCTCTCTGGTCTCCCCCAGGTCTCTCTCTGGTCTCCCTCAGGTCTCTCTCGGGTCTTTCTCTGGTCTCTCTTCAGTCTCTCTCCGGTCTCTCTCTGGTCTCTCTCTGGTCTCTCTCGGGTCTTTCTCTGGTCTCTCTTCAGTCTCTCTCCGGTCTCTCTCTGGTCTCTCTCTGGTCTCCCTCGGGTCTTTCTCTGGTCTCTCTTCAGTCTCTCTCCGGTCTCTCGCTGGTCTCTTTCAGGTGTCTCTCTCTGGTCTCTCTCTCCAGTCTCTCTCCGGTCTCTCTCTGGTCTCCCTTGGGTCTTTCTCTGGTCTCTCTTCAGTCTCTCTCTGGTCTCCCTTGGGTCTTTCTCTGGTCTCTCTTCAGTCTCTCTCTGGTCTATGTCTCTAGTCTCTCTCTGGTCTCTCTCCGGACTCTCTGGTCTCTCTCAACTAAAGAAACTGGTTTAAAAAATGTATTTTTGTGATAGATTCTTATGAAAATTATGATGAATAGAAAGTCACCAACTATTGTTTAAATTGTTCGTAAATCTTCTACTTCCTGAAATGTTTTGTTTTATTCTGAGGCCAATTTGAAATGATATGGGGCAAAAACATGGTCCTGTATGTGGAATAAAAAGGATATTGCCTTTTATCCAAACAGTCCATTTCCGGCTAATAATAACCAGTGAGTAACATTTAACACCGCTCTCTTTTCCCCAAACGTTCTTTTTAATCTGTTGCTCTGGTTCTGATGTGTTTGTGTTGGGATGAGATTGATATTGATGTTGACAGAAGGCATTTCAAACGAGGAACTCATTTTCTCTTCCTGTGGTGAAGTGAAGATCAAGTTTCAATCTAATGAAAATATCTTTATTGTGGAGCCACCTCTGGACCTAACGTTAGTTTCAGTGAAGAGCTCTTCATACGTTTTAACACTGTTATCATCCATCTTTCTGATCCAGACTCTAGAATCTAAAATCGCTGCTGGTCCTAATCTGTCCTCCACCCCCTTTTGTGGTTTTAATGCACAAAAATGTGTCTCTCTGGTCTCTCTCTGGTCTCTCTCTGGTCTCTTTCAGGTGTCTCTCTCTCTGGTCTCCCTCAGGTCTCTCTCGGGTCTCTCTCTGGTCTCTCTCTCTGGTCTCTCTCTCTGGTCTCTCTCTGGTCTCTCTCTGGTCTCTCTCTGGTCTCTCTCTCTGGTCTCTCTCTCTCTGGTCTCTCTCTCTCTGGTCTCTCTCTCTCTGGTCTCTCTCTGGTCTCTCTCTGGTCCCTCTCTGGTCCCTCTCTGGTCTCTCTCTCTGGTCTCTCTCTCTCTGGTCTCTCTCTGGTCTCTCTCTGGTCTCTCTCTGGTCTCTCTCTCTGGTCTCTCTCTCTGGTCTCTCTCTCTGGTCTCTCTCTCTGGTCTCTCTCTCTGGTCTCTCTCTCTGGTCTCTCTCTCTGGTCTCTCTCTCTGGTCTCTCTCTCGGTCTCTCTCTCTGGTCTCTCTCTCTCTCTCTGGTCTCTCTCTCTGGTCTCTCTCTCTGGTCTTTCTCTGGTCTCTCTCTGGTCTCTCTCTCTGGTCTCTCTCTCTGGTCTTTCTCTGGTCTCTCTCTCTGGTCTCTCTCTGGTCTCTCTCTCTGGTCTTTCTCTGGTCTCTCTCTGGTCTCTCTCTGGTCTCTCTCTGGTCTCTCTCTGGTCTTTCTCTGGTCTCTCTCTGGTCTCTCTCTGGTCTCTCTCTGGTCTCTCTCTGGTCTTTCTCTGGTCTTTCTCTGGTCTCTCTCTGGTCTCTCTCTGGTCTCTCTCTCTGGTCTTTCTCTGGTCTCTCTCTGGTCTCTCTCTCTGGTCTCTCTCTGGTCTCTCTCTGGTCTCTCTCTGGTCTCTCTTACTCTGGTTTCTCTCTTGCTCTCTATCTGCTCTCTCTCACTTTAAGCGTAGAGTAAGAAAACCAAAAAGGATACACAGTGATAACATCTATAGACACAGGACACATGGGAGATTGGAACAGCCCCTGGAACTTGCTCCCTCAGTCTTTCCTGCACTGCCAAAGACACACAGCAACAAACAATAAACTATTATTCTGATGTATCTCTCGTTGGTCCGTTTCTACAAAAGTTGTGGCGAAAAGCATTTAAATATCAAACCGGTGCGACCTCTGAGCACATATTGTGATTCCTCCGGAGTACAACAGCATTTGCATTTGCCTGCGACGCCCTGAGCCGTGGTGCATTCACTCTGACATCACACTGGCAGCTCACATCATCACCGAACATAAAACTGGATATTTCCCTCCCAACATGGCGCCCCCTCTTCCCTGGAGCGGTCCTCATTGCCTCCAGCCAAATGTTGTGGCATCGTCCTGCTCCTGCTGAGTGCATTTCAAGAAAACCCGCATTTTTTTATGCCGCTTTTCACCGTGTTACTACATTGTCATTACATTGACATCATGGAATGTATTTACCAGAGATAAATACCATAAATGTTCTTAAATATCCAAGCTCACCAGGACTGTCCGTAGACCGTCCGGTGTCTCCGAGATAAAACTAAAAAACCCAGTGGGAAAAAGGGAGAGAGCCCATATTGAGAGAGAACCCACTCCCACAAACGGAGAGAGAGTCTAGAACCAAAAGGTATAGGACCTTCAGGTGTTTCCATCATCCATCTAGAGCGCCTCTAGTGGCGACATAGAGAAGGCAGCAGTCGACTGAGATTGTGTTAGACCCAACACAATGCAGCTTTAATAATGCTGCACAAACTGTAATGGCACTTAGCGACTCATTATCATTAGCGGTTAATGAAATTCACAATGAGGCCAAATATTCTCAGAAAATGAGCTCTCAACGCTGAGGTTTAATGAATTGTGATACCCCTTAGCCCCAAATTCCAATATACCCCCGAGAATTCTCCCTGTTTACATAAAACAGGGAGAACAATGAGAGTTTCTTTTACAGACAGGGCTCAGTACTTCTTTTCCCATAATGACCTGTGTAATATACATTATCCCGCTTTTATACGGCTTTGTACCAAAGGTTTTCCCGTAGCAGGCTAATAACAGTTAGGCTAGCAACTTCCAAACGAGAACTGTTTTCTAACTACATGGAGATAGAACAAAGAGAACATCAGCGGTGAGTGACCCGAATATAAACTCAACCTAAATCCATAATTCATCCTCTGCAAATGTTTCTTAAATTTGTCCTACTGATGTTAATGGTTACTTCCGGGTTTACAGCAATCACTTTTATTGTTGTCATGAAAACCTTAACAGATCATTCTGAAAACCTTCGTGCACGTGTATTTAGGATGTATATTGCAGTAATTTGTCAGAATTCCCCTGCCCCAGAAGCTGCAGACAGGCCGCAACACAGCCCTTCGTTCTGCAGGTCCTTTTAGTTCAACAAGAGACAAAAACCAATATTAAAACAGTAAATAGAAATGACAGATACCAAACCTGATTTCAAAAGGTTATATTGAAGATTTGCAAGCAATATTACAATATTAACGGTCTGCGAACACAAGTCTCGCTTCGCGTCCAAGATAAGGAGTGGCCTCGGGGACGTCTCACTGCTCTCCTGTCGGACGAAAAAAAAGAGGCCCCCGTGACTGCTCCTGTACATCTTTATACTTTACATCCAAGGTCACTTGACATCACAACTGTATGGACTCTATGACTCCTTCTGGCCCGCTGCCAACGTTTGCACCTGCTCTGATAACCACTTGTCTCCCTCTTGTCCCCCTCCCATTCTCACACAGACTAACCTTGAACTCACTGCTCTTTGAGATTTATACAAACAAGTGCTAATTTGGCAACAGAAACAATACTAAACTGATTTTAATTTTAACTGGTCCAGGAGTTCAATATTCCAACAGTCCCCCTGTTGGCCGGAGAGGAACTCTTCGGACATCCATCACTCTCGTCTCAGATGGCCCATCTTCATCAGTTGATCCAGCATTACATCCTATACTCAGTCTAATCCCAGTCTTCACGACGATCTGTGAACTCCTAAACCACCCCATGTGACATTATGAAAAATGTGGTGGTCTTCCACTCAGCCCTTACTTCAGACCCCCCCCAAAGGCCTCTGGGCGGACTGAGCATCCAACTCGCCCTAAACTACATACATTGAAGTGATCCTATAAAACATTCTATATGTGGGTGTGCTGCGGTGTCTAGTCTGTGTAACAAAAACAATAGTTGCAAGAGCTGTGGAGAAAGAATATGTTTGTGTCGTGCATCAATTTGAATTATGTAATTTTTTATTTTAATTTTTAATTTTTATAATTTTTTATCGCATCCCAGATTTTCCCAAGTCCCTCTTACAATTTTGCAAGGTTATGTGCGTTATTTACATGCAAGCAGTTATACATTTTTGATTAAAATATTTTGATAATGGACTTCCGGTTATGGCGGCCGAGGAATAGGCGCACGTTTAGTCTGCCCCCGCACTATACTTTTCATTTTTAACCTTTTTGACACCGCAACCCCATTTTGTTGCAACTTTTTTGGGTTGTAACTGCCTTTTATGCAACCATAGACGCTAAAAACAAGTTACAATGTCTAAACTCAAAGGAAAACCTGAGAAAGAACCCGCTAGCGCTAGCTTAACTTTGAAAGACATCACGGCGCTACTCGAGGAGCATAGAGAAGCCATTTCGTCAGATTTTAAGTCATCTTTCCAGACCCTCGCTTCAAAACTGGACTGCGTAGAGGCTGCAGTTAAGGATCAAGGCACACGTATCACTTCACTGGAGGACAACGCGAACTCGGTTGATAGCCGCCTTACACACATTGAAAACAACTGGTGCGCGTTACAAAAAGAAAATGATTCCCTCAGAGAGAGAGTGGCGGTCCTCGAGAGTCACAGCAGACGTCAAAACATTCGCGTGGTGGGCTTACCTGAAAATTTGGAGGACGCACGCCCAACCGTTTTCTTCTCCCAGCTCCTGGTTGATGTATTTGGGCAGAACACTCTCTCCACGTCCCCGGAGATTGACCGAGCCCATCGGACCCTCGCTCCAAAGCCCGCTCCAGGAGCCAGACCCCGTCCTGTGATCATCCGCCTCCACCGCTTCCAAGTGAAAGACCTGATCATCCGTGAGGCCCGTAGAAGAGGACCCCTGCTCTACAAAGACCATCCGATTCGCATCTACGAGGACTACAGCCCGGACGTGTTGAAGCTGCGCAGCGAGTACCGCACTGCCATGGCCGAGCTGTATAAGCGAGGATACCGCCCGGCGTTGCTCTTTCCAGCCAAGCTGCGCATCATGATGCCAAACGGGGAGAGGAAGTGGCTCACATCAGCTCCAGCAGCGGAAAAGTTTGTTCAGGACTTGGACAATGACTCCTAAACGTCTGTGGTAAATATTTCCTACCAGTAACTTGCATTATTTCCTTTATAATGACAATGCCACTTGCCAAATTTGCTCATGTAGGAAATGTTTTTCCCTTTTTTTTTTTTTTTTTTTTTTGTTGAAAAGTGAAGGAACCGAAAATGGTTGACCAAGTAATGGGTGTTAATTTGTTTTTATTTATTTTTCATTAAGGTTACTTAGCGTCGTTGAGTTGCTACAGAAAGTCCAAACTTGTTACCAAATTGGATGATAATGAAGACTTGGTGTTTATTGTTTTTTCCGGGTGCGGTTGCAGAGTGTTAGGGATTAGGAAGTTTTACAAAATGCTGATTACTAGATCAGAGGCTTGGCTGTCACCTTTTGTGACAGTCTTTTTTGTTTCTTTTTTATTACCCTCCACCTCCTCCTTTTTTCCTCTTGTGTTTTTATTTTCTACAAGTGCTACTCTCTTTGACAATTACGAATTATGTATCAGCCACAACAATTGGAAACTAACTCTAACTCTGTATGTTGAATAGTAATATCTCTAGGCCGCTAGGTGGTGCCTTAAGACTGGTTAGTTGGAATGTCAAAGGATTAAATTCTCCAATTAAGAGGAAAAAAGTTATTAATCACCTGAAACAATTAAACACAAGAATTGCCTTTTTGCAAGAAACCCATTTGTCAGTCGCTGATCAACTTAAAATTCGATTTGGCTGGGTAGGACAGCTATACCATTCCTCTTTCAATAGTAGAGCACGTGGTGTTGCTATCCTTGTTCACAAGGCTGTCCCATTATCAGTGACTGATGTGATTTCAGACCCTAATGGCCGTTATATTATAGTTTTAGGGAAAATATCTGGAAATAATCTTGCTCTTGTGAACATATATGGACCAAATTTTGATTGTGAAGATTTCTTCAAGAAATTGTTTTTTAATCTTCCTGACTTGAACAGTAGACAGTTTATTATTTCAGGTGATTTTAACTGCTGTCTTGGGTCTCTTGACCGTTCCTCCAATAAACCATACTCTGCATCAAAGTCCGCAAAAACAATAGAACTATTTATGCAGCAGTATGGTTTCTCTGATGTCTGGCGGTATTTCAACCCTAGTGCCCAACAGTATTCTTTTTTCTCTCCAGTCCACGGTACATTTTCAAGAATAGATTTTTTCCTGCTGGAAAATAGTTTGCTTCCTATGGTGAAATCTTGTGTATATACACCAATTGTAATCTCGGACCACGCTCCCATTACACTAGACATATCTTTTCCAGGGAACACTCTTTCCCGATCTCCATGGCGTTTTAACTCTCTCTTGCTTGATGATGCAGAATTTGTTAAAACTATAAGCGACCGAATTGACCTTTTTATTTCTACAAATGTTACACCAGACATCTCTGCAAGTGTCACATGGGAAGCTTGTAAGGCCTTTTTGCGGGGTGAAATAATTTCTTACACAGCCTATAAAAACAAGGTGGCCTCTCAAAGAAGCCAAGCCCTTTACGCAGCCATTTCTGACCTGCAGGCAAGGTGTGCAGATTCACCTTCGGCGGATTTGTCTAAGGAACTGTTAGTAAAAAAGGCTGAATTTGATTCATTGGCCACAGAAGAGGCAGTTAAATCTATAGCTAAGACCCGGTTCAACTACTACGAGTTTGGTGATAAGCCCAGCAAAGTGCTGTCTCATCAGATTCGCCAATCAGCAGCTGCGCAGCACATCACTGAAATCTTTGCTTCGGATGTACTGACAATTAATCCCCAAACTGTTAACGACCAATTTCGGGATTTCTACTCCTCTCTGTATACAACTGAATGTCCGCCTAATAATGACTGTTATGAACATTTCTTTTCAAGCCTTACCATTCCAACACTTGACCCAATTTTAGCTGAGAGTCTGGACAGGTGCTTCACTGCTGAGGAACTAAAGAAGGCTGTTATGTCCATGCAGAGCCGAAAAAGTCCCGGGGGAGACGGATTCCCAGCAGAGTTCTATAAGGTTTTTGTTGACAAATTGTCGCCCTTGATTCTCAATATGTTAAAAGAATGTTCTGTCACTGGTGTCCTTCCCACCACTTTACGCCAAGCAACCATTTCATTTATTTTAAAGAAACATAAAGACCCACGGCACTGCAGCCATTATCGACCAATCTCGTTGTTGGGCACAGATGTAAAAATTTTAGCCAAAATGCTTGCAAAACGTCTGGACTCGATAATGCCCAAATTAATCAGCCCGGATCAGACAGGCTTTATTAAGTCCAGGCAATCTTATCATAACATAAGGCGCCTTATGAATATCTTGCACTCCCCCTCGTCATCTCATGTGCCTGAAATTGTCATTTCCATGGATGCCGAAAAGGCATTTGACCGGGTGGAGTGGCCTTTCTTATTTTACACCCTGAAACGTTTTGGATTCTGCAGCAAATTCATATCTTGGATTCAATTACTTTATACCTTGCCTATGGCACGTGTCCGCACGAATAACGATTACTCTGAATACTTTCCATTGGGCCGCGGTACCCGTCAAGGGTGCCCCCTGTCTCCCCTTCTTTTTGCGATTGCCATAGAGCCACTTGCCGCAGCCATTAGATCCAGTTCAATGCGGGGCATCTTGAGGGGAGACAGGGTTCACAAAGTATCGTTATACGCTGATGATCTCCTGCTTTTTGTGTCGGACCCCGATGTTTCTATGCCTCCAATTTTGACTTTATTGGAGGAATTTGGACAGATCTCAGGGTATAAGCTGAATCTCAATAAAAGCGAACTTCTCCCAGTTAACTCTGTGGCCACTAAACGCAAATTTTCAAATTTACCATTTAAAATTTCTCTGGATTGCATTAAATACCTGGGGATTAATGTAACCTATAACTTTTCAGATCTATTCCGTTTCAATTTTAATCCACTGCTTGATCAGCTGGCCAAAGATATAGAACGTTGGTCGACCTTACCACTCTCTCTTGCGGGAAGAATTGGTTGCGTTAAGATGAACGTTTTGCCCAGGTTCCTTTACCTTTTCCAATGTTTACCTGTGGGTATACCCAAGAAATTCTTTCAGACCCTTGACAATACTTTATCACAATTTTTGTGGGGCGGGAAACCCCCCAAACTGCGCAAAATCGTGCTACAAAAGGGCAAAGAGGAGGGAGGACTTGCCTTACCAAATTTTCTGTTGTACTACTGGGCTGTAAATATACGCACAATGCTATTTTGGTGCAGCAACAGCAATGATAAACCACTCTGGCTGTCGGTGGAGGAGACCTCTTGTCACTCTGGCTCTTTGTTTTCTCTCCTATGTCTCCCTCTTAAATCATCACTTACATCATACTCTGATAATTTTATAGTGAAAAACAGCCTTAAAATTTGGAACCAATTTAAAGAACATTTCTTTATTCAGGGAATCCCTCTTCTCTCCCCGCTTCACTCCAATCCCCTGTTTCCTCCATCGCTGACTGATGGAGGATCAGATCACTCCATGATACATCTGGTTCCTGCTTACAGACAGAGACTAAAGCTCTCAAAACCTGCAGTGAGGAGCTCCAAAGTGTGGTCTGATGAAGCTGTGGAAGAGCTGCATGCATGGAATCTACAGACTGGGACCTTTTCAGAGCTGCCACAGACAGCTTGGATGAATATACGGACACTGTGACGTCATACATCCACTTCTGTGAGGATAGCATCATTCCAACAAGGACCAGGGTCATCTATAACAACGACAAACCCTGGTTCACTGCTAAACTCCGGCAGCTCAGGAAAGCAAAGGAGTCTGCTTTCAGGGAGGGGGACCGCAGCGGCTACAAAGCAGCTAAATATCAGTTCAGGAAAGAACTGAAAGCAGCCAAGTCCCGGCACAGAGAACGACTACAGGAGCAGTTTGGTAACAACGATACTGCTTCTGTCTGGAGGGGCCTACGGGAGATCACCAACTACAAACCCAAAGCCCCCCCCTGTGCTGATGACCACAAGCTAGCTGACGAACTGAACTTATTTTTCAGTCGCTTTGATGCTGACCCTGACACCTCTCCCTCCCCCACCCCCCACTACTCTAACGACCCACCCATCAGCCCTGCCCCCAGCCTAACAATAGCCGCTAAAGAGACTAAACAACTCTTCTTGAGGCTGCACCCCCGCAAAGCTCCTGGCCCGGACCACGTGTCTCCGGCCACTCTGAGACACTGCCCCAGTGAGCTTACTCCTGTGTTCACTGACATTTTCAACACCTCTCTGCAGTCCTGCCATGTCCCGGCCTGCTTCAAATCCTCCATCATTGTCCCCGTCCCGAAGAAGCCCAGGATCACAGGACTCAATGACTACAGACCTGTAGCACTTACGTCTGTCGTCATGAAGTCATTTGAACGCCTGGTTCTTTCCCATCTCAAGTCCCTCACCTCCCCCCTCCTGGACCCCCTGCAGTTCGCCTACAGAGCCAACAGATCTGTAGACGACGCCATTAACCTGGCCCTCCACCACATCCTACAGCACCTGGACTCCCCGGGGACCTACGCCAGGGTCCTGTTCGTGGACTTCAGCTCTGCCTTCAACACAATCCTGCCATCCCTGCTCCAGGACAAGCTCTCCCAGCTCAACGTGCCCGATTCCACCTGCAGGTGGATCACTGACTTCCTGACGGACAGGAAGCAGCGAGTGCGTCTGGGGAAGAATGTCTCGGACTCTCGGATTATAAATACAGGAGCCCCACAGGGCTGTGTTCTTTCTCCCCTGCTCTTCTCCCTGTACACCAACCACTGCACCTCCAGCCACGACTCCGTGAAGCTGATCAAGTTCGCGGACGACACCACCCTCATTGGACTCATCTCCAACAACGATGAGTCCGCCTACAGGAGGGAGGTGGACCGGCTGGTGTCCTGGTGTCTCCTACAGGAGGGAGGTGGACCGGCTGGTGTCCTGGTGTCTCCTACAGGAGGGAGGTGGACCGGCTGGTGTCCTGGTGTCTCCTACAGGAGGGAGGTGGACCGGCTGGTGTCTCCTACAGGAGGGAGGTGGACCGGCTGGTGTCCTGGTGTCTCCTACAGGAGGGAGGTGGACCGGCTGGTGTCCTGGTGCAGTGGTAACAACCTGGAGCTGAACGCCCAGAAGACAGTGGAGATGATTGTGGACTTCAGGAAGAGCACTGTCCCCCCGCCCCCACCCTCCGTGATGGACTCCCCCATCACCTCTGTGGAGTCCTTCCGTTTCCTGGGCACCACCATCACCCAGGACCTCAAGTGGGAGCCGACCATCAGCTCCCTCATCAAGAAGGCCCAGCAGAGGATGTACTTCCTGCGGCAGCTCAGGAAAGCCAAGCTGCCTGCACAGATGTTGGTGCAGTTCTACACGGCCATCATCGAGTCCATCCTCACCTCCTCCATCACCGTGTGGTTCGCTGGAGCCACAGTCAGGGACAAACAGAGACTACAGCGCATCGTGCGCTCTGCAGAGGAAGTGATCGGCCGCAGCCTTCCATCGCTGCAGGACCTGTACGTCGCCCGAGCTCGAGGCCGGGCTGGTCGTATCACAGCCGACCCCTCTCACCCTGCACATGGACTATTCCAACCACTCCCCTCTCACCTGCACATGGACTATTCCAACCACTCCCCTCTCACCTGCACATGGACTATTCCAACCACTCCCCTCTCACTTGCACATGGACTATTCCAACCACTCCCCTCAGGCAGGAGGCTGCGGTCCATCAGGACTAGAACCTCCCGCCACAAGAACAGTTTCTTCCCCTCTGCTGTTGGACTCTTGAACACTTCTTAACCTGTCCCCCCGCCCTTTATAAAGTCACTTTACTGCCCATCATACGTCACTTTACTTCACTGTACTGCTGTCACCTTACATTGTGTGTGCACCATGTGCACTTGTATATTGTAAATAGTAACTGTAACTCTATTTTAAATTTAAATTTATTCTTTAGAAGTGTTTTTTATTCTTATTTTTATTATCTCTTTTTGACTGTTGCACTGAGCCAAAGCAATTTCCAAGTCTGTGACCTCCCGTTACTTACGTTGGCAATAAAAATGATTCTGATTCTGATTCTGATTCTGGAACCTTTACCATATGGAGAAACCAGGGACTCGCCTCAGTTAGAGAATTTTACATAGAGGGTATTCTGGCATCCTTTGCCCAGTTATCTTCCAAATTTAACCTGCCAAATACCCACTTTTTCCGCTTCCTACAGGCCCGACATTTTATTAGTAAACATTTTTCAAGTGCTCCTATCATTCCCAATACCACCACAATTGATGCACTTATGACACTCAAGCCTTCAGCAAAAAAGGTACAATTTCTAAAATATATAGTCTTTTGTTTTCTTTACTTAATGTTTCATCAAGCAATCTGCGAGTAGCATGGTCTGAGGAACTTGGAGTGGAGATTAATGATGAACAGTGGGGTCTTGCTCTTAAACGTGTTCATTCTTCATCTATTTGTGCGCGACACTGTATCATTCAATGTAAAGTGGTCCACAGGGTCCATTGGTCGAAGAGTAGACTAGCTCGAGTCTTTCCAGGCTCTGATGATAAGTGTGTGAGATGCCATTTAAGCCCAGCAAATCTTTCTCATATGTTCTTGACCTGTCCTTCACTGACTACATACTGGGACACTGTTTTTGATTCCCTGTCCTTTATTTGTAATGCCAGAGTTCAGAGGTCCCCATTGACAGCCCTCTTTGGCACACTGCCTCCCGACCACACCTTACAACCCTACTGTGAACGTCTAGTGGCCTTTCTAACACTGTTGGCTAGGCGCTGTATTTTGATGCATTGGAAGGACCCTCACCCACCAACTCATTCTCTATGGATTAAGGACGCTCTTTCATTCATGAAACTGGAGAAAATTAGGCACTCCCTCAAAGGCACTCTCTCTGAATTTTCAAAAATATGGATTCCTTTTCTAGACCATGTTATGTCTTTGACATTGAATGTGGCTCCTTGACTGGTATCTTCTTAAATAGTCTGTTGAAACTAAGTGGTTGACAGATTTACACATTTCCTATTTACTTAGTAGCACCCCCCCCCCCCCCCCCCCCTTTATTTTATTTTATTTTGTTTTATTTATTTTTGTTATATCTTAACAGTATTTCGGATATTTGTTATCTTTTGAGTTGTATGTTGTTTATTTATCTATATCTTTTTTTACATGTGACAAATATCTCTGCCTTGGGTGTGCACTTTACTTTTTGAGGATACCATTTGCATTGTACTTGTCTACACACCTTCCTTTGTAAACTGTTGGAATTATTATGAAAATCTATAAATAAATCATACATAAAAAAAAATATTTTGATAATATCATAAAGCATACTCACTGAATGATGGAGAAGAGGGGGGGGGGGGGGGGGATGGTGTGAGGGGGGGGGGGGGTTAGGAATTATAGTATAGGTGTTTATTATGAGATGGGAATGGTTGTGTGATGAAGTGGTAGTAATGAGGGGAATATAGGAAATTTTGATTGGGTGTGAGGGGGGTTAGGTGGGTTAAAATGAAGGTTTGGGGTGGGTATTGGGTAGTTTTTGTGATTTGGGGATTTTAGAGATGGATTTAAATGATTGGATTTGTTTTTTTATGATTTGGTATGGGTTATGGTAATTTTTAGGTGGGTTTTGGAGTTGTGAGTTAGATGGATGGTTTGTTGGGGTGGGAGTGGGGTGAGAGTGTTGAGTTGAGAGTGATAGGGTGGGTTTTTGTTTAGGTAAGATAGATTTAATTGAATGTAATGATAGTAGGTTGTGGATGGGGGTTGGGTTAGGAATGTGTTTGGGGTGGGGGATTGATTATTTTTTTTGGGTTGGGGGTTGGGTATGGATTATGGGTGGGATTTTTTAGTTTAGGGGGATGGGGTTTTTTTTGGGGGTTTTGGGTGTGAGGATGGATATTTGGGTGTTGTGGTTGGGGGGGGGTTGGGTGTGTGGTTTTTGTGTTGGTGTTGTTGGGGGGGGTGTATGTGTTTGGTTGTTTGGGGTGGTGTTTGTGTTGTGTTGGGATTGTTGGGGGTGGGTGGTTGGGGGGGGGGTTGGGTGTGGGGGGGGGGGGGTTTTGGGGAGGGGGTGGGGGGGGTGGGGGGGTGTGTTGTGGGGGTGGGTGTTTTTGTGGGGTTTTGTTGTTGTTTGTGTTGGTTGTGTTTTGGTTTTTGTATTTTTTTGTTTAGATTGGTGGGTTGTGTTTGGGGGGTGTGTGATTGGTGTGGGGGGGGGGTTGTTTGGGGGGTGTTTGTTGTTTTGTTTTTTTTTTTGTGGGTTGTTTGTTTTTGTGTGTGTGGTGGTGGGGTGTTGGGTGAGAAAGGGGGTGGGGGGGTTGGTTGTTTTTTTTTGGAGTGTAGTGTGGGGTGGTGGGGGGGGTTTTGGTGGGGGGGTTGGGGGTTTTGGTTGGTGGTTGGGTGGGTTGGTTGTGTATGTTGGTTTGGGGGGGTTGGGGTGTTTTGTGGGTGTGGGGTTATGGGTTGTGGGTGGTGGGTTTGGTGTTGTTGTTGGGGGTTTTGGGGGGTGGGGGGTGGTGGGTTGGGGGGTGGTGGTGGTGGGGGGGGGGGGTGTTTTTTGTGGGGTTGGGGTGGTGGGGGGGGTTTGGGTGTGGGGGTGGTTGGTGTGTTTGTGGGGTGGGTGGGGTGGGGTTGGGGTTTTGGTTGTGGGTTGGGTTGTGGTGGGGGGGGTGGGTGGGGTGGTGTGGGTGGGGTGTGTTTTGTGGTGGGGGGTGGGGGGGGGTGGTGGGTGGGGGGGTGTGTGGGGGTGGTGGGGGGGTGGGGTGTTTTGTGTGTGTTGGGGGTTTGGTGGGTGGGGGGTTGGGTGGGGGTTGGTTTGGGGTGTGGGGTGGTTGGGGGGTTGTGGGGGTGGGGTGTGTGTGGGGGGGTGGGGGGGGTGGGGTGGTGGGTGGGTTGTGTGGGTGTGGGTTGGGTGTGGTGGTGGGGGGTTTGGTGTTGGGGGGTGGGGTTGGTGGTGGGTTGGGGTGATGGGTGGGTTGTGGGTGGGTTGTTTTTGGGGGGGGTGTTGGGGTGGGGGGGGGGGTTGGGGTGGGGTTGGGGTGGTGTTGTGGTTGGGGGGTTGGGTGGGTTTGGGGGGGGGGTTGGGTTTTTGTGGGTGGGGTGGTGTGTGGGTTGGGGGGGGGGTGGGTGGGGGGGGGGGGGGGGGGGTGGGTTTGGTGGGGGTGTGGGGGGTGGGTGGGTTTGTGGGGGGGTGGTGGGGTGGGGAGGGTTGGTGGTTTGTTGTGAGGGGTTTTGTTTGTGGGGGGGGTGGGGTGGGGGGTGGGGGGTTTGGGGGTGTTGTGTGGGTGTGTTGGGTGGGGGTGGGGGGGTGGTGTGGGGGGGGGTTTGTTGGGTTTTTGGTGTGGGGGGGGTGGGGGGTTGGGGGGGGGGGGGGTTGGGGGGGGGGGGGGGGGGTGTGTGGTGTGGTGGGTGTGTGTTGGTTGGGGGGGTGGGTGGGGGGGGGGGGTTTGGGTTGGTTGGGGTGGTGGTGTGGGTGGTGTGGGGGGGGGGGGGGGGGGGGGGGTGTGGGGGGGGGGGTGGGGGGGGTGTGTGGGTTTTGGGGGGTGGGGGGTTGGGGGTGGGTGTGGGGTGGTTGGGTGGGGGGGGTTGTGGGGGGGGTGGGTGGGGTTGGGGTGGGGGGGGTGTGGGGGTGGTTTGGTGGTTGGGGTTTTGGGGGTGGGGTGGGGGGGGTGTGTGGTGGGGTGGGTGTGGGGGTTGGTTTTGTGTGGGTGGGGGGTGGGGGTGGGGGGGGTGGGGGGGTGGGGGTGGGGGGGGGGGGGGGGGGGGGGGGGGGTTGGTGGGTGGTTTTTGGGTGGGGTGGTGGTGGGGGGGGGGGGGGGTGGGTTGGGGGGTTGGGGGGGGGGTGTGGGGGGGGTGGGGGGGGGTGGTGTTGTTGTGTGTGTTTTGTGGTGGGGGGGGGGGGGGGGTGGGTTTGTGGGTTGTGTTGGTGTGGGGGTGGGGGTTTGGGGGGGGGGGGGGGTGGTGTGGTGGTGGGGTGGTGGGGGTGTGGGGGGTGTGGTGTGTGTTGGTGTGGGTGGGTGGGGGGGGGGGTGGGGTTTGTGTTTTTTTTTGTGTTTGTTTTGTGGTTGTTTGGGTGGGTGGGGGGGGGGTTTTGGTGGGGTGGGGGTTTTGGGGTTGTGGTAGGGGTTGGGGGGTTTGGTTGTTGGGTGGGGGGTTTTTGGGGTGGGGGGTGTGGGTGGGGGTTGTGGTTGGGGTTGTTTGGGTGTTTGGGGGTGGGGTGTGGTGTGTGTTTGGGGGTGGTGTGATTTGGTGTGGGGTTGTGTGGGTGGTGGGGTTGTGTGTGTTTTGTTTGGTTTTTGGTTGTTTTGTGGGTGTTGGGTGTGGTTGGGTGGGTTTTGTTTTTGGGTGGTGTTGGGGGGGTGGGGGGGTGGGGTGTGGGGGGTTTTTTTTGTTTGTGGTGGGGGGTTTGGATTTGGTGGTTTGGTGTGGTTGGTGGTGGGTTTTGTGTGGTTTTTTTGTGGGGTTTATTTTTGGGGGGGGGTTGGGGGTTGGGGTTGGTGTGGTGTGGTGTGGTGTGGGGGGTGTGTTGTGTTGGTGGTGGGTTTGGTGGGGGTATTGATGTGGGGGGGGGGTTGTGTTGTGGGTGGGGGTGTGGGGTTTTTGTTTTTGGTTTGTGTTTTTGTGTTGTGTTTTGGGGGGTTTGATTTTATTGTATGTTTTGTTTGGGTTGTAAATAGGGTTGAATGGGGGAGGGGTGGATGGATGGATTTGGGGGCGGGGGGGGTAAGTTATGTTGGAGTTTATTATAAGGAAATTAGGGGAGGAAAGGAGTGGAGAGTGAGGAGTTGAGTTTTATTTAGATGGGTTATATAGGATAGGTGGTAAAATTAAGTATAGGTTTTTAAAGTTTGGGGAGGTGTTTGGGAGGGGAAGGTAAAGGGAGTTAGTGTTATGATTAGAGGGGGAAAGGTAGTGATAGGAAAGGGGTTATAGATAAGGTATGAAAGGTTTAAAGTAGTGGAAGTATAGAGTAGGAGAAGGGGGGGGAGAAGATGTGGTGAGGGGAATGTGGTTGAGGGAGAAGATGATGGGGGGAGAGGGGATGGAGGGTGGATGGGGGGGAGGGAATATAAGGAAATAGATATTAGGGGGGGGGAGGTATGGGGGGGTTTTTATGAGGGGGGGAGGTTGAGGATAAGAAGGGAGAATGGTTGGGGTGAGGTGAATTGGGATATTTAGTTATGAGATAGGTTGAAATTTTGAGGTTGAGATTTTGGGGTGGGAGTTATAAAGAGGAGGGTTTGGGGAGGGGGAGTGAAGAATTTAGGGGGATTTGGGTGAAAAATGGATAGAGAGGTGGGGTAGGGTATATGGGTTGGGGTGATGGGGTGGTGGGTGGTTGTTAGGGTGAGTAAGTAATTAAATAAGGGGGATAGGGGGTGGTTTTGGACTGAGTATTTTTTTTGATTAAGGTAGTGTTATGGAAGGTTTAGTGTTTGGTTTAGGGGTGGAGATGTTAGGGTGTGGGTTTTTTATTATGTTTATGTTTGTTTAGATTTTGTGGAGTGTGTGGAGAGATAATTTTTTTTGAAGGATATTGTTGGATTGGAGTTGACTATAAGTGGGGGATTTGGTGGTTTGGGGAAATAAGTGGTAAAGGAAGGTGTTTGGTTATTTATTGGGTATTGTTGTTTGGGATTAATATGTGGTGATATGGTGCCATATGGGGGGGGGTGGGAGTTATGGGAAAAAAAATTGTTGGATGTGGATATATGGGTGTAGGGTTTGTTAGTTGGGGTAAATGGGAGGTATGAGGGGGGGTGTTAGAAAGAGGTTGAGAGAAGTAAGTATATTGGGGGAGATGGATGAATATGTTGGTAGAATGATGAGAAGGGAGTATTGTAAGGGATTGGGAAGTTGTGGGTGATGTTGTGGGGTTAGTGGTATTAATAAGAATGTAAAGATAAGAAGAATATGTGAATGGGTGATAATAGGGGTGAGGGAAAGAATAATGTGTGTTGGGTGAATGATAGGGAGTTGGAGTATTATTGGGATGGGTTGGTGTTATATTGGATGTAATTGATTTGATTTGGAGGGTTATTTATTGTTTATGTTTTTAATTTTGGTTATATTTATGTTTTTTTTGTGTTTTTTTTTGAAATGGGTGGGATATGGTTTATTTTTGGAGGTTATGTGGGGGTTTATTGGGGGATGGTGGGTGGGTAGGGAAAGATATATGATGGTTGTAGGGGGGTTTTGGGTGATGAGGTTGAGGGTTTTATTATGTATTGGGGTGGGTGGGTAGTGGGTTTGTTTTTGTATGAAAGGTGTTGTTGTGAAAGGGGATTGGGGGGTTGTTTGTGGTTATTGTGTGGGGGGGGGGTGTGAGTGTGGTGTGGGTTGATTGATGTGGTGGGGGGTGGGTTGGTGTGTTTTTTTTTTTGGGTGGGGTTTGGTGGTGTTGGGGGGTAGGTTGGTTGGGGTGGGTTTTGTGTGTTTGGGTTGGTTGTGTGGTTTTTGGGGGTTGTTGGGTTGGTTGGGTGTGGTGTTTGGTGGTGGTGTGGTGGTGTGTGTTTTTGGGGTTTTGTGGGAGGGTGTTGTTGGTGGAGGGGTGTGGGGTTTGTGTGGGGTTATGGGGTGGGTGTGGTGGTTGGGGGGGGTGATGGGGGGGTGGGGGTTTGGGGGTTGGTGGGGGTTTTGGGTTTGTGGGGTTTTGGTTGTTTTTGTGGGGTGTGGGGGGGGTGGGGGTTTGGGGGGGGGGGGTGGGGTTGGGGGGGGGGGTGGGGGGGGGTGGGGGGGGTTGTTTGGGGTGTTTGGGGGGGGGTGGGTGGTGTGGGGTGGGGGGGGGTGGGGGGGGGGGGTGGGGGGTGGTTGGTGGGGGGGGTTGGTGGGGTGGTGTGGGTTTGTGTGGTGGTTGTTTGGTTTTTGTGGTGGGGGTGGGTGGGGGGTTGGGGGTGGGGGGGTGTGGGTGGTTGTGGGGGGGGGTTGGGGTGTGGGGGTGTGGGTGGGGGGGGGGGTGGTGGGGGGGTTGTGGGGGGGGGTGGTTGTGTTTTGGTGTTGGTGGGTTTGTGGTGGGGGTTTTTGTGTGGGGGTGGTGGGGTTTGTGGTTGTGGGTGGGTTTTTTGGGTGGTGGGTGGGGGGGTTGGGGGGGGTGGTTGGGTTGGTTGTTTGGGTGGTGGGGGGGTGTGGGGGGTTGGGGTTGGGGTGGGGGGGGGGGGTGTGGGGTTGTTGGGTGTGGGGGTTGTTGGTGGGGGGTTTTTGGGGTTGGGTGTGGGTTTGTGGGTGGGTGGGTGGGGGGGGGGGGGGGGGGGGGTGGGTGGTGGGGTGTGTGTGGGGGGGGGGTGGGGGGGTGGGGGGGGGTGGGGTGGGTGGGGGTTTTTTGGGGTGTGTGGGGGGGGTGTTTTGGGTTGGTGTTGGGGTGTTTTTTGGTGGTTGGGTTTTGTGGGGTGGGTGGGTTGTGTTGGGGTGTGTGGGTGGTGGTTTTGGTGGTTGGGTTTTGTTGTGGTTTGTGTTGTTGGTGGTGTTGTGGGGTTTATGTGGTTTTGGTTTTTGTGATGGGGGGGTGTGGTGGTGGTTGGGGGTTTTTTGTGTGAGTGGGGTTTTGGTTTGGGTGGGGTGGGGGGGGTTGGGGGTTGGTTGGGGGTGTTGGTTTGGGTTGTGGGGTTTTTTTTTTGGGGTGGTTTGGTTTGGGGGTGTTTGAGATTGTTTTGTTGGGGGTGGTATGAGTTTGGTTTGAGGTGGTGGTTTTTGTTATGTGTGGTTTTTTTTGGGGTTGGGGGGGTTGGGGGTGGGTGGGGTTGTTTTTTGGGAGGGGGGTTGGTTTGTTGGGTGGGGGGGGGGGGTGTGGGTTGGTATTTGGTGGTTGTGGGGGGGGTTTTATGGTGGGATTTGGGTTTTTTTTGGGGGTGGGTGTGGGTGGGGGGGGTGGTTGTTTTGTGTTTGGGGGGTTGGGGGTTGGTGTTTGGGGGGGGGGTTTGTTGGTGTGTTTGTTGTTTGGTGTTTGGGGGGTTGGTTGTTTGTGGGTGGTGGTTGTGGTGTTGTGTGGTTGTTGTGGGGGGGGGGGGGGGGGGTTTGGGTGGGGGGGTGGGTGGGGTGTTGTTGGTGGTGGGGTGGTTTGGTTGGTTGGGGGTGGGGTGTGGGGTGTTTGTTTTGGGGTGTTTGTTGTGGGGTGTGTTGTGTTGGGGTGGTGGGGGGTGTGTGTTGGGGGTGGGTTTGGGTGGGTGGGGTGTGGGGGGTGGTGGGGTGTGTGGTTGGTGGGGGGTGGTGTTGGGTGGTTGGGGTGGTGGGGGTTGTTTGTGTGGGGGGGGGGTGTGGTGGGGGGGGGGTTGGGGGGGTGTTTTGAGGAGGGTGGGGGGGGGGGGGGGGGGGGGGGGGGGGGTTGGGGGGGGGGTTGTGGTGGGGGGGTTGTGGGGGGGGGTGGGGTGGGGGGGGGGGGGTGGGGGGGGGTTGGTGGTGGGGGGGGGGTGGGGGGTTGGGGTGGGTGTTGTTTGGGGTGGTGGTTGTTGTGGTTGTTGGTGGGGGTGGGTGGGGTTTGTGGTTTGGGTTTTGTTTGTGGTGGGTTTTGTATTTGGGGTTTGGGTTGGGGTTGTTTTGTGTTGGGGGTTATTATTGTGTTGTGTGGTTGGGGGTGGGTTTGTTTGTTTGGGTATTTTTGGGGTTTGTTGTGGGTGTTTTTGTGGGTTAGTTGGGGTTTGTGGTGAGTTGAGTTGGTTGGGTTGGGTTGGGGGGGGGGTGGAATTTGAGTGGGGGGGGGGTTTGATGATTGTTTGGTGGATTGGGGTGTGGGGGTGTTGGGGTTATTTTGTATTGGGGGGTGATTATGATTTAGATAATTTGTGGGATAGTGTTTAGGGGGGGGGATGGGTAAGGGGGTGGGTTTGTGTTTTGGTTGTTGGATATTAGGGGAGTGAAGGATATAGGATGTGTAGAAAAGATTAGAATGGGAGTTAATTGATTATGGGGAGATAAGGGTAGGGTTGTGGGATGATTTGAGGATGGTTTAATGGGGGGTTTGTTGGGGGTTGAGGGATGGGAGTGGTTGGGGGGTTATGGGGGGGGGGGGGAAGAGGGTTAGTTTTGGGGTAAGATGTTATTGGAGGGGGGAGAAAGAGAGAGAGGGGATGGGTTGGAGTATTTGTTAGTTGAGTGTTTGGGAGGTTATATGTGGAGGTAGGTGTATATTGAAAGGAATTTTTTTTGTTTGGGGAAATTTGGGGGTTTTATGGTTTGGGGTAATTAGTTGGTTAGGGAAGGGATAATGTAAGTTATGTTTGGTTTTTTTTTTATTTATTTTGGGGTGTGGGTTGGGGGGAGGATTGTGGGGTGTGGGTGGGGTGTTTGTGGGGATTGGAGTTGGTAGGTTTTTGTTTGGTTTGGGGGGGGGGTAAGAGGGGGTGGTGGATTAATTTGGTAGGAGTGTAGTTGGGTGTGGTTGGGTTTGTGGGTAGGGGGGAGTGAATGGTGGGATGGGGTTGGTGTTTAGGGGGGGGGTTGGTTGGGTATTGTTGGTTTGGGTATTATGGGTGTATGGGTGATTGGGGTGGGGGTGTGGGGTGGGGTGTGGTGGGGAGGGGGGGTTTGGGGTTTGGGTTTTTTTGGTATTTTGGGGTATTGGTTGGGGGGGGGGTTGGTTGGGGTGTTGGTGTGTTTGGGTTTTTAATTTGGGGGGGGTGTTGTTGTTATTTGTGGTTTGTTGTGTTTTTTTGTGGGGTGTGGTGGGTGGTGTGGGTTTTTTTTGGGGTGGGTGGGGGGTGTGTGGGGTTGGTTGGGGTGTTTTGGTGGGGTTTGTGGGTTGGGTGTTTTTGGGGTTGTGGTGGTGTGGGTGTGGGGTTGGGGGTGTGGGTGGTGTGGGGGGTGGGGGGATGGTGTGTGGTGTTTTTTGGGTGGGTGGTGTGGTGGTGGGGGGGGGGGTTGTGTGTTGTGTGGGTGGTTGTGGGGGGTGGGTGGTTGGTGTGTGTGGTGTGGTGGTGGGTGGGGGGGGTGGGTGGGGGGGGTGGGTTGGTGTGTGTGGGGGGTTGGGGTGGTTGTGGTGGGGGTGTTGGGGGGTGGGGTTTGGTGGTGGGTGGGGGGTGGGTGGGGGGTGTGGGTGGGGGGGGGGGGGTTTTTGGGTGGGTTGTTTGGGGGGGGGGTGTGGGTTTGTGGGGGTGGGGTTGTTTTGGTGTTGTTGTGTGGGTTGGGTTGGGGGGGTGGTTTGGGGGGGATTTGGGGGGGGGGGGGGGGGTTGGGGTTTTTGTTTGGGGGGGTGTTGTGGTGTGTGTGTGGTGTGTTTAGGTTTTTTGTTGGGGGGGGGGTTTGGTTATTTTTGTGGTTATAAGGTTAGTGTAATATATTTGGTAGTAGGATAGGGGGTATGGGGGGGGGATGGATAGGTATAGGTTTTATTTTTGTTAAGATGGATTATAATTTGGGTTTGGTTTTTGGGGGGGTTTGGTATGTGGTTAGTAGGTATGGTGGTTGTGGGTTTTTTTTTTGGTGTTGGATTTTTGTTTGGTTAGGGGTTGGTTTGTTGATTGTTGGGGGTAGTTGTGGGTTTGTGGATTTTTGGTTAGGGGGGGTTTGTGTTTGTGTGTTTTTTTTGGGGGTGATGGGGTATGTGTTTGGTGGGTTTTTGTGTGAAGTGTTTGTGTTTTGGTGGTTTTTTGATTGGTGTGTGGTATTGTAGGGGGGGGGGGGGGGGGGGGGGGTGGGGGGGTGAGATGATGGGTTGTTTGTGTTGGTGGGGGGTATTAGAGGATTAAGGGGGTAGGGTGAATTTTGTTGAGGGGAGGGGGTATGGAATGGGGAAAGAAGGAGGTTGAAGGGAGTGTAAATTTGGAGGAGGTTGGGGGGATTTGGTTAAGAAATTTATGATTGTAAGATTTATGAAAGTGAGGGGAGATGAAGGGGTGGGATTAGTTGTATTTTTAGTTTAATTGGGTTTTATGTTGTGTTTTGTATGTGTAATTTAAGGTGGGAAATTTTGGTGTGGGTTTGGGATTGGGATTGTTAATTTGTTAGTAAATTATGAGAGAGAGGAGGAGGATGTTTTGTGGAAAAAGGTAGATATAGAAAGGGATGTTTTTTGGATTTTTGGAGAAAGTAATAGGGAGGATATGTATTGGGTATAGGTATGAATTGATAGGGTATTATTTAGGTGTAATTGTAGAATGAGGGAAAATGGAATTAGGGGTGTGGATAAGAGAGGTGTTAATAGGAAAAGAGGGAAAAAGAAATGGATATAAATTAGTTAAGTGTTAATAGATAGGGTGTGGGTAATATTTATTGGATTTGGGGATTATTTATTGTAGTTTAGGTGGTTGGGGTTAGGAATGTGGATTGTGAATTATTATGTGGAATTTGGGAAGGGGGGAATTTAGAGGGGAATATGGGGGGATGGATGGTGGGGTGTTGGGTGGGGTTAAACGATTGGTGGGGAGGGGGTGGGGGGGTTGAGAGAGGGTTTGGGTTGGGAGAAGGAAATAGTAGAGGAGAGGGAGGTGGGGAATATGGGGAAATAAAAAGAAATGGGTTTAGGAATGGGTTATGTTGGGGGGGATTATGGTATTATGGGAAGGAGTTTGTGTGGAGGGGTAGGGAAAAAGGGGTTAAGGATTATGGGAAATATTGGGATGGAGGATTTATGTTTGTGTGGATTTTTTTTGTGGGGGGGATGGTGGATTATATTGGGTATATTGTGGTTGGGGTTATTTTGGGTGGGGTGTTGGGTTTTAGGGTGTTATTTGTTTTTTTAGGTTTTGAGGGATATTGTTGAAAAAGGGGAGGGATGTGATATTTAGATAGAATTTGGATGTGGGTGAGGGGGTTGGATTGTGAAGTTTTGAATGATGTATTGTGTTGGATAAGGGGGGGGTTGATTAGAAAGTTGTTTGGATAAGGAAGGGGGTTGGAGATGGGGGAGGGGTTTAGGATGTTGTTAATGTTGTATTTTTATATAATGATGGGCAAGTGTAGGGGGGGGAGGGGGGTGGTGGGTTTTGAATGTGTGTATGTTTTGTGGAAATTAGGTTTATGAGATTTGGGGATAGGGGGGATTATTGGTGGGGGTTTTGGGTTGGTGTGTTTATAATAGGATTTTAGTAATTTAAAAAAGTAAAGAATTTAGGGATGAGATTTATTTTTGTAGTGATGTTGGATAGAATTGTGAATGTTGATAGATGGTGGTTGGGATTTTGTTAGTATGAGGGTAGGGGTGTGAGGGGGAATGTTATTAAATTGATGGGAGGATTTTTTTTTGTATTATTTGTACAAAAAATAATAATTTTGGTGATTAATGATCGGATATTGAGAAGGGTGGGTTGGTGGGATTTGTTTTTTGAATTGGAGATTTTGTGGAATTTTTTGGAGGGGGGTTTGGGGGAATAATAATAAGGGGTGGTTATATAATTTTGGTGTTGTTTGGGAGGGTATGTGTTTAATTGTTGAGTTAGGGGGGGGGAATATTGGGGGAATTTTAGGGTTGGGGAGGGTTTTATTAGCTAGATATTAAAGTTATATATTTAAAATAGGATTTATGGGGGGGGGGATGATGATGGGAGGGGGAAGGAGGGAGGAATGATGGTATGGTTTGGAGTTTTTGGGTGTTTGTGGGGGTGTATTTGTATGTATGGAGGTTGTGTTAAGGGGGGTGGATGTTTTTTTAGTTTATAGGGTAGGTGTGGGTGAGGAAATTTGTATTGTATTTGTTGTTGGGAAGTTGTGTATTGGGGTTGGGGGAATTGTTAGGTGAATGGGTTTGAATTAGATTTGGGAATGTAATTGAATGTTGAGTTTGAAAGGTTTGGGTAGTTTAGATAGGGATATTTATGAGGGAATTTGAATTTAGATATAGATGGAGGGGGGATTTTTTGGGGATGTTGGAATGGATAAGGTGGGGATTTTTAGGGTGTTTATGTAAATTTATTAGGGGATGAGGTTTGGGATTGATTTTGGTGAGAGTATTTGGTGTAATTTGGATTGTTGTGGGAATATGGAAATAGGGATGGGGGGTGGGGGGGGGGGTTTTTGGGGTTTGTGATTTGTTTGGAGGAATAGGAATAGTGGGGGGGGGGGATATTGGGGGTTGGAGGTATTTTTGGTTTGGGGGTGTGTGGGTGGTGGGGTTGTAGGTTTGGGGAGTTTGGGGTTTGGGGATATTTGGTTTTTGTAGGAATTATTAGGTGTTATATTTGTGGGGGGGAATGAAGTTGTGGTGTGAGTGAGGGTGGAATGGGTTAATAGTTATATGGAAGGGTATGGTAAAAATGTGGGGAGGAGTTAAAGAGTGGGTGGTTTATTTGAAGTTGATATATAGTTGGGGGGAGAGTTTTATGGAATATTAAGATGAGGGGGGGGATGTAAAGGGATGTGGGGGGGGGTAGGAAGGTTGGGTGTATAATGGGGTTATAAGAAGAAAGAATGGTTTTTTAAGGTGGATTGATTTAGGGTGGTGGGTGATGATAAGTTAAAAAGGTTTTTAGGAAATTGTTGGAGGTGGGTAATGGGATGTGATTTGTAATTTGAGGGATGAGGGGGGTGTGGATGAGTAGAGATGGGTGGAGTAATGATGTGTGAAGATTGATGAAAAGAGTATATTGGATTGGGGTTGGTTATTTGGGGGGGTATTAAGGGGTGTGATTTTGGAGGGGATTTTTATGGTGGGTGGGTTTTTTTGGTGATGATGTGTATTGTTGTGAGGGGGGTTGGTGGGTTTAGGGTGGGGTTTGGTTGAATGGGAGGGAGGGAGTTGGAATAGAAAAGATGGTGATTATGGTGAATTTGAAGGGAGTGATAGGAGATTGGAGAATTGTGAGGAAATTAAGGTGGAGAATGGGGGTGATGTGTAGGTTAAGGGGATTAAAAGGGGGGTTGGAGGAGGTGTAGGGTATTTGGGGGTAAGGTATTGTGGAAGGGGGATTGTTGTTAATTATTTATATGGAGGAAAGATTTGATGATTGGGGTTGTGAGGGGGTAATGAGTTTTTTTATGGAATTGATTTTTATTGGGGGGGATTTTATTAGGGGGTTTAGGGTGATGGGATGGGGAGAATGTGGGTTAGTATGGGGATTGGAAGGAGAATATGGGAGGGGGAATTTATAGGTTTTATAGATGAATGGATTTTGATATATGAGGTGAAGTATTTTAATTTGGGGTATAAATATGGTGAAAAAATAAGATGAGATAGAGGAAGGGGAGATTTTGTTTAGTGGTTTTAAGGAAGGGGGTATTGAGAGAATGTAAGAGATAATTTTGTGTGTTTGGGTGGAAATGTTGGTTAATGAAAGGTAGAGGTGTATATGTAGTGGGTAGAAGTGGTGAAAGTGATTTAATTTATTGAGGTGGGGATGTGGTTGAGTGTTTTGAGTTATGAGTAGTTTGTGGGGTGTATAAGAAGAGAGTATTGGGTTTTAATGGGGTTTTAGGAGGGGGTTAGGGATGTATTAGGTGGGTGTGTGTTTGTGGGTGAGGGAGGGGGTTGGGTGAGGGTGTTGGGTTGTGGGGGTTGAGTGTAGGGTGGGGGGATATAGGGGGGTGAAGGGGGGTGTTTGGAGTGTGTTTGTTTAGGAAGTGAGGAAGTTGTTGGATAGGGTGGGTTTTATTGAGTGTAGGGGGGATTGGGGAATGAGAATAGAGAAGGAGAAAGGGTAGAGTGGTGTGGGTGGGTATTGAGTATTTTGGAATATGAATGATGTATTGTAAGAAAATAAATATGGTAGGGGTTTAGGGGGTTAAAGATGGGTTGGTAGGGGTGTTAAAGATGGTTTGTAAGTAAGATGAAGGGTGAAAATAAAATAGAAGATTATGGTATTGTTTGTAGGGATTGGTGATAGGGGGGATTTAAGATAGTAGTTGGTATAGGGGGAATGGGATATGTGGATAGGTTGGTGGAAATAAGTATTTGGTATAGTTTTTGTTAATATTGAAGGATGTTAAATGTTGGAACATTTCAATAATCGGTAAAAATAGGATGTAGAAGTTTAATGGAATTAGTGTCATGTATATTTTAAGCATTGGGGTATTATAGATTTGATTTTATGTGAATTTTTAGAGATAGGTTGAGTTTTGTTATAAGATAGTGAATGTGTAGTGAATTATGTTTTTGTGTTTAGGTTTGTATTTGTAGTAGGAATGTATGTTTATTGGGATAGATAAGGTAAGGAGGAGGAAGCGGAATTGAGGAAATAGGGGTTTGGTTGGTTGTTATTGTTTTTTTGTTTTTATTAAGATTTTTATGGGTTTTTTTTAGATTGTTGTGATTGCAGGGTAATAGATGGAAAAAAGTTTGTGGAGGGATAATATATTATAATTTTTTTTTTGGTATGAATGTAGAGTTGATATTATAGATTGAATGGTGAAATTAGAGGGGGGGGAGGGATTTGTGAGTAGGGGGGTGATGGGGTGAATTTGTAGATTGATAAATGGTTAAAAGAAGGGGTAGAGAAGAAGAAAGAAGAGGAGGATGGATAAATTATGGAGAAAGGTGGAGGGGTAGGTAAGAAAGGGGGGGGGGTAGGTTTTATTTTAGGTTTTTTTTGTATGTTTATATTAGTTTAGAGGAGGTGTATATGGTGAGGGGGTTATAGTGGTAAGGGTTTAAGTTAGTGAATTTGGATGAAGAGTGATTGGGGAGAGTATGAGTTAGGGGAGGGTGGGAATAAGGTTTGATTATATGATTAGGGAGTGGTATGAGGGGGTATGGTGATAGGGTATGGAAGAATTGATTTTGATAATTTTTTGGTTGGAGAGGAGGGGTGGGGGGGTTGGATTGTATGGGGGGTTTGGTGTGGGGGGGTGAGGTGAATATATGTGTTAAGTATGAATGATGTGATGGATTTTATGGGAAGGGGGTAGGGTGTGATGAGAGGGTAATGGTTTTATTAATTATTGTTGGGTTGTTAGATTGATTATAGGGTTTTTGAGGGAGATTATTATGGAAATATGTTTGGGAGGGGGGGAGATATGAGGGTGTGGTGAGGGGGTGGTGGGTTGGGGAGGGAATTATTTGGGATGTAAGTATGTGGGTAGGTAATTATTAGTGTGATGGGGGGGTTTAGTGTTTGTAGTTTTGGGTGGTGAATTTTAGTTGTGTATGTGGGTTGTAAGGGGGATTGAGGGGGAATTTGGTTTTATAGATATGGGGTGGGTGGTGGTGGGAATTGGTGTTGGTTGATATTTGGTGTGTTGGGGGGGAAGAGTATGGGGTGGTGATAAGATTGTAGTAGGTGGGTTGGTGTTTGGGGGGGATATGTGGGATTGGGTTTGTTTGGTTGGGAATGGGGGGGTGGTTGTGTTTGGATGGGTGTTGGGAAGGTTGAAGTATGTAGGTGGTTGTGGGGGTTGGGGTGAATGGAGATGGGGGGGGGTTGTTTAATTGAGGTGTTGTTTGTGGGTGTGTGGGGGTTTATGGTGTGGGTTGGGGGTTTGGTGTGGGTGGTGGGTGAGGGGGGTAGGGGGTGGTTAGTGGTTGGGGTGGTGTAAGTGGGGTTTGTTTTGGGGTGGTTTGGGGGGGGGGGGTTTGGGGATTGGTGGGTGTTTGTTGGTGTTTGATGAGGGGTTGGGTTGTATGTTGTGGTTTTTGTGGTGTTGGGTTATTTGGGTTGGGTATGGGTTGTTGTGTTTTTTTTATGTGGGTGTTTTGGGGTGTTGTGTTTGGTTGGGTGGGGTGAGGTGGGGGTTTGTTTTTTGGTGTTGTGTTTGTGGTTGTGGTGTGGTTGTGGGTGGTTTGGGTTGGGGTTTGAGGTTTGGTGTTTGGTGTGAGGGTTTGGTGTTATGGGGGTTTTTATGTTGTTATATGGGTTTGAGATGGTGTGGTGGGTTTTGTTTGTTGTGTATGAGTTGTGTGGGGTGGGTATTTTGGTGGGGGGGTTGGGGGGGGTGGGGGGGGGTGATTTTGTGGGTGTTATGGGTGTGGGTTTGTGGTTGGTGGGGGGTGGAGTGGGTTTGTGGGTTTGTGTTTTTGGGTGTTTGTTGGGGGTTGTTAGGTTTGATGGAGATTGTTTGATGTTCGTGGTAGGGGGGGGGGAATAGGATTGTAATTTTGATGTGGGTTGTGTTGGGTGTTGGGTGTGGGTTATGTGGTTATTGTGTTGGGTAATGTAGATTAGGTATTTAATGGGTGTTAGGTGGGGGTTATTTAGTGATGTGGGGATGGTGTGGGATGTGGTGGGGGGGTGTGTTGGATGGTGGGTTGGGGGTTGGGTGTAAGAAGAGATTGTTAGGGTTTGAGGGGGGGTTTTTAAGTTTTTGTGGTATGGGTGTGATTATGGTTGGGATATTTTGTATGTGGAATGGGGGGGGGGGTTTGGGGGGGTGTGGTGTGGTGGATGGGGTTTGGTGGGGGATTGGGTTGTTTGGGAGGGGGTTGGGTTGTATATTTTGTTTGGTTGTTGGGGTTGGTTGGTTGGGTTTGTTATGGTATTAGGGGGGATATTTTGTATTGTGGGGTATTTGGGGGTTAAGGGGAGTTTTGTGAGGGTGGGTTGTTTGATTAGTGAGGATTAGGGTTGATAGGGATTTTAGGGGAAATTTGGGGAGAAGAGTTGGTAGGGTGGGGGGAGGGGATGAGAGGATAATGTATTAAATTTATTATTTAATGAAAATGGAGAAAAGGTTTAAGGGGGTTTTTGGGGGTAGGAGGGATTGTTTGTTTAGAGAGGTGGTGGGAATTTTGTTGGTGTGGTTGATTGAGATTATGTTTAGATGTTATGGGGGGGGGGTTGGGGGGGGAGGTCTGTGGGTAGGTGGGGGGTGGGGGGATGTGTGTGTTGAGTGTTGATTTGGGGAATGTGGGTAATATGAATTGGAAAATTAAGGGTTGGTGGTTAGGGAGTTTTTGTGTGATTTGGGAGTGTATGGTATGTGTGATATGGAAGGATATTTGGGTAGTAGTGGTAGTTTTGGGTTTGATTTGGTGGGGTGGGTTGGGTAGTGTATTTGGTGTAGGGGTTAGGGGGGGTGGTTGGTTGGTGTGGTGTTATGGTGTGGGGGTGGTGGGGTGTGGTGTTGTGGGTTGGGGGGGGTGTTGTTTGGTTGTTTAGATGGTTTGGTGTGGTGTGTGGGGTATTAGGGGGGGGGTAGGGTTTGGTGGGTGGTTGGGTTGGTTTAGTTGGTTTTTGGTTTGTTGGGGTAGATAGTGAAATAGATGGGTTGGGTGGTATGTGGTGTGTGGTATGGGGGGTGTGAATTTTTTTTGGTGTGTTTGGAGGAGTGTTGTAATTTTGTGGAAAGGGGTTTTGTTGGGGGGGGGGATGGAAGGTTATATTATGGAAGAATAGAGTAGTATGTGTATTATGTTGTGGGATGTGGTTTATATGGTAGGGTATGTAAGGTAAATGGGGGTAAAGGAAAGGAAGAGATTTGGGGGGGTAAATAATATGGTGGTATTTGTAAAGTATGTGGGGGTTGAGGGGGGTGGGTAGGGTAGATAGGAGTTTTAAGGGATGTATATTGAGTGTGGGTGGAGTTGAGGAGGGGGGGGATGGTTAGGGTGTTTTTGGTTTTTTATGGTTGTTTTGTGTTAGATGGTTTTGTTTTTGGTGTTATGGATTTTGTTTTGGGTGTGGTGGGGGTTTTGGGGGGTTGGGTGGGTTTTGGTTGAGTATGTGGTGTGTGGGGTGGTGTATTATGTGTTGAAATTTTATGTTATGAGATGTATTAGGGATTGTTTTGTGTTGGTTTTGTGGTTGGATGGGTTTGTGTAGGGTGTGGTGTGAGAGGGGTTTTGGTTGTGTTGGAGTGGGTTTTTGTAGTTTTGGAGTTGGGGTGATGAGAGTGAGATATATTTAAAAAAGGGAAAGTGATTAATTGGGGGGTAAACTGGTTATAAGGATGTGATGAAGAGGGTGGTTATAGTTTTTGTTTTAGGGTGGGGGAGGTTAGTTGGTAGGTTGGGTTTGATTTAGGTTAATGGGGAGGGAGGGGTATTTAAGATGGATGTTGGATGGGGTTTGGTAAGGAGAGTAAGTGGAGGGGTAAGGGTAGTGGATTGAGGAAGTGGGTGGGGGAATAGTTTGTTTTGGGATGGTAATGTGATTGATGATTGGGGTAAGTTTATGGGGTAAGGTGATGGGGATTTTGATGGGGTGGTATGGGTTTTTGTGGGGGTGGGGGGGGGGGGAGGGTGTTGGATGGGGGTTGTTGGAGGTTTTGAGGGTTGGAGAGTGGAGGGTTTGGTATGGGAGTGATTGTATATTGGTGAAAATGAAGATATGATGGGGGTTTGGGGGTGGGTTTGTGGTGGTGAAGTTAGTATGGAGGTGGGGAGTAGGGAGGGGGGATTGATATTTTATTTAGATTTAGGGTATTATTAGTGGGTTTTGGGAATGGTGGTTAGGGGGGTTTGGGTGGGAGAGAAGAGATTATTATTATTAGGTGGGGTGGTTTTTGTGTTGTGTTGTTAGGGGAATTTAATGGTTGAAGAGAGAAGAGGGGGATGGTGAGGGGGGGGGTGAGAATATAGTTATAGTGTTGTATAATGAATGAATGTGTGATGAATGTGGATATGATATTTAGGAAATTTTAGTTTGAAATAGGGTGGGTGGGATAAAAGTGAATTTTGGTGGGGTATTTAGTAGGTTGGATTGGGTATTTAGAAGATGGATTTAATGATTGGAGTTTGGTTTTTTAGATTTGGTGGGGTATTGGTAGTTTTAGTGGGGTTTGTTTTAGTTTGAGGAGTTGTTGGGGGGGGATGGTAGTTAGGAGAGAGAGGGGGGTTTTGGTTTGTAAAGAGATTTAATGAATTTATTTTAGTGTTTTGGTTGGGTTGAATGTGTTGGGGTTTTTTATTTTTTGGGGGTATGGGGTGGGGTATTGAATGGATGGTGGAATTTTAGTTTAGGGGGGAGTGGGGGTTGTTTGTGTTGTTTGGTGGGATGAGAGGATGGATATAGGGGGTGATTGAAATGAGGGGGGATGGGTGATATATAGAGTTTGTTAAGGGGTTGGGGTGTGGGTGAATGTTTTGGTTGTTGGGGAGTTTTTTGTGTGTGTTGTGTTTGATAGATGGTGTAGGGGTGGTGGGGGGGTGGGTATTGGTTTGGGGTGGTTTGAAGAGGTTTGAGGTGGGTGTTGTGTAATGTTTTTATTATGTGAATTTGGTTTTGTTTGTTGATGTTTAGTTGATGTATTGAATATGTTTTGAATTTTGTGTTTTTTTTTGTGTGTTTGTTTTTGGGTGGGGTTGGTGTTTATGTTGTTGGGGGGTTTGGGAGGGATATGTTGTTTTTGTAAATTATTTTGTGGTTTTGTTTGTTTAGTTGTTTGGGTGGGTTGTGTATTTGATGGGTTGGTGTTTTTTTTTAGAGTTTTTGTGGTGGGTGGGGGGGTGTGTTGGGGGGGGTTGGGGTTTTTGGGTTTGGTGGTGTGTTAGTTGGGGGTTGTTTGGTTGTTTTGTGTTAGTGGTGTGGGGGTGGTTTGGTGATTGGGGTGGTAGGGGTTTAATGGTTTTTAATAGGATGGTTTTTAGTAATTGGATGGGGGTGATGTAAGTTAATTGTGGATAGGTTGGGGGGGGGGGTATTTTTTTAGGGTATGGTAGTATGTGGAATGGTTAGTGGATGGGGGGTATGGTGATATAATTTGTTTTTGAGGGTATTGGGGAGGGTATGGTTTGGTTTGTGGTTGGGTTGAGGTTTTGGTTATGGGATTTGGATTGTTTTGGGGTGGTGGTATTTTATTATTGTGTTTGTTGTTTTGGTTGTTGTTGGTGTTTGGGTTAGTGTGGGTGGGGTTTGTTGGTTTTTTGTAGTATTGGGGTTAGGGTTGATTTGATTGTTTTTTGTGGGGTTGGGGGTTGTTGTGGGGGTATTGAGGGGATTGGTTGGGGGTATGTAGTGGGTTTGGGGGAGTTATGGTTGTTGTGGGGTTAGGTGATGATGGAGAAGGAGGTTATGGGTATGTGGGGGTAAAATGTGGGGAAATATGGAGTAGGTGTATATGAGTTGTTGTTTTTTGTTTTATTTGGATGTTATTTTTTTGTATTTTTGAGTGGTAGGGAAGAAGGAGGTGTGGTGGGTTGTAGTTTAGTGGGGTTTGTTGATTTGGTTTGGGTGGGAATGTTTGTAGAAGGAGTATATGGGGGTGGGGGGAATAAGGGGGGTTGGTGATGGTGGGGGGGAGGGAGGAAGAGTTTGGTTTTGTGTTTTAGATGGTTTATGTTTTAGGGTTGGGGTTGGTGGGTTTGGTTGGGTGTTTGGGGGTTGGGTTTGATTGTGGGGGTTTATTATTTGTTGGGGGTTTTTGGGAGGGGTTTTTTGTGGATGTTGGAGGTGATATGTTATAGGGGGTTTTTGGAATTGGATTGGGTGGAGGGGGGTATGGTTTTTTTTTTTTGTTTTTTTTTTGATATTTTGTTGGTGTGAGTTAGGGTATTTTGATGGGGGGTTTTGGGGGGGAATTTTTTTTGTTTTTATTTATGGATTTAGATTTGTTGTGGTTATGTGTGGGGAATGTGGGGGTTTGGAATGTTGGGGGTGGTGGTGAATTTTATTGGAGTTGGAGAGTGAGGGAATTTGGTTGTGTTTGGGTTTGTGGGTTTTATTTTAGTATAATTTATTTGTTTGATGTTTTTTGTATGTGGGTGTGGGGGTGGTTTTTGGTAGTTATGGAGGGGGGAGTGAGGTGGGGGGTAGTTATGAAATGTGAGTTGGGAATTTTTTATTTATATGTTTATTAATGGATTTATGTGTGTGAAGATTGGGTTTTTATTTTAGGGTTGGGGTGGAATTGGGGATTGTGTTGTGGTATGGGGTAATGTTATGTTAGAAGAGGAAGTGGGGGGGGTATTGTGGATTGGGTATAGTATTTATTTTAGTTAGAGAGGTGTATTTAATTTTTATGGTATTTTGAGGTGTGATGGGGTTTTGATTGTTGTTGGATTTATTTGTGGGGGTTGGATATGAGTTTTTTGAAGTATAGTAGGGAGATGAATTTGGGGGGGTGTTGTTGGGGGGGGTGATGGGGGGGGTATTTTTGGGTGGGAGATTTTGGTTGGGAGTGTGTTGGATGGAGAAATAGATAGTATATGGGTAATTATTAGGTGGTTTTGGGTGGTTAGGGGTAATGTGTTGGTGGAGAAGGGTTAGTTGTGAGTTGTTGTTTTGGGGGGTTGTGGTTGGGGTTTTTTTTGATATGGTTGTGATTTGTAGTTGGTTTAGTTGTTGTGGGGGGTGTGTTATAAATAAATTGTGTTTGGTTTAGTGGTATTTTAGGTTGGGTGGGTGGGTGGATTAGGTGGATTGGGAATATTTTGAATTTGTTGATTGGATGGGAGGGTGGAATTTTATTTTGATGGTTAATGGATATGGAGGGTTGATTTGGGTATTATGGGTTGTTGGGATTATTGTAGGGGATATAAAGGGATATATTGGGTTGAGTTTTTATGATAGTATGATATGGTGATGTGGTGAATATTAGGGGAGGGGGGATATATGTAGTAGTTTTAGGATAAAAAGAAAAGTTAAAAGGGGGAAGTAATAGATTAGATGGTGTTTGGAATGGGTAGTATTATTATTATTTTATGGTAGGTGGGTAAGGTTTGTAGGGTTATTGGGTTTTTATAGTAAGTATGTGTGGGGTTAATGATAATATGATTAAGTGTATTAGGGTGGGTATAGTGTGTGTATTTGTGTTTGTATAGATTTTGGTGGGGTGGTTTTGGGGTTATTGGATTGGTAATATGATTGGTTGTTTTGAGGAGAGTGGAGGGGGAAGTTGTAGGTTTTGAGGGATAGTGGGAATATGATTGGGGGGGGGGTTTGATATTGATTGAGAGGGGTTTATTTTTTGGTTTGAGTTTTTTTGTTGAGTTGTGGTAGGGGAAATTATTGGTTTGTTTGGGGGTTTGGGGGTTTAAAATAGGGTTGATTGGGGAGGTGGTTGGATTGGTTTGGGGGAGGGGGGTATGGGTGTTTTGAGTTTGTTTAAATGTGGTGTTAGAGAGAGGTGTTTGGGTGATAGTTTTTATTTTTGGTGTTATTGGGATTGGGTGATTTTTGTTATTTGGTTGATGGTGGGAGGGGGTTTGGGAATGGATTGTGTTATGTGTTATGGGGAGTGTGAGGGTTTGGGGGTGTGGAGTGGTTATTTTATTATTTTGGTATGGTTAGGTTTATTGTAGTTATTAGTGTGTTGTATGGAGATGTGTGGTGAGGGGGGGGAATTGTGTGGTGTTGGTTTGGGTGGGTGGGGTGGTGGGTGGTTGGGGGGTATTATTTTGTTTGTGTTTTGGGGGGGGGGGGGGGGGGGGGGGGGATGGTGGGGTGGGTGTTGGTGTTGTTGGGGGGGGTGGGTGGGTGATTGTGGGGTGGGGTGATTGTGGTGTTTTGTGTTGTGTGGGGTTGTTGTGGGTGTGTTGGGGTGGGGTGTTGTTGTGTGGTGTGGGGTGGGGTGTTGTTGGTGGTTGTGGGTATTTTGGGGGTTGGTGAGGGTGGGTTGGGTTTTATGGGGTGTGGGGGGGGTGGGGGTGTGGGGGGTTTGTTTTTTTGTGGGGGGTTTGGGGGGGGGTTTGGAGTGTTTGTGTGGTTTTTGTTGGTTTTGGGTTTGGTTTGGTTGGGATTAGGGTGTTGTTGTTGGGGGTAGTTGGTGTGTGGGGGGGGTGGTGGGGTGGGGTGTGTGTGTTGTTGGGTTTGGGTTTTGGTTGGGGGTTTGTTGGGTGGTGTGGTGTGTGGGGGTTGTTTTGGGTTTGTTTGTTTTGTTGGGTGGTTTTTTTTGGTTTGATTTTTGGTTTTTGGTTTGTGTGTTGGGTTTGTTTGTGGGGTTTGGTGTTGGTGGGTTGTGTATAGTGTTTATAAGAGGTTGTGAATGAGTATAGTGGGAGATGAGGAATAGGTTGTGAGAAGATAGATGAGTATGAAAGGATGTGTGTGGGTGGGGGGGGGGGTGTGGGTAGTATAAGTAGTTTATTAGAAGATTTGTGTATTTAAATTGTTGTTAGTTGTAATGTGTTGGGGGGGTATATGTTGGAGTGGTTTATTATTGGTTGGGTGTGTATATTATGTATTTTGGATTGGTATTTGAGTGATTGATTTTTTGGTTTGGTTGTTTGGTGTTAGTTTTGGTTTTTGTTTTTTTTGTGTTTTGTTAGATGGGGTGTTATGGTTGTTTTTTAGTGGTTATGGGGGGGTTTATGGGTTTTGGGTTAGGTATAGGTGGATTGGTTTAGGGGGATTGTGGGTATGTATGGTTGTTTTTTTAAGTAATGGGGGTGGTGTAGTGTTTTTATGGTATGTTAGGGGTGTAGATTTGATAAGGAGTGTAGTATGGTGTGTTGGTGATGGGGGGGATTGTGGGGTTTAGGGTATAGTGGATTAGGGGGGTTTGGGAATGGAGAGTATTATTTGGTTGGGATTTATGTTAGGGAGTGGGGAGTTGGTGGGATGGTTTAGGTAGAGATGGGGTTGGTAGTTTGGGGGTATAAGGGGGTTTATGGTATTGATGGGTGGGAAAATTTAGTTGGGTGTTTGGATGTGTATTTGTGTTTTTGTGGTTTTTGGTGGGGGGGTAGTTTGGGGGTTTTTTTGTGGTTAATGTGGGGAGGGGAGTGGTTAATGGGGGGGAAGAGGTGTGGATTGGGTGATTGGATTTGTTGGGGGTTTGGGTTGTGGTGATTTGTGGTTTTTGGTGTATTGGTTGGGGGGGGGGGGTGTGGGTGTGGTTTGTGTAGTTGTGGGTGGTGTTTTGGGGTGTGGTGTTTGTTGTTTTGGTGTATGGTTGGGGTTGGGCTTGATTTGGGGTTTTGGTGTGTTTTGTTGTGGTGTGTGGGATTTGTGGGTGGGTTGGTGGTTTGGGTGGGGGAAGTTTGGTGTATTTATTATTAGGAGGAGTTATAAAGGGTATTTGTGTGGGTGGTTTGTTGTTAATGTGTGGTTGGTGATATTGTTGTGTTTGTGTGTTGTTTTTATTTTATGGATATTGGGGGAGAGGTTAGGGGGTTGTTGGGGGATTTTATTGTTGGGGTGTTGGGGGTTGGGGGTTGTTTGTGTGGGTGTTGTGATTTTGGGAGGGATTGTAGTGGTGGGAGTTAGTGTGTGGTTTTAGATGGTTGGTATTGTTTGTGTTTGTTGTGATTTTTTTTTGTGGGTGGTTGGGGGGTTTTGTTGGTGTGGGTGGTTGGGGGGGTTGTTGTGTTTGGTGTTTTGTATTGTGTTTAGTTTGGGTGGGGTGTTGGTTGTTTTTTTGGTGTTGTGTTTGTGTTTATGTGTGTTTATGTGAAGGGAGGGGTGTTTGGGAAGGTGTTGTGGATTTATGGTTTTGGTATTTTGGGATTTTATGGGGATAGATTTATGTTTGTGTGTTTTTGGTTGGGGGGATTTTTGTTTATGGTATATTTTAGGGTTGGGGTTATTTGGGTGTTGTGGGTGTAGGGGGGTTATTGTTTTTTTGTGTTGGGGGGTGATGTGGGTTTTTAGGTAGTTGTAGGGGGTTTTTTAAGGGGGGTGGGGGGGGTGTGGTTTGTGTTTGGTGGGTGGTTGTGTTGGGGGTTGTGTGGTTGTTGGTGTTTTGGTGTTGGGGATGTTTGTGTGTGTGTTGAGGGGGTTTGGGGGTTGTTGTGGTGTTGGTTTTGGTTTGGTGGTGGTTGTTGGTTGGGGGTTGGGGTTTGAGTGTTGGGGGTTTGGATGGTGGGGTGGGTGGGGGGGTGTTGTGGGGGGTTGTGGAGTTTTTGGGGTGGTGGGGTGTTTTTTTGGGGAGGTGGTTGTGGTTAGTGGTGATTGTTTGTGGTTTTTTTTGGGGGGTTTGTGTAAGGTTAGAGTGTTTGGTGTAATTTTTGTGTGGGGGTTTTTTATGGGTTTGGTGGGGGGATGGGTGGTGTGGGGGTGGGGTTTTTGGGTGTGTGAGGGGGTGGGTTGGTTGGGTTGGGGGGAGTGTTTTTTTTGAGGTTTTGGGGGGTGTTATGTGGGTGGTGGGTTTGTTTGTTGGGGTGGGGTGGTGTGGTGGGTGGTGGTTGTGTGTTGGTTATTTGGGTTGTTATTGGGGGGTGGGTTTGTGTGTTTGTTGTTTGGTGGGTGTTGTGTTTTGGTTGTTGTGAGGTGGTGTGTGTTGTGGTGTTGGGGTGGTTTTGGGGGTTTGGTTGAGGTTGGGGGATGGAGTGTTGTTGGTTTGGTTTTTGTGGTGGTTTGTGTTGGTTGGGGTTATGGTTGTGGGGGGTGTTGTTGTGGGTTTGGTGTTTTTTTTGGTTGTTTAGTTGGGGGGTTGGGGTGGATGGGGTGTGTGTTGGGGTTTTTGTTGGTTGTGTTGTTAATGTTGGGTGTTTTAGGGTGGTATATATGGATGAGTGGGTGATGTATGATGGGGTGTATTATGGGGTGATGGATTTGAAGATTAAGTTAGAGTGGGTGGGAGTTGGTTTGTGTTATTGTTGGGGGTTTTAAATAGGGGTGGGGGTGGGTTTTTTGGTTTGGTGTTTTGTGTGGGGATTAGTTAGTGGGGAAATAGGGGGGGTTGTTTTTTTGTGGGGGGTGTGAGGGTGGGGTTAAGTTTGATTTGGGGGTTTGGTTTAATTTTGGGAGGGTTTTTTGGTTGTTGGGGATATATTGTAGTTGTGTGGTTGGTATTTGGGGGGGTTGTATTGTGGTTTTTTAGGTTTATATAGATTTTATTAAAAGGATGGGTTTTTTTGGTTTTTTTGATTATGAATAAGTTTAGTTAGAATTTTTTTTGGATTGAAGATATGGTTTTATTTTTGGGTGGGGTGGGGGGGGGGTTTTTGGGTGGGTTTTGTATGGGGTTGGGTAGTTGGGTTATGTTTTGGGGTGTTGGGGTGGGGTGGGGGGTGGGGTTGGGGGTTTGGGGGGGGTTTGAGGTTGATGTGGATTAATGGTGAGGGGGTTTGTTTTTTTTTGGGTGTGTTTTGTTTTTGGGAGTGTTTTTGGGATTGGAATTGTTTGGGGGTGGTTTGTTTGGGTGGTTTTTGGGGGGTGGTGGGTTTTTGGGGGGGGGTGGGGTGGTAGGTTGTGTTTGTGAGTTTTTTTTGTGGTGGGGGGGTTGTTTGTGTTTTGGGTTTTAGGTTGGGGTGGGTGGTTTTGAGGATGTGTGTGTTGGGGTGTGGGGGGGGTGGGTTGGGGTGGGGGTGGGGGGTTGGGGGGGGTGTGGGTTTGGTTGGTGTGGTTGTTGGGGGGTTTGTGTGTGTGTTGGGTGTGTATGTGTGTGGGTGTTGGTGTTTTTTGTGGTTTTGTTTTTTGTTTGTTTGTTTTTTGGGTGGGGATTTTTGGTTTTGTTGGTGGGGTTTGGTGGTGGTTGTGGTGGGTGTTGGTTGTTTGTTTTGTTTTTTTTTTAGTTTATGTTTGTGTGTGGGGTGGGGGTGTTTTGGGTGATGGGTGGGGTGGGGGTGGTGTGGGGTTGGTGGGTTTTGTTTTTTGGGGGGGTGTGTGTGGTGTGTGTTGTGGTTGGTGTTTGTGGGGGGGGGTGGTGGGGTTGGGGGGGGTGGTGTTGTGGGTGGGGGTGGGGTGGGGGGGTTGGTTGGTTGTGTGTTTGAGGTGGTGTTTGGGTGTTTGGGGTTGGGGGGATGTGGGGGTGGTGTGGGGTGGGGGGTGGGGTGTTGGTTTTTGTGTTATGGTTTTTGTTGGGGATGTGGTTGTGTGTGTGTTGTTGGTTTTGATTTGGGGGGTGTTGGGTTTGTTGTGGTGTGTGGTGGTTTTTTGTGTGGGGGTGGGTGGGTGTGGTGGTTTTGGTGGGTGTGGGGGGTGGTGGTGGGTTGGGGGTTGTGTTGGGTGGGGGGTGGGGTGTGTTGTGGGGGGGTGTGGTGGTGTGTGGGGTGGTGGTTGGGTGGTTTGTGTGGGGGGGGGTGTGTTTTTTTTTTTTTTTATTTTTTTTTTTTTTTTTTGTTGGGGTGTTTTGTGTGGTGGGTGGTGTGGTGGGGGTGGGGGTGTTTGGTGTGTGGTTGGGGGGTGTTGTGGGGGGTGGGTGGGTTGTGTGGTGTTGTGGTGGGGGGGGGGGGGGGGGGTGGGGGTGGGTTGGTGTGTGGTGGGGGGGGTGGTGTGTTTGGGTGGGGTGTGGGGGGGTGGGGGTTTGGTGAGGGGGGGGGTTGGGTGGGGGGGTTTGTGGGTGGGGGAGGGGGGTTGGGGTGGGTTGTTGGGGGGGGGGTGGTTGGTTTTTGTGTTGGTAGTGGGGTTTTTGGGGGTTGTGTGTGTGGGTTGGTTGGGGGTGGTTGTGGGGGGTGGTTGGGGGGTGGGGTTTGGTTGGGGAGTGGGGGTGGGTGGGTGTGTGTGGTTTTGGGGTGTTTTGGTGGGGTTGGTTTTTGGGTGGTTTTTGTTGTTTTTTTGTGGGTGTTGTGGTGGATTGGGGTATGGGGTGGGTGTGTGTTTGGGTGTGGGTTTATGTTGGTTTTTTTTTTGTTGGTTTGGGGGGGTTTGGTGTTTGGTTAGTTGGGTTTGGGGTTGGTGGTTGTTGTTTTGGAGGAATGTTGGTGGTTGGGGGGTTGTTGGTTTGTGGGTTTGTTGGGGGTTGTTGGTGTTGGTTGGTTTTTGGGTTGGGGTGGGTGGTTGTTGTGGTGTTTTTGGGGTGTTGGGGGTGGTGGGTGGTTTGGGATTTGTGGTTAGGGTTGTGTGTTGGTGGTGTTGTGGTTTGTGGAGGGTTTGGGGGGGGGGGGGGGGTGGGGGGGTTTGTGGTGTGTGGTGGTGGGTTTTTTGTGGGTTGGGGGGGTGGATTTTTGGTTGTGGGGAGGGGGGGTTATGAGGGTTATTGTGTGGAAGGGGGGAAGGGAGTTTAGGGAGGGTAAAATGTGGAGGTGTGGGTTTGGGGGTTTTGGATTAGTAATTTATATTTGGAGATTTATTTGTAATGTTGAGGAGGGTGATGGGGTGGAATATTGGTTTAGTTTTAATTGGTTTATGTTGATGTTTTGGTTTGTAATTTAAGGTTGATTTTGGGTGTGTTTGGGTGGGGGATTGATTGTGTATTTGTTAAAAGGTATGAGAAGAGGAGGATGTTTTGTGGGGAAAAAGGGTAGAATAGGGAGAATGGGGGATGTATTTTTTATTTTTTGAGAATGTTAATAGGAGGGGATATGTATGGGTGTAGGGTTTATGAATTGATAGGGGGTATGAATTAGGTGAAAAATGTAGAAGGAGGGGAAAGGAGAATTAGGGGGATAAGGAAGTGTTAATAGGGAGATAAAGGGGAAAAAGAAATGGAGATTATATGTAGTTAAAGGTTAGATAGTGGAGAGGGGGGTTGGGTATATGTATGAGTTGGGGATTATTTTATTGTAGTTTAGTGTGGGGTTGGTTAGAATTGGATTGTGGAATTATTATGGTGGGTAATTTGGGAGGAGGGGAATTTTAAGGGGGGAATATGGGGGGTTTGGAGGGGGGTGTGGTTGGGGGGGGGGGGGGGAATGATGGGTGAAGGGTGGGGGTTAGAGAGGTTGGGTGGGGGAGGAAGGGAGGAATAAGGAGAGGGGAGGTGATATTTGGGGAATATAGAAAATGGGGTTTAGAAAATTGTATTGGGGATAGGGAGTATGGAAGGATTTGTGAAAAAAGGGGGTTAAGGTAGTATGGGAGAATATGGATAGGATTTATGTTTGTGTGTTTTTTGGGGGGGGGATGGGTGGATTAATTATTTGTATATTGGGGGGGTTGTTATTTTGGGTGGTGTTGGGTTTTAGGGGGGTTTATTTGTTTTTTAGGTTTGGGAGTAATATTGTTGAGAAAAGGGGGGATGGATGGGATATTTAGATAGATTTGGGATGTTGAGGGGTTGGGTAATTGGTAAGTTTGTAGTGTGTTTGTGTTGGATAAGGGGGTTTGAATGAGAAGGGTGTTTGATAATAGAGGGTGTGAAGATGAGGGGGGGTTTGGAGTTTGTTTAATGTTGTATTTGGTTATTATAATATGAAGTTGGTTAGGGGGGTGTTGGGTTTGGGGAAGGTGGGGTGTATTTATGGAAATGGAGGTTTATGAGATTTATAGGGATTATTGGTGGTTTTTGTGGGGTGATGTAATAGGATTTGAGAATTGTAAAAAGTAATAGAATTTAGGGATGATATTTATTTTTTTGGGGGGGGGGGGGGTGATGTGGTGGTTAATTTAAATGGTGATTGAGGTGGTTTGAGGTGTTTTAGTATAGGTGGGGGTGTGGAAAAGGGAATGTTATTTATTATGGAAGGATTTTTAGATTGGTTTTTATTTTTATTGGATTTTGGATTTTTTTTGAATTTATTGGGGGGGAGATGGTTTTGTGGGATTATTATGAGGGGACGGTATGTTGTGGGATTGTTGTTTAATGGAGATTTTGTAAAGTTTTTGGAGGGTTTGGGGGAATATGAATAATGGTGTATATAATTTATGGGGGTTTTGGGTTAGGGGATGTAGTTTTAATTTTGAGGGGGTAGGGGGAATATTGGAGTTTGTGTGGGGAGGTTTTGGATTATATGAGATTATAAAGGTTATATATATGAAAATAGGGATTATGGGGGGGGATGATGATGAGGGGGGAAGGAGGGAGGATATTATTTGTGAGTTTTGGGTGTGTGGGGTGGTAATTTGATGGTAATGGAGTTGTTTTAAGGGTGGGAGGTTTTGTAAGTTTTAGGTAGGGTGTGGGGTGAGGAATATGTATTGGGTGAAATTTTATTTTTAAATTTTGAGTATTGGTTGGGGATATTTGTTAGTTAATGGGTTTGAATTTGATTTGGAATTATGATGAATTGAGGGGGTGTTGAAAGGGTTTTGAGTTGGTAGGAGGGGGGATATTTATTTAAGGGGAATGAATTAAATAGGTAAGGGTGAGGGTGGGATTGGGTTGTTGATTTTGGAAGAGAGAGGTGGATTTTAGGGGGGGGTGTGTGTATGTTAAAATTGATTTAGGGATAGGTTGGATGGATTTTGGGGAGGAGTATTTTGGTAATTTGAGGTTGTTGTGGGATAGAAAATAGGGGATGGGGGGGTGGGGGTTTTTTGGGTTTGGTGAATTGTTTGGGATAGGAATAGGATAGGGGGGGAAATAGGGGGGGGGGGGGTTTTGGGAGGGGAGGGTATTTTTTGTGGGTTTGGGGTGTGAGGTGGGGGGGGAAGATTGTGAAGTTTGGGGTGATTTTGGGGTTTGGGGATTGGGAAGTTGTAGGAGAGTATTGGATAGGTTGTGATGTGTTAAGTGTGGGTGGGATTAAAGTTAAAATTTTTAGGGATAGTGTTTGGAAGGGGGGGGGGTAATGGGGATGTATGGTTTATTTGAGGGGGGATGGGGGGGGGGTGTGGATGTAGATGGGGTGGGGTTAATGATGTGTGGGGAAAGATTATGAAAAATTTTAGTTGGGTTGTTGGGGGGGTGGGGGTTATGTTGGGGGGTAAAAGGGGTGTGATTTGAGGGGGATTTTGTTGGGTGTGGTTTTTTGTGGGGGGATGATGTTATGTTGGTAGGGGGGTTGGGTTTTAGGGTTGGTTGGTGAAGGGAGAGATGAAATAGGAAGAAAGATGGATTATTGGAATTTGAGATGATAGATTGGGAGAATTTGAGGAAGATATGTGTAAGAGATTGGGGGTGATTGTGTATTTAGAGGTAAGAGAATTGGAAGGGAGGGTGTGTATGGTATTTGTGAAGGTATTGGGTGTAGGATTGTGTTAATTATTTATTATGGGAGGAGAATTATTTATGATGGTTGAATAGGGGGTATTGAGTTTTTATGGGGAATTGATTTTTATGTGGAGTTTATTAGGGGGGGGTGTGGAAGGTGAATTATGGGGAGATGGGGTGTATAGGGGGATTGGAAGAGTATATGGAGGGAATTTATGAGGGGTTTTATAGGGGATGTATGATTTTGATGAGTGGGGTGAAGGGTATTTTAATTTGTAGGTAATATTGGTGAATAGAGATGGAGAGATAGGGAGAAGGGGGAGATGTGTAGTTAGGTTTTATGAGAGGAGGGGTATTGAAAGAAGAAGGTAATAGATAAATTTTGTGTGGTGGGTATGGGTGGAAATGTGTTTAATTAAAGGTAGATGGTTATATGGTTAAAGGTGTGAATTGGATTTAGTTATGGGGTGGAGGGAGGGATGTGGTGAGGAGTTTTGAGGGTTATGGAGGAAGGTTTTTGGGGTTATTGAAGAAAGAGGTATTGGGGTTTTAATGGGTTTAGGAGGGGTTAGATGTATTAGTGGTGGGGTGTGGGGGTGATGGAGTGGTTTGGTGAGGGTGTTGGGTGGTGGGGTTGGGGAGGGATGGGTGGGGGTGATAAGATGGTTTGGAATGGTGGTGTTTGGGGATTGTGATATGTTTCGGAAAGTGGGGAAGTGAAAGTTGATATAGGTTGGTTTTAATGATTGTATGGTATGGTGGGAAATAGAATATAGGATAGAAAGGGTAGATGGGGTGAGGGGTGGGGTATTGAGTGATAGGATAAGAATTATGGTAATTGTAAAAATAGGATATTGTAGGGTTGTGGTGAGGGGGTGATAAGGATGGGGTTTAGGTTATAAAATTGTTTTGGTAAGTAAGCTGGAGTTGAAATAAGGAGGGGTGATTAGGTATTGTTGGAATGGTTTGGTGATAGGGGGTTTTAAGGATAGTAGTTGGTATAGGGGGAATTTGGGTATAGGGGATAGGGGGGGGGGATATTTGGTGGGGGATAGGGTTGGTATGTGTGAAGGATGGTTTATGGGGGGGGATATGGGAAGAAAGGGGGAATTGAGGTGGGGAAGAGTGATAAAAATGGTATGGTTTGGAGAAGTTGGGTGGTGTTTGTATGGATTTTATGTGAGGTAGAGTGAGGTTGAGTGTTTGTAAGTGAATTGGTTGGTAATTATGGGGTGGGTTTTTAGGGTTGGGATTGGAGTTTGGGAATGGGATTGGGTGGGGGGTGTGGATATGGTATTATTATATTAGGAAAATTTGGGGGTGGTGGGTGTTTTTGTTTTTGTTTTATTTATAAGTTTTAGGGGGGTTTTTGGTTTAATGTTTTTATAGGGTTTAGTGGAATATGGGGGGGGTATGATATGTTTTGGGATGAATGTGGAGGTGGTGTTAGTTTAGGATTAATGGTGGATTAGGAGGGGGGGTGGGGGGGGGGGGGGGAGGATGGGGGGAGGTGGGGGATGGGGTGAATTTGGTAGATGAGAAATGTTAAAAGAGAGGGTAGAGGAAAGAAGAGGGGATGGAGGAAATTATGGTATAAGGGGGAGTGGAGGGTTGTTGGGAAGAAGGAGGGGGGGGGGGAAGTTTATTTAGATTTGTTTGTAGGGGTTTATATTATTTATGAGATGTATAGGTGGTTGAGTTAAGGGTGTTAGAGGTGTTATAGTGATGAGGTAATGGGGATGAAGATAGTGTGAGTATGAGGTAGGGGAGGGTGGAGAAAGTTGTAGTGATAATGATTAGATGTATGAGGTGATGGGGGTATAGGTATGGGGGAAAGGAATGGGATTTTGGATAATGTTGGTGGAAAGAGGGTGGGGGTTGTTTGTATGGGGGGTTTGGGGGGGGGGGGGGGTGGTGGTAATAGTGAGGTTTAAGTATGATGGATTAGGATTTGTTTATGGGGGGGAAGGGGGAGGGTGATGAGAGGGGGAATGGGGTTTAATTTGATAATTGGTTGGTTGGTTAGATTATTAAGGGGGGGTGTTTAGAGAGGATTAGGGAATTTGGGTAGGGGGGGGGGGGGAAATAGATGAGGGTGGATGGTAAGGGGTGAGGTTGGGGAAGGGAAGGTATTTGGGATGTAATATGTGGGTAGGAATTATTATGTGATGGTTTATTTTTGGTGTAGTTTTGGGGGGTTAATTTTTAGTGTTATTGGGGTGGTATGGGGGGGGGGAGTTGAGGGGGAATTAGGGTTTTATAGATTTGGGGGGTGGGGGGTGGGTTGGGGGGATTGGTGTGGTTTGATATGTTGGGTTGTTGTTGGGAAGAGGTATGGGGGGTGGGGGATGGATTGTTAGTAGGGTGGTGGGGGGTTTTGGGGGTATATGGTGGGATGGGGTTTTGGTTTGGTTGGGGAATGGGGGGTGTGTTTGGGAGGGGTGTTGGTTGGTGTTGTTTTGGTAGGGGGGTTTTGTTGGGGGGGGTGGGATTGAGTTGGGTTTGTTGAATGAGGTGTGTGGGGTGTTTGTGGTGGGGGGGTTGGGGGTAGGGGGTGGTGAGGGGGGTTTGGGGGGGGGTTTTGGGAGTGGGGGGGGGAGGTGGGGTTTGGGGGTGGGGGGTGGTAGGGGGTGGGTAGGGGGTGTGTTGTGGGGTGGTTTGGGGTTGGTTTGGGGGTGGGGGTTTGGGGGTTTGTTTGGGTTGGTTGTTTTGGTGTTTTGGGGGGGTGGGTAGTGGGGGGGATATTTTTAGTTTTAGTGTGGTGTTTTTTGGGTTTGTATTGGGTGGGGGGGGTATGTTTATTGTAGTGGGGGATTGGGTAGATTGAAGTATATTTAGGGGTGGGGAGATTGTGGGGGGGGGATTTGTTTTTAGTAGAGGGGGTTTTAGATATAGGTTAGAGGATTGTTTGGGGTAGGGGGTATGGTTGGGGTTTTTGGGGGGGTTAGGTTTGTGATAGATATTTGGTTTTGTTATATGGGGGGATTTTTAAGGTTGTTTATATTTTGAGAGGGATTTGGGGTAGTTTTTTGGGTAGTGTATGAGATGTTGATGGGTATATATGTGGGGGGGTTGGTGTGTGGGGAGGGGGTTTTGGTGTGAAAAATGGTGGGGAGATATTTGGGGGGGGGGGGGAGAGGGTTATGTATGGTAGGATGGGGGGATGGTTTTGGATTTGTGGGGTATTAGTTTTGAATAGGGAATAGTGTAGGGTGGGGGTTTAAAAGAGGGTATGATAGGAGATGAGTAGATGGGGTTGGTGGTTATGGGGGGGAAAGGGATTGAGGGAATTGTTGATGTGGGGGTTATTGGGGGTGGAAGGGTGAGTGGAGGGTATGTGGTGTAATTGTGGGGGGGATAGGGGGTAATTAAGAGGTAGGATTTGGAATGGGTGTGTAGGTGGGTTGTTTATTTAGAGAATTTGGGATGGGAGTTGGTTGGAAGTGTGGGAGGGGGGGGAATGTGGAGGGGAAGAGGGTGTGGTTGGGTGTAGGATTAGAGATTGGTGTGAGAGGGTGTTGAGGGGGGGGGGGTGGTTAAAGTTTTTGGTGGTATGGGTGATTATGGATGTAATTGTAAGTGGGATGTGGGTGGGGGGGGGTTAGGGGGGGGGGGGAGAGGTGAGGGGGGGGGGGGGATTGGGATTGGAGGGGGGGGAGGGGTTGTTAGAGGGGGGGTGGTGGGGAGTATATTTTGTTTGGGGGTTTGGGGGGTTGGGGTTTTTAGGGTGGGTTTTTTTATGTTATTAGGGGGGATTTTTATTTGGGGTATTTGGGGGGGTGGGGTAAGGGGATTTTGGTAGTGGGTTGTAGGATGGTAGTAATTAGGGTTTGATAGGGATATTAGGAAAATTTGGGGGGAGATGTTTGGTAGGGGGGGGGGTAGGGATATGAGGAGGATTTATGTTTATTAAATTTATGGTATGTTAATGAAAATATGGAAAATGTTAAGGGTTTGGTGAGGGAGGGATTTTGTTTTGAGAATGGGGGGTGGAGGGATTTAAATGGGTGTGGGGTTGGTTGATTAGATGTAGGGTGTGGGTTTGGATGTGAAGGGGGGGTTGGGGGGGGAGGTGGGTATGTGGAGGTGGGGGATGTGTTGTGTGGGGGAGTGTTTGGGGATTTGGAATTGTGGGTAATATGGGGAATAGGAGGAAATTAAGGGTTGTGAGTTAAGGTTTTTGGTGATTTGGGAGGAGTGATGGTATGAAGGTGATATAGGGGATATTGTGGTATATGTGGTAGTATTTGGGGGTTTATTGGTGGGAGGGGATGGGGTAGTTATTGTGTGTAGGGGGGGTGATAGGGGGGAGGATGGTTGGTTTGGTGTGGTGGTGGTGATGGGGGTGGGTGGGGATGGAGGTTGTGGGTAAGGGGGGGGGGGAGAAGATGGAATACTTAGGTGAGTGGAGGTTTAGGCAATAGGTAGTGTATGTGTGAGGATGGTTTGGTTTATTATGTTAATTTAGGGGATAGGTGTGGGGGGTAATATATATAGATATAGAATGGTATGTGGTATGTGTGGTTTGGGGTTTGGGGGGGTTGTATTTTTTTTGTTGTTTTGAGAGTGTTGAGAATTTTGGTGTATGGGAAAGGGTTGGGTGGGGGGGGGGGGATGAAGTGTAGTAAATTAAAAATAGAAGGGAGAATTGTTGTAGTTAGTAGGGTGGGATGGGGTGTTTTATAGGTAGGGTAGGTAAGGTAAAATGGGGAAAGGAGGAGAGAAAAGAGGGATTTGGGGTAAAAATATGGGTGGGTATTTGTAAATATTGGGGTGTGAGGGGGGGGGTGTTAGGTAAGGAAAGGGGATTTGTGTAAGGGAAGTGAAGATATGGGGGTGGGTTGAGGTTGATGAGGGGGGGGGGGGATGGGGTAAGGTGGATGATATTGGGGGATTTAATAGTTGAGTGTGTTGGAGTGAGAAGTTTAAGTAGGGGATAAGATGGTGATATATGTATGAGGGGAGAGGGGGTGGGGTAGGTGGTGGGGTGGTAGTTGGGTGGGGTGGGGTGTATGGGTGTGAGATGAAAGGGGTGGTTTTTTTTTTTTTTATAATGTGAATATAAAGTTGGATGAGAGTTTAGGGGGGTAGGGATGTTTTATTGTGTTGGGTTTATGGATTGATGGTGTTTGTGTAGGGTGTGTGGTGTAGATGGGGGGTTTTTGGGTGTGTTGGAGGGGTGTTTGTGAGTATTGGGAAGTTGGGTGAGTAGGGAGGGTTGAGGATATATGTTAAAAAAGGAAAGTTATGAATTGGGGGTAGATGTTGATATATGAATGGGAGAAAGAGGGTGGTTATAGTGTTTTAGGGGTGGGGTTAGTTTGTAGGGGGGTTGGGTGGATTTAGTTAATGGGAGGGGGAGGTATTTAAGAGGGAGTGGGATGGTTTGGTAAGGTATAGTAAGTGGAGGGAAGGATAGGGGGGAGGGTAGGGATGGGGGTGGGGGAATTATAGGGTTGTGATTGGAGTGGGTAATGTGATTATATGGTGGGTAAGGTTGGATGGGGAAGGGTGGGTGAGGGATTATTGATGGGGTGGTATGGGTTTTGTTGGGTTGGGGGGGGAGGGTTTCTGATGGGGGGGGGGTTGGTGTTGGAGTGGGTTTGGAGGTTGGAAGAGGGTGGATGGATTGTATGGGAGGTGATAGGAGGGGTATGATTTAGGAAAAGTGAGATGTGATGGGGGGGGTTGGGGGGGGTGGGGTTTGTGGTGTGAAGTAGGGGGTATGGGAGGGGGGGGGTGGAGTAGGGGGAGGGGGAAGGTGATAATTTAATAGATTTAGTAATATTAGTGGGTTTAGGGATGTGTTAGGGGGGGGGGGTTGGGGTGAAGGGAGAATAGAGAGAGTATTATTATTATGTGTTTTGTGTGGTGGGGGTGGGGTGGTATAGGAATTTATGGTTGAAGGGATGGAGAAGAGGGGGGAGGGGGTGAGGGGGGGGGGGGGTGAGGAATTATAGTATAGGTTTTTATTAGAATTGTATGGTGTGATAGAAAGTGGGAGATGAATATTAGGAAATTTTGGAGTGTGGGTAGATGAGGGGTGGGGGATAAAAGGGGTAATTTTGGGGGTGGGGATTATTGTAGTAGTTGATTTGGTATTTTAGAGGATGGATTTAATGGATTGAGTTGGTTTTTTTATGATTTGTAGGGGTTATTAGTTTTAGGGTGGGGGGGGGTTTTGAGTTTGAGTTAGATGATGGTGTTGGGGGGGAGTGGGTTAGTTTTAGGAGAGGAAGGGGGGTTTTTGTTAGGGTAAATGAATTTTTAATGTATTTTTTTTTTTATTGTAATATAGTGTGTTTGGTAGGGTTAGGGAATTGTTGTGGGGGGATTATATTTTTGGGTTTGGGGGGGGTTGGGTAGGATTTGATGGGTGGAATTTTAGTTTAGGGGGAGTGGGGGTTGTTGTGGTTGTGTTGGTTGGGGGGTAGGAGGATGGAATAGGGTGGTATGTGGAAATGGGGGAAGGGGGGGATAGAGGATGGATGAGAGTTTGAGTTAAGGGGTGGTGTGGTTAATGTTTTGGTTTGTATGGGGATTTTTTGTGTGTTGTGTTTGGATAGATGGTGTAGGGTGGGGTTGGGGGGTATTGGTGTGGGATGGTTTGGAAAAGGGTGTTTGAGGTGGGGGTGTAGGGGGGGGAGAGAAATGGTTTGAAATTAGGTGTATGAAATTAGAGATTTTGAAGATTTTGTTTTTGTAATTTGGGGATTAAAATATTGGGGAGGGGTTATGTGTTTATGGTGGGGGGATTTGTTAGAGAGTGGTGGGGGGGGGTTAAGGGGAGAAAGATGGATTTTGGGTAAAGAATTTTGGGGGTGTTTGTTGTGTAATGTTGGTGTGAGTTTTGGGGAGTGTGTTATATGGATGGGGTATTGGATGTTTTTTTATAGAGTATTTGGGGGTGGTGGGGGTTTGTTGGGGGGATGGTATATTGTTATGAAGTTTAGGGAGATGTTGGTTGTTAGGGGGTTGTATTGTTTAATTAGGTGGAGTGTGGAATGGTGATTGGGTTAGGGGAAGTGTTTTGTTTTGTTTTTGGTGGGGTTTATTTTGGGATGGGGGTATGTGTTTTGTGGATAGTGTTGGGGGGGTGTGTTTTTTTTGGTTTGGTTGTAGTGGTTGTTTGGATGAGGTGGTGGGGGGTATTTGAGTTAATTGGTTTAGGGGTTTGGGGATAGGGTTTGGTGTTGGTGTGTGAAGGGTTGAGATATTGGGGGGTTATGGATTGGGTTGTTTGGGTTGGTTGATTATTATATTGTTTGTGTTTTGTTGATTAGATTGATTTTGTGTTGAGTGTGAGGGTTAGGTTGTTTTTTTTTTTTGGGAGTATATTGGTGTTTATGGGTGTGTAATTTGTTTTTTTGTTGTGGGGGGGATGGGGGGGGGGGGTTGGTATGAGGGGTTTAGAGGGGGGATTTTGGGGTGTAGTGGGTATGAGTGATGATGGGGTGTAGGGGGTTGAGGTGGGAGATGGAGGAAGGGAATGGGGGGTATATGGGGGGAAATGTGATATGAGTATGTGTGATATGAGTTTGTGTTTTTTTGTTTGGTGGATGTTAATTTTTTGGTATTTTTGATGGTAGGGAAGAGTAGGGAGGTTGGGGGTGGTTTTAGTTTATGGTTTTTGATTTGTTTGGGGTTTGGGAAGGTTTGATAGAAGGGAGTAGATGGGGTTGTGATGGGGGTAGGGGGGGGGGAGGGAGGGGGGGGGGGGGGGGAGGGGGGTTAATGGGGGGTTATGTTTTTATTTGTTTTTGGGTTTTTGTTAGGGGGTTTGGGGTTTGGGTGGGTATGGGGATGTGAAAAAGTGTTGGGTGTGAGAGTGGGGTGTTATGGAAATTATGTGGGGGGGGTTTTGAGGGGGGGAGGGGGGTAATATAGAGAGATAGGGGGAGGGAGTTGTTATAGGGTTTGGGATTGGGATTGGTGGATGGGTAAAGTTTGATTTTATAGGGGAGTTAGTATTTTATGGGTTTGGGGAATTATATGTGTTTGGTTTTATTTATGGATTTATATTTTTTGTGGTATGTGGGTGGTGGAATGTGGGGGTGTTTTTGGAATTGTTGGGGGGTGGGGGGGAGATATTATTGAAAAAGGGTTTTTTTGGAAGAGGTAAGGAATAGTGGTAGTGTTTGGTTTTGTGGGTTTGGGGGGGTAATTTAGAGATAATTTTATATGTGTTAGATGGTTTTTGTATGTGGTTGGGGGGGGGTGTTTTGTTGTAGTTATGGAGGGGGTGGTATGTGGGTATTGATTGAGGAGTTTGGGATATTTTTTTGTATATTGGGTTATGTTGGGGGGGATTTTTGTGTGTGTAAATTGGGGGGTTTTTATTTTTGTTTGTGGGTGGGTGGTGTTGTGGTTGGGGGTTTGGGGGTTTGGTAATGTTGGGTGATGTGTGTTTGGGGGTTTTGTGAATGGGGTATAGATTTTATTTTGTTAGTTGTGTTTGTTTTTGTGGTGTTTTTTTTTGTTTTTTTTTTTTTGTTTTTTTTTTTTTTTTTTTTTTTTTTGTTTTTTTTTTTGTTTGTAGGGGGTGTGATGGGGTTTTATTGTTGTATGTTATTTGTGGGGGGGGTTTGAATGAGTGGTGATGGAAATAGTAGGTAGGATGATTTGGGTTGTTGGGGTTGGGAGGGGGGGGGGTGGATGGGGGGGTATTTGGGTGGAGATGTGGTTGATGGGTTTGGGATGGGAGAAATAATTAGTAGGTATGGGTAAATTATTAGGGTGGTGGTTTTGGTTAGGGTGGGTAAAAGTGTTGGTAGAAAGGGGGATATTTGTGAGTTTTTGTTTTGGGGGGTTGTGTTGATAGTATTGTGGGGGGGAGAGGGTTGATTGGGGGGGGGTGAGGTATTAGAGATGGGGTATAGGAATAGTTGGTGTTGGTGGGGAAAAGAATAAAAAAATGAGATAGAATTAGAATTTTAGGTAGGGTGGGGGTAGGGGTGGAGTAGGGTGGTATTTGGAAATGTTTTGATTTTTATGGGGGGTTGGGGGTGGTTTAGTTTTGTTTTGATGTTTTGATTTGATGGTGATTTGGTATTATGGTTGTTATTATTGTATGGGGATTATGGGATATTTGGTGGGTTGATTTTATTTGATAGTTGTTATGGTGATTGGTTTTTTTTGGAGGGTTGAGATATTGTTTTGTTGAGGATAAAAGAAAATTATAGGAGGAATATTTGAAATTTTATGGTGTTTGAATGGGGTAGTGGAATATTTATTATTTTTTGGTTATGGGTGGGTATGGTTTGTTGGGGGGGTATTGGGTTTATATAGTAAATGTGGGGTGTGGTGGGGTTAATAATATGGATTGGGAAGGTGTGTATGGAGGGGTGGGTTAGTGTTGCTATAATTTGAGTTTGTATAGATTTGGTGGGGTTTGGGGGTTATTTAATGTGTGAATATTATTGGTTGTTTTTTTGGGGTGGGAGAGTGGGGGGGGGAGAGTTTTAGAGGGTGTGAGGGGATAGTGGGAATATGATTGGGTGGGGGGGTATGATATGAGGTTGAGAGGGGGGGGGGATTTAGTTTGGGTTTGATATATGAGTTGAGTTTGTGGTAGGAAATTATTGTATGTTTGGTTTGGGGGGTTGGGTAGGAATGAGGGTTATATGGAAATAGGGGGATGGATGGATAGGGGAGGGGGGGGGGGTTAAAAAAGGGGGTTATGTTTTTTAGTTATATTTTAGGGGAGTAAGAGTGGTTGGTGTTTGGAGTTAGTTTTATTTATATGGGTTTAGTTATGGGGAGAGGGTGGTTATTATTAAGAAATTTTGGTGACAAAGGGTGGGAGGGGGTTTGGGGGAGAAGAAGAGTTATGTATTATGAGTTAGGAGGGGGGGGAAAGGGGGAGTAGAGGAAAGTGTATAGATAATATGAAAGGGTTTATAGTGATTGTAGTATAGGGGAGTTGAGGAGAAGTGAAATGATTGGTAGGGGGGATATTGGTTGAGGGGGGGGAGAAGAATGTGGGGGGGGTGGTAGGGGTGGAGGTGGGTTGGGGGGGGGGGGGGGAGGGGGGGGGGGGAATATAGAGAGATAGGATATGAGAGTATGGGGGTTGTTGGGTATGGGGTGGGGGGGAGGGGTTGTGATAAGGGGGGGGGAGAGGGTGATGTTGGGGGGGGTTGTGGGGGTGGATTTGATTGTTTTTTTTTGGGTGTTTGTTTTAGTTTGAGGGGTGGTGATGTGTTGGGTGGGGAGTTAGAGAGAGAGGTTTGGGGAGGGGGTAAGATTTTAGGTTGTGGTTATTGGTGTGGTGTGGTGGGTAGGGGGTTGAGGGGGGGTGAGGGGGGGGGGGGGGGGTGGGGGTGTGGGGTGTATGATGTTTTTGGTTGGGGGGGTTTGGGAGTGTTTGTTGTGTATGGTTGGTGTTTGGTTGGTTTAGTTTGTTTGGGGGGGAGTTGTTAGGTGTGGGGTTGTTGGTTTGTTTGTTGGTGGGATGGTGGGTGAGATTATGTTTTGGGGTGGGGATATGGATTGTGTTTTTTGATGGGGGTTTTTTTTTTGTTTGGGGTTTTTTGGGGATGTTGTAGTTGGTATTGTTTGTATTGTTGGGGGATTTTTTTTGTTTTGGTTTGGGGGGGTTGGTTGTTTGTGTGTTGGGGTTGTTTTGGGGGGGTTGGGGTTTGTTAGTGGGGGGGGGTTGTAGTTTAGGGGTGTTTATAGGAGGTGTAGAAGGAAGTATTGGTGGGGGGAGTATGGAGGAATGAGGTTTTGATAGAAGAAGAGTATGAAGGGGATGGTGGTGGGGGAGGTGTGTAGTAGTTTTAGTAGTAGTTTGTTTATATTGTTTTGGTATTTGGTAGAAAGTAGGGTAATGTGTTGGGGGTATTGATGGAGGTGGTTTTGATTGATTGGGTGGTGTGTATATTGGTTGTTTATGTTGGATTTGAGTTTTTTTATTTTTTTGGTTTTATGTTTTGGTGATATGTTGTGTTTTGGGGTGTGTTGTTGGGTTAGTGGGGTGTTAGGGTTTTGTTAAGTGGGTTTTGGGGGTGTTTGGTTTTGTTGTGTTGTTGTGTTTGTTGGGTATTTGGGGTTTATGGTTGTTGTTTTATAAATGAGGGGTGAGGGTTGAGATAGTTTATTGGAATGGAAAGGGAGAGATTGAAGGAGGGGGATGTGGTAGTTATGGATAGTTGTGTGGGGTGGGGATTGTTTGGTAGGGTTTTGTTGTGGTGGGGTTTGAGTGGAGAGGTGTAATATGTGGAATTGAGGGTGTAAGGGTGTTTTTGTTGGGAAAGTAGGAAGGGTAGGGGATGTTGAGGTAGGGGGGGAGGGATGGGGGGGGGGGGGGTGGTTGTGATGGGAGGGGGGGTATATGGGGGGTTATTTAGTATAATGGGGTTTGGAGTTAATAGGTTATTTGATGGGTTGTTGTTGAGAATTGAGGAGGGTGGTATATGGGGGGGTGAAGATGGGGGGGGGTGTGGGGTTTTTTGGAGTGGAAATTTGAGGGAGAGTTAGAATGGGGGGTGGAGTGGTGTGGGGATTGTATAGGGAATAGGTGATGGGGTTAAATGGGATGAGTTTGAATAGTTGAGGGGAATAAGGGTTAAGAGTAGTTGGTGTATAGTGGAGAGGGTGTTTTGAAGGGTTTTGGTTGGGTGAGGTTGGTTGGGTGTAGGTTTGGGTGGGATTGTAAGGAATTTGTTTGGTAGGGATAGGATATGGGTATTGGTTTTTTGGTGATGTGTGGGGTGGTGATTGTGGGAAGGGATGGATGTTGGTGGGGTTATATTTGTGGGGGTGTGTTATGTTGTTATGTGGTGGGAAGTTTTATTTGGTAATGTGATTGGTGGGTTTTTAGGGTATGGGTTTGGATATAGATTGATTTGTTGGTTTTATATATGAGATGGGTATTGGGAGTGGTTTGGGTGTTTGAATTTTTTGTGTTGTTGTTGGGGGGTTTGGGGTGGGGGGTTGAAAGAGAGGGTGAAGAGGATTAGGTTGGGGAGGGAAGAAGAGTTGGGAGAAATGAGAGTGGTTAAGGATTTGGGAAATATTGAGATAGGTAGGGATAAAAATTTTGTGGATGTGGAGAGGGTGGAGATTTTTGTTGGGGGGGGTGGGGGGAGTAAGGGGGGTAAGTATTAGTAGAGAGTGTATTATTGTGGGGTTAGAGGTTGGGGGGGGGGTGGGAGATTGGGGGTGATTTTGATGTTGTGGGTGTGTTTGTGGTTATATTGGATATAAGTGAGAGGGAGGGGTGTATGGGAAGGGATTTGGGTTGGAGAAAAGGTTTAAGGGATATAGGGAGGAATATTTGGATGAGGATTTATGTTTTGTGTTTTTGGGTTTTTGATTATTGGGGGTATATTGAGGGTTGGGGGTTAGGTTTGGGTGGGGTGTGGTTTAGGGGGTTATTTGTTTTTAGTTTTGGAGGATTGTGGTGGATATTGGTAGGGGGGGTTAAGGGGAGTATTGGTATGAGATTAGGGGGGGGGGAGAGTTGATGGGGGGGGGATATGAGGTTGTTGGAGGAAATGGAAGGGAAGGATTTTAGAGAGTAGATAGGTGGTGATAGGGGGGGGGGGTTTTTTTTTTTTTTTAATGAGATTTGATGGGGTGGATGGAGGTAGGGGGGTAGGGAATGGGGTTATAAGGTGTAAGTGGGGGGTTAATGGAATGGGTGTGGGGAGGTGGGGGGGGGGGGTGATGTGGGAAGGGGGGTTGTGTTGAAAGAAATGGGATGAGGGGGATGTAGAATTATGGGGAGGAATTGGTTGGGAAGGTGGGGGGGAGAATGAATGAGGAAATGATTGGGTGGGGAATGAGGAATAAGGGAAAAGGAGTTGTTTTGGATGGAAAATTTATGGGGGGGGTGAGGGATAATAATGGGGGGGGGGTTTGGGGGGGGTGGGGGGGTGATGGTGTAGGGGGGGGGAGGGGTAGAATTTATGTGAGGGGGGAATGGGAATTTTTGGAGTGGGGGGGGGGGATGATAAGTTATAAGGAGAATATGGGGGGGAGATATGGAGGGGGGTGTTTTGGGTTTAATAGGGGGTGGTGAGGGGTGTTGGGGAGGGGAGAGGGTATAAGTATGTTTGGAATGTGGGGGATGGATAGTAGGTGGGGGGAATGTATTAGAGAAATAAGATAGTGTGAGGGGGATGGGATGAATTGGGTGATGGAAGTGGTGGGATGAGAGTGTATGAGGAGAAGGGGGGTGGGTTTTGGGGGGGGTGTAGAAGGAGGGTTGGGGGGGGGGATGGGGGAGGGTGTAGATAGGTATTGGGTTTTGGGTTGGAGGATATGTGACAGGGTTGGGGTTTTGGTTTTGAGGGGGGGTGTTGTGTTAGGGTTTTGGAGTATATTATGTGTGTGTTAGGAGGGGGGGGAGAAGGGGAGATGGGGAGAGGAGAAGGGTTTATTTAAAGGTTATGTATTTGTATGGGATGGGTGTATAGGTGGTATATATGGGAGGGAGTGGTGGATGATGATGGTGTATTATGGTGAGGATTTTGAAGATAGGGGTTAGGAGTATGGGGTGGGGGGGAGGGGATAGTTTGGTTTTGGGGTATTGTTGGGGTTAAAAATAGGGGTTGGGGGGGTGGGGGTTTTTGGGTTGGTGAATTGTTTGGGGGGGGAATAGATATTGGGGGAAATAGGGGGGTTGATGTGGGTTGTTTTTTGTGGGGGGTGTGAGGGTGGGGGTTTTGGTGTGGGGGTTTTGGGTTTGGTTTAAGGGTGTAGGAGATGGGGGGATGGGGTATTGGTATATTAGGAAGTGGTTGATATGGTTTTGGGGGAAAGGGGGGGAGTTTTGGTTTTTAGTTTTATGTGTGTTGGTTGTTTAGGGTTGGGTGTGGTATGGTGTTTTGATTTGTTTTGTTTTTGTTAGGAATTGTTTTGTTAGATTTTTGTGTGGGGTATGATATGGGTTTTTGAGGGATATTTATTTGGGGGGGGGGGGGGGGGTATTGTTGGGGGGGGGTGGGTTGTTAGGTTTTGGGGGTGGGTTGAGTGGGTGGGGTGGGGGTTGGGGGTTTGGGGGTGTTGGTGTTGGGGTGGGGTGTTGGGGTTGGGGTGGGGTGTTTTTTGGTTTTGGGTGTGTGGGTGTGTTTTTTTGTGTGTTTTTGTTTGGGGTGGTTGGGTTGGGTGGGTTTTGTTGTTGGGGTTGGGGTGTGTTGGGGGGGTGGGGGTGTGTTTTGTTGGTGTGGTTTTTAATAGGGTGGGTGTGTTTGTTGGTTTGGGTTGTGGGGGGTGGGGGGGGGTGGTTTTGTGGTTGGGTGTTTGGGGTGGTGGGGGGGTGGTGGGGTGGGGTGGGGGGTGGGGGGGGTGTGGGGTTGGGGGTTTTTGTTGGTGGGGGGGGTTTGTGTGTGTGGGTGGTGTGGGTGTTGTGGGGTTGTTTGGGTGTGTTGTGGGGTGTGTTTTTTTGTTTGTTTTTTGTTTGGGTGGGTTTGGGGGGGTAATGGGTGGGGGTTTGTGTGGGTGGTTGGTGTTGGGTTGGGTTGGGGGGTGGGTTTTGTGGGTGGTGTGGTGGGGGGTTTGGTGGGGTGTGTGGGGGGGGGGGGGGGGGGGTTGGGTGGGGTTGTTGTGTTGTGGTGGGGGGTGTGGGGGGGGTGTTTGGGGGTGTGGGTGGGGGGGGGGGTGGGTGGGGGGTGGGTGGTGTGGGGGGGGGTGGGTGGGGGGGTGGGGGGGGGGGTTGTGTGGGGAGGTGGGTGGGTGGGGTGTGTGGGGGGGGTTGGGGTGGGGGGGGGGGTGGGGGGGTTTGGTGTGGGTGGTGGGGGTTGGGTGGGGTTGGGTGTTTGGTGTGTTGGTATTTTTTTGGGGGTGGTTTGGTTTTGGTGGTTTGTTGTGGTTGTTTTAGGGTGGGGTGGGGTGGGGTTGGTTTTTTTGGAGGGGGTGAGTGTAGGTTTTTTTTGTGGTTATGTGTGGGTGTTTTGGTGTTTGGGGGGTTTAGGTGTGGGGTGTTGGTTTTTTTTTTAGTGTTATGGGTATTTGTGTTTTTGGGTTTGTGGGGGGTGGTGGTGTTGTGTTGGTTTTTTTTGTGTTGGGTGTGGTGGGTTGGTTTGTTGTTTTTGGGGGGTGGTTTAGGTGTTTTGGGATGTGGTGTTTTGGGGGTTTTGTTTTGTGGTTTGTGTGTGTGTGGTGGTTTAGTGTGTGGTGGTGGGGGTGGGGTGGTGGGGTGTTTATGTGTTGTGTGGTGTGGGTTTTGGGGGTGTTTTGTAGTTGGAGTGGTTTGGGGATGGTTAAGGTTGGGGGTTGGGTAGGTGTTTGTTTTGTGGGAGGGGGGTGGGGTTATTGGGTGTTATGTAGAGGGGGGGGGGTTTGTGTGGGGGGTTATGTGTGGTTGGGGTGTTTAGGGGTTTTATGTTTGGGTTTTGTTGGGGGGGTGTTTTTGGGTTTTTTGGGGGGGGGGGTTTGTGTTTGGTTTGTTGATGTGTGTGGTGTGGTTTTGTGTGGGGGGGGTGATTTGGTGAGTTGTTTTGGGGGGTGGGTTAGTGTGTGTATAAGTGTATAGGATAAATTTGGTAGGGGAGATTGGGGGGGTAAGGGGAGGGGATTGGATAGGGGATTTTTTTGTTTGGATGTATATGGTTTTTATTTTGTGTTTGGGGTTTTTAGGGTGGTTTTGGGGTATAGGGGAAAAGGAAGGTGGAGAAGGTGGGGATTGGTTGGTTTATATATGGGGAAGGTGAAGGTTTTAATGTTATAGTTGAAGATGGGATAAGAAGTGGGTTAGATGTTTGATAGGTGTGGAAAATATGGAAGGGGGGTGGGTAGTGATTGATAGTTGTTATATTTAGATATGGGGGGAGTAGGAGTTGATAGTTAGGGTTTTTAGTGGTGAATTGTTTGGTTTTGTTGGGGTATTTTGTGTAGATGTGGGGTAAAGTAGGGGGGGGGGGGGGTGAGGGGTGGGTGTGGTTGTTTTGTGGTTGGTGGGTTTTGAGAGGTATGGGGGGGGGTATTGGGTAATTTGGTTGAGGGGAGGGGTAAGGGGAAGGAGTGGTTTGAAGGGAGTGGTTATATTTGGAGGGGAGGTGGGGAATTTGGAAAAGGAAAATTTATGATGTGTGGAAATTTAGTTGAAAGGAGAGGAATTTGGGTAGGTATTATTTTATTTGTATTTTGGGGTTTTTGGTTGTTTTGTTTTGTTTAGTTAGTGGATTTTTGGTGTGGTGTTGTATGTGTGTATTTGGTTAGGAAGAGTTATTATATTATGAGATGAGGGGGGGGGTGGATGTTTGGGATTATAGTTTAGTTTAGATGGATGTTGTTTATTATTTGGAGAAAGGTTTTGGAGATATGTTTGGGTGTAGGGTATGAATTGGGAAGGGGTATGATATTAGGTGGTAAGTGTAGAAGGAGAAAACAGGTAGGGGATTAAGGAGAGTGTTATTAGGAAATTAGGGGGAAAAAGAATTGGAGATTATTAGTTATGGTAGATTGGAGTGGGTGTGGGGGATTTTTTTTGAGTGGTTTATGGTTTATTGATTATGGGGTGGGTAGGGGAATGTGGATTGTGGTATATTTGTAAGGATTTTGGAAGGGGGGGATTGTTGGTAGGGTTTATGGGGTTTGTGTTTGGTTGGGGGGGGGGGTTAATGAGGGGGGTGGTGGGTGGGGGGGGGTTTGAGATGTTTGTTGTGTTAGGGTTTTTGTTTTAGGGTGGGGTTATGGGTTTTTTTTTTTTGGGGTTTTGTTTGTGTTGGGGTTTGGGGGGATATGTTGTTTGATTGGTTGTGGGTGGAAAAATATGGTTATGGTTTAGGGTTTGTGGGTTTGGTGGTTTATGTTTGTGTGTGTTTTTTGTGGGGGGATGTGGATATTATTGGGGTATATTGGGGTTGGTTATTTTGGGTGGGTGGTGGGTTTAGGGGGGTTATTTGTTTTTTTGGTTTGAGATATTGTGGGAAAAAGGGGAGGGGATGGATATTAGTAGAATTTTGGGGGATGGTTGAGGGTTGGTGAAGTGGGGGAAGTTTTGTAGTGTGTTTGTTTGTTTTGGGGGGTTGATGGGGGAGTTTTTGGGTTTGGTGTGGTGTGTGTTGGAGGGGTTTTTTTGTTATTGTTTTGTTTTATATATTATGTAGGTGTAGGGGTTTGGGTGTTTTGGGGTGTTTTGGGTTTTTTGTTTTTGTTTTGGATTTTTGGTGGGTGTGTGGGTAGTTTTGATTTTGTGGTTGGGTTTTTTTATGTTTTTTGGGTTGTGTTTTTTGTGGTGGTAGTTTGTGGTTTTGTTTTTTGTGTTGTGTGTGTTTTGAGTTTGTGGTGGGTGTGGTATGGTATTTGTGTATGAGGGATTAGTTTAGTATTTTGGTGATATATGAGGGGAAGGGGTTTTGGGGGGATTGTTTTTAATGGGAGATTTGTGTGAATGTTTTTGGAGGGGGTGGTTTGGTGGGGAATATAGAAATAAGGGGTGATATAATTTATGGGGGTTGGTTGGGGAGGGGATTGTTTAATTATTGATCACACGGGGGGGGGGGAATATTATTTTAGGTGGGGGGGGGTTTTATTATATGGGGAGATGATAAAGGTTATATAATGAAAAATAGGGGATTTATTGGGGGGGATATTATGGATGGGGGGGGAAGGAGGGGAGGACATATGTATTTGGGTTGGGGAGTTTTGGGGTGGTTGTTGGGGGTGTAATTGTATGGTATGGAGGGTTTTTAAGGGGGGGTAGGGGGGTTTTTGTAGTTAGTAGTGTGGGTGAGAAATTATGTATTGGGTAATTTTATTTTTGAATTTGAGTATTGGTTGGGATATTTTGGTAGGGAATGGGGGGTTTTGTATTGATTGAATTTAAGGGTGGAATTGAGGGTTTGAAGTGATTAGGGTTGAGGAGGGGGATAATTTAGAGGGAATGTATTTTAGTTAGGGGGTAGAGTAGGGGGGATTTTTTGATTTTGGAATGTGATGATGGTTTTTAGGGTTTTATGTAATTTATTTGGATAGGTTGTTTTTGTTTGATGGGTATGTGGTTATTTGGAGTTGTTTGTTGGGGATGATTATATTAGGGGATGGGGGGTGGGGGTTTTTTGGTTTAGTGTATTGTTTGGGATGGGTATAGGTTTTTGGGGTATTATGGGGGGGTGGAGGATTTTGGTTTGGGGGTGTGAGGGGTGGGGGGGGTTATGTTTGATGTGGTATTGGTATTGGGGGGAATTGTAGGATTTATAGGGTGTTATATTGTGTGGTAGTGAAGGGTTGGGGTGTTGAGTGGAGGGGTGGAATGGGTAGATTTGTAAAATATTGGAAGATGGAAAATGTGGGGGGGGAGGAGTATAAGAAGGGAGTTGGGTGGTTTATTGGGAGTTATGATAGTGGGGGGGAGTGTTTGAGGAAGTAGATAAGATAGGGGGGGGGGGATGGTAAAGGGGGATGTGGGGGGGTCTATGGAGGTTGGGGTTGTAGTGAATTATTATAGAGTTAGATGGTTTGTTAAAGGTTGGGGGAGTGTGATTAAGTGTGGGTGGATTAAGTAAAAAAGGGTTTTTAATAGTGTTGGGAGGGGGGGTAATGGATGTGATGTTGTGAATTTGAGGGATGGGGGGGGTGTGATGTGGAGATGGTGGGGGGGTAATGATTGTGAAGATTGATTTTTAGGTGAAAAGAGTTTAGGTTGGTGGTGTGTGGGGGGGGGTATTTGGGGGGGGGTAGGAAGGTGTGATTTGGGGGGAGGGATTTTGTTTGGTGGGTGGGGTTGTTTGTGGGAGGATGTGTATGTTGGGTGAGGGGGGTGGGGTTTTAGGGGGTTGGGTTTGTTAATGGGAGATTGAATAGAGAGGAAGGATGGGATGTATTGTAATTTGAGGGAGGTGATTGAGATTGGGAATAATTGGGAGGGGGGAAGATATGTGGTAGAATGGGTGATTGGTGTAGGTTAGAGATGAGGGGAGAAGGTTGGAGAGGGTGTGTATGGGGTAATTTGTGAAGGGTATTTGAAGGATTGTGTTAATTTATTTATTATGGGGGAGAAAGGATTGTGATGTGGGGGGTTGTGAGGGGTTTTAATGAGTTTTTATTGGAATTGGTGATTTAGGTGGGGAGTTAGGGGATTAGGGTGTGGAGGTGAATGATGGGGGGAGGAATGTGGGGGGTTAGTAGTTTGGGAAGAAGATATTGAGGAATTTATGAGGGGTTTATAGATGTATGGATTTTGGGATGATGAGATGGAAGGGGGTATTGTTAATGTTGGTATAATATGGTGAATGAGATGAAGAGATGGGGGAGAAGGGGGAGGAAGGTGAGATTTTTTTAGGTTTTAGAGAGGAGGGGGGTATTGGAGAGATGTAAGTATAATTTTGTGTGGTTATGGGGTTATATGTGTTATTAAATTATGTTGTTATTAGGGGTATAGGGTGATATTGATTTATTTATGTAGAGGGATGATGGGTTGGAGGAGTTTGTGTTTATTTGGATGTTTTTGTGTATTGATGAGAGGGGTTTTGGTTTTTTGGTTTGTTGGATGGTTAGGGGGGTTGTTTTAGTGTGGGGTGTGGGGGGGGGGGTTGGGGGGGGGGGGGTTGGGTGGGGGGTTGGAGGGTGGGGGGGGGTGTTGGGGGGGTTGGGGGGGGGGGTGTGGGTGTTGTGTTAGTAGGGGTTGGTTGTGTTTGTGTGGGGTTGTTGTTGGGTGTGGTTGTTGTGTTGTGTTGGGAGTGTTGTGGGTTGTGGGTGTTGGGGGTGTGTGGTTTTGTTTTGATTGTTGGGTGGGTGTTGTTTGTGTGTTGTGGGGGGGGGTGTTTGTTGGTTGTTTTGGTTTTTTTGTGGTTTGGGGTGAGTATGATGATGGGTGAAATAAGTGTTTTTTTTGTTGAGGTGTGGTTTTGGGGGTTTTTATGTATAGGTGGGGTTTTGGGGGGGTTTTGGGGGTTTTGGGAGTGGGGGGTAGGTGGGTGGGGTTTGGTGGGTTTTGTGTGTGGGGGATGGGGGTGATGGGTTTGGGGATTGGGTGTGGGTGAGTGTTTTTTTTGGGTTTGTTGGGAGTAGGGGGGTGTTTGGTTTTGTGAGGTTGGGTGTGGTGTGGTGTGGGGTGTTTTGTTTTGGGTGGGGTATTTTGGGGGGGGTTTGGGGTGTGTGTGGTTGTGGGGGTGGGGTGTTGTTGGTTTGTTTTTTGTTGTAATTTGGGGGGGGGGTGTGATTTTGTGTTGGTGTTTTTTTGGTTGTTGGTTTTGTTGGGGTTTGTGTGGTTTGGGTTTGAGGTGTTGTGTTTTATTGGGGTTTGTGGTGGTGGGTGGTTGGTGGGTTGTTATTGTTGTTTTGGGTTTGGTGGGTGTTGGTTGGGTGGGGGGGGTGGGTGTATTTGTTGTTTGTTTTGGGGTTTATATGGGTTGGTTTTTTGTGTGGTTGTTGTGTTTTGTGTGGTGGGGGTTTTTGGTTTGGTGTGTGTGGTGGGTTTGTGGGTTTTTTTTGTGGTTTTGTTGGTGGGGTGTTATTTTGTGTTGTGTTTTGTGGTTGGTTTTTTGTGTGGTGTGGTTTGGTGGTTGTGTTTATTTTGTTGTTTTGGTGTGGGGTGGTGGTGTGGGGTTTGTGTTTTTTTGGGTTTTGTGTTTGGGTGGTGGTGTGTGGGGGGGGGTGGTGGGGTGGGGGGGGGGGTGGGTTTTGGTTGTTTTGGTGTGTTGGGTGGGTTGTTGGTGGTGTGGTTGGGTTTGGTTTTTTGGTTGTTGGTTGTTTTTGTTGGTGGTGGGTTGTGGTTTTGGGTTGTGGGGGTGGGGAATGGGTTTTGAGGTGTGGTGGAGGGTTGGGTTGGGGAGGGGTGGGTATTTGGTTTAGTTGGAGGTAGGATTTGTTTTGGTGTGGTGTTGTGGTTGGTTGTGTGTGGGGTTATTTGGTTGTTGGTTTTGGGGGTGGTAGGGGGTGTTGTGGGGGGTTGGAGGTTTTTGTTGTTTGGGTGGTGGGTTGGGGATTGGGGTTGGTTGTTAGTTGGTGTGTGTTGATTTTGGGGTGTGTTGTTGGTTGTTTGTGTGGGTTTGGGGGTATATGTGGGAGGGGGTTTGTTTGTTGGGGTTGGGGGGTTGTGGGTGGGGGTGGGGTTGTGGGTTGTTTTGTGGTTTTGGGGGGGTTGGTGTTGGGTTGTTTTTTTGTTGGGGTTTGTGTGTTGGTGGGGTGGGGGTTAGGGTGTGTGGGGGTTTGAGGTTTTGGGTGTGGGGGGGGAGGTGGGTTTGGGGTTTAGGGTGATTGGGTGGTTGTGTAGTGGGGGTTGGTTTTGGTTGGTTTGGGTGGGGGGGTTGGGGTGTGTTTGGGGTTGGTTTTGTTTTTTTGGTTTGGGGGGTTGTTGTGGGATGGGGTGTTTGTTGTGGGTGTGTGGGGGTTTTGGGGGTTTGTTGGGGTTGTTGGGTGTTGTGTTTTGTGGGTGGTATGGTTGTTGATGTTATTTTGGGGTGGGTGTTGGTGGGGTTTTGTGGTGGTGTTGATGTTTTTTTAGGAGGTTTAGTGGGTGTTGTTTGGTGGATTTGAAGTGGTATAGGTTGGTGTGTTTGGTGTTTTGTGGTTTGGTTTTATGGGGGTTTTGTATGTTGTTTATATGGTTGGTGAGGTGAGTTTGGGGGTTGGGTTGGTTTGTGTGTGTTTGTGTAGTTGTTGGGTATGTTTTTGTGGGGGGGGGGTTGGGGGGGGGTGGGGTGTTGGGGGTGTTATTTTGGGTTTTTGGGGGGTTGTGGGTATGTTGGTTGTTGGGGGGGGGGGGTTGGGGGGTTGTGGTTTGGTTTTTGATGTGGTGGGTGGGTTTGGGTGTGTTTGGTGTTGTTTGAGGGTTGTGGGTTTGGGGGGATAATAGGATTGAGAATGGTGTGATGGGGGGTGGTTTGGGGTGGATGGGTGGTGGGGTATGGGGGGTTGTGGGGTTTGTGGTTTGGTTTGTGTTATGTGGGTGGTTGTGTTTGGGTTGTTGGGTTGTTTGAGTGTTGTGGTTGTGGGGTGGGTGTTGGGTGGGGGGTGTTGGTTTGGGGGGGGGGTTTTGGGGGTGTTGAGTTTGTGTTGGGTTGTGGTTTGTGGGGTAGGGTTGTGGGGTGGGTTTGGGTGTGTAGGGGGTTGGGTTTTGGTGTTGTGGGAATGTGGGGGGGGTTTGGGGGGGGGTGTGGGGGGGTGGGTTGTGGGGGGTGGGGGTGTTAGTGGGGGGTGGTAGTTTATTTTGTTTGGTGAGGGGTTGGGGTTTTTTGGGGGTGGGTTTTGTTATGGTGATGTGAGGGATATATTATTGTGGGGTATTATATGGTGGGGGTAAGGGGGTTTGTTGGGGTTGGGTTTGTGTAGGTGAAGTAGGTTTGAATAGGGGAATTATTAGGTTTTTTGGGGTGTGGTGTGGTTAGGGGGGTGGGGTTTGGGAGTTATTTTTTTTTTTATGTTTAATGTATGTTTGTGAAGGAATATATGAGAATTGGTTTATGGGGGTTTGGGGTAGGAGGAGGGTTTGTTTAGAGAGAAGGGGGAGGGGAATTTATGGGTGGGGTTGATTGAGTATTAGTTTTGATGATTGAAGGGGGTTGGGGGGGGAGGTTATGTGAGGTGGGGGATGTGTGGTTGGGAGTGTTGATTGGGGGATGTGGGTAATATGGGAATAGGGAAATGAATTGTGGGAGTAAGTGTTGTGGGGTGATTTGGGAGGGAGTATTGTATGTGGGTGATATGGAGGGGAATTTTGTTGGGTTATTATGTGGGTAGGTATTTGTTTTATTTGTTGGTGGGAGGGGATGGTAGTGTATGGGTGTAGGGGGGTTTAGGGGGGGAGGATGTTGGTTTTGTGTGGGGTTTTGTGTGGGGGGGTGGTGGGGGAGTGGAAGGTTGTGGGGTAGGGGGTGGAGAAGATTGGATATTAGAGGTGGATTGAGTTTGGGGAAGATGGGTATTGTTGTTGTATGTTGGGGGTTGGGTTTAATTATGGGTTATAGGGGATAGGGGGTGTGGGGGGGGTAATATAATAGGATAGAGATGGGGGTATGGGTGGTATGTGTGTTGGGTATGGGGGGTTGTTTTTTTTTGTGTGGGTTGGGTGGAGAAGTTGGGAGAATTTTGGGTTATGGGGGTAAAGGGTTGTTGGGGGGTGGGAAGAAAGGTTTATAATGAAGAATAGAGGATAATGTTGTATTATGTAGGGGTGGGATGGTGGTTTTTTATAGTAGGGGGTATTGTGAATAATGGGAAAGAGGAGGAAAGAGATTTGGGGGGTAAATTAGGGTGTTTGTGGGTTTGTGTTAAAGTTGGTGGGGTTTGGGGGGGGGGTGTTGGTTAGTATGGTTGTGTTGATTGGTTGGGTTTTGTGGGGGGTGGTGGGTGTGGTGGGTGGGGGTTTGTTTTTTGGGGGTTTTGTTTGTGTGGGTGTTGTGGTGTTTGGGTTTGTGGGGTGGTGGTGTTGGTTGGGTGGGGTGGGTTGGGGGTGGGTGGTGGTGTGGGGGTGTTTTGGGGGTTATTTTTAATGGGTATATTTTGTGTTGTGTGTGTTTTTTGGGTTTGTTTTGTGTTGGGGTGGGGTTGGTTGTGTGTGTGTGGTGTGGTTGGGTGTGGGGGGGGGGGGTTTTGGTGTTATGGGTGTGGGGTGTGTGTGTTTTTTGGTGTGTGGGGTTTTGTGGGTGGGTTTTATTTATATAATGGATAGTGTTTTTTTGGGGTATGGATTGGTGATATTGGTTGGTGTGTTAGTAGGGTGGTTTTTGTGTTTTTGGTGGGGGGTTTGTTTGGTGGGGTGGGGGGGTTGGGTGTTTGGTTTATGGGGAGGGTGGGTTGTTTGTGGTGTGTGGGTTGGTTAGGGTGGTTTGTGTAGGGTGGTTGGGTGGTGGTTGGGTGGGGTTTTGTGTGTTGTTTGGTGTGGGGGTTTGGTTTTTGGTGGGTTGTGGGATGGTATGGGTAGTGGTTTGTTTGTTGGGGGGTGTATGGGTTTGGTTGGGGGGGGGGGTGGGTGTTGGTTGGGGTGTTGGTGGTGTTTGTGTAGGTGTGGGATGGTTGGGTTTGGTGGGATTGGTTTGTTTTTGGTTTTGGTTGTTGTTTTGGGGGTTGGGGGGTGGGGTTTGTGGGTGGTGTTAGGGGGGGGTAGGTGGGGGGGGGGTGTTGGGGTGGGTTTGTATTTTTTGGTTGTGTGTGTTGTTTTGGTTTTGGGTGGGTTTGGGGGGGTGTAGGTTGTGTTGTGTGTATTTTTGTATTTGGGTGTTTGGGTTTTGGGATTTTTTTGGTTGTATGTTGTGTTGAGGGGTTGGGTGTGGGGGGGGGGTGGTATTTTGTTGTGTGGTTTTTTTTTTTGGATGGGGTGGTTTGTGGTTTGGTTTTTTATGGTTTTTTTGTGGGGTGGTGTTTTGGTGGGTTTTTTGTGTTTGGGGGGGTTAGTTTGTGTTGGTTTGGGGTTTTTTTGTTGTTTTTTTTGGGTTGGTGTTTTTTTTTTTATGATTTGGTGGGGTTATTGGTATTTTGGGGGGGGGGGGGGGTTAGTTTTTGTGTGGGTGGTTGTGTGGTTGGGGTGTGTGGTTGTTGTGTTGGTGTGGGGTGGGGGGGGGGGGGGTTGTTGGATGTTTTTGTGTTTTTGATTTTTATTTAGTGTTTTGGTGGGTTTTTTGTTTTGGGGGGGGGGGTTGTTTATGTTTTGGGTTGGGGGTTGGTATGATTTGAGGGTGGGGAATTTAGTGTAGGGGGGAGTGGGTTGTGTTTTTGGTTGTTGGGGGGGAGTGTAGGTTATAGGGGGAGGTGATTGAAATGGGTGGGAAAGGGGGGTTTGGGGGATTATTGAGGTTTGAGTTAAGGGGGTTGTGGTGAATGTGGTTTGGGTGTATGGGGATTTTTTTGTGTGTTGTGTTTGGATAGGATGGGTGTAGGGTTGTTGGGGGTAGTGTTGTGGGGGGTGGTTTGGATAAGTGTGGTTAGGTGGGGGGTTTGGGGAGATTGTTTTATAGGGTTGAGATTTGGGGGTTTTGTTAGAGATGATAGTTTAAGATGAATTATTTTTAGAATTTGATTAAAATATGTGGAGGGGGGGGGGTGTTAGTTTTATGGTGGGTTTTGTTTGTGAGAGTGTGGGGGGGTTTTAAGGGAGGGATGTTGTTTGTGTATAATTTTTTGTGTTTTGTTTGTTAAAGTTGGGGTGATTTGGGGTATGTGTTTTAAATTTTGTTGGTTGTTTGTTTTTTGAGTGGTTTGGTGGGGTGGGGGGGTTGGTTGGGGTGTGGGTTTTTTGGGTTTTTGGAGGGGTGTGTGGGTGTTTGTTGGTGGTGTGGGGTGGTTGTTTGTTGTTGTGGTGTGGGGGGGGGTTTGGGTGGGTTGGGGGTGTGGTGTTTTTGTTTTGGTGGGGGGGTTTATGGGGTTGGGGTGTGTGGTGTTGTGGTTTGTGGTGGGGGGGGTGTGGGGGTGGTTGGGGTTGGTGGGGGTGTTTGGTTTGGGGGTGGGGGGGTTGGGTGTGTTTGGGGGTGGGGGGGGTGGGTTGGGTTGGGGTTGTTGGGTTGTTTGGGTGTGGGTGGGGGTTGTTTGGGGGGGTGGGGGGGGTGGGTTTTTTTTTTGGTTGTGGGGGGGGGGTTTTTTAATTGTGTTTGTGTTTTGTGTGTGGTTAGGGTGTTGGTTTTTTTGTGTTTTTTGGTTTGGGTGTGGATTTGTTTTTGGTTGTGGGGGGTGGGGTTGGTTGTGGGGTTTTTGGGTTTGTTGTGTTGGTTTGGGGATATGGTGGGGTGTGTGGGGGGGTGGGTATGTTGGTGTTGTGTTTGGTTTAGTGGGTTTTGTGTTTTGAGTATGGTGTGGGATATGAGTTGTGTGGGTTTTTTGTTAATGTGGATATGTTAATTTTTTGTATTTGGTGATGTAGGGAAAGAATTTTGGTGGTTTTGTAGTTTAGTGGGGTTTTTGATTGTTTGGGGGGGGAAGGTTTATAGAAGGATATATGGGTTGAAATGGTAGGGTGAGAGGGGGGGGGGGGGGGGGGGGGAGGGGGAAGGGGGAAGAGGGGTTATGTTTATATTATTATTTAGATGTTTATGGTTTTTAGGGGGGTTTGGGGGGGGTTTGGTGGGTTATGGGAGTTGTGGGAAGGTGGATGTTTATGAGTGGGTGTTATGGGAAATATTTGGGGGTTATTAGGGGAGGGGGGGTAATATGATAGAGATAGGAGGGATATGTTAAGGGTGGTTTTTGATTGATTGGGTGGAGGGGGTAAAGTTTGATTAATTATATGGTGAGTTAGGGGTATTTGGAATGGGTTTGGGGGAATTATATTGTTGTGTTATTTATGGGATTTAAATTTTTGTTTATTGTGGGATGTTGGGTGTGGGAATGTTGGGGTGGGGGAGATATTATGGAGTTGGGAAGTGAGGGAATGTGGGGTGGTGTTTGGGTTTGTGGGTTTGGGTGAAATTTAGATATAATTTTGGATTGTTTTATGGTATTAGGGGGGGGGGGTATGTGTTGGGGGGGTGGTTTGTTGGGTAAGTTATGGGAGGGGGTTTGAGTGGGGGGGGTAATTGGATTGAAAAGGGGATTGTGGGAATTTTTTAGTTATATGTTTAGAAGTGGATTTATGTGGTGGTGAAGGGATGTTGTTGGGGTTAAATATGGGTTGTGGATTGGGTGAATTGGGTTTGGTGGGTTATGGGGGGTAATGTAAATGTTGTGGAGAGGAGATAAAGTGGGGGTATGTGGGGATTGGGTATATATAATTGGGTAGTTAGGAGAGGGTTTTATTGATTATATGGGAGTTGTAGGGGTGTGATGGGGTTTTATTGTTGTATGTTTATTTGTGGTGGGGGGTTTTGAATGAGTGGTGATGGGAAGATGAGTAGTAGGATGGGATTTGGGTTGTTGTGGGAGGGGGGGTGGAATGGGGGGGGGGGGGTATTGGGTGGGAGATTGTGGTTGAGTGTTGTATGGGATGGGGAGAAATAATAGTAGGTGTGGGTAAATTATTAGGGTGGTTTTGTGGTAGGGTGGGTAAAGGTGTTGAGAGAGATATTTGTTAGGGTGTTTTGTTTTGGGGGGTGTGGTGGTTGGGATAGTATAGGGAGAGGGTTATAGGTGAATTAGAGATGGGATAGGGATGTTGGGGTGTGTTGGGGAGGAAAGAGAAAACAAAAGATGATAGGAAATAGGAATTTTAGGTGGTAGGTGTGGGGTAGGGGTGTATTAGGGTGGGTATGGGAAATTTTTTAATTTTTAGGATTGGGATGGGGGTGGAAATTTATGATGGGAGTGATGTTTGTATATGGAGGTTGATTTGTGTATTATGGGTGTTTTGATTATTGTGATGGGATATATGGATATATGGTTGGGGTTAATTAATGATAGTATGATATGTGATTTGGTGAAAATGTAGGGAGGTGGGATATATGTGGAAGGGTAGTTTTAGGATAAAAGAGAAAGTTAAAGGATGGGAATGAAATAGATTGATATGGTTTTGGGGGAATGGGTGTAGTGGAATATTTATATTGGTTATGGTAGGGTGTGATGTTTGAAGGGGTTATTGGGTGTTATATAGTAAGATGGTGGAGTGTGGGTTAATGTAATATGTGATTAAGGTTTGTAGGAGGGGGTGGGTAAGTTTGTTAATTTGAGTTTGTATAGTTTTGGGGGTGGGGGGTTTGGGGGGGGGGTTATAAGAAGTTGAATATCATTGGGGTTGTTTTGAGAGAGTTGGGGGGAGAGTATTAGAGGGTGGTAGGATATTAGGGAATATGATGTGGGGGTATGTATATGAGGGTGAGGGAGGGGATTATTTTTGGTTTGAGTATATGAGTTGAGTTTTGGGGTTAGGGAAATTATTGATATTTTGGGGTTTGGGGTTTAAATGAGGTGAATGGGGGGGGAGTGGATGGATGGATAGGGGTGGGGGGGGGGGTAAGGTTATGGTGAGTTTTGAGTATAGGGAATTAGGTGGAGAAAGGAGGAGGGAGGGAGTTGAGGGGAGTGAGTTTTATTTATATGGGTTATAAAGGGATAGGGTTGTAATATTAATAAGTTGTTTGAAAGGGTGGGGGGGAGGGGGGTTTGGAGAAGGGAAGGGGAGTTATGTGTTATGATTTATGGGAGGAAATGGGATTGGAGAGGAAAGGTGTATAGATAAGGGGGTATGAAGGTTAAAATAGTGAGGAAAGGTATAGGGAGTGAGGGATAAGGAGAAATTGGTTAGGGGAATTTGTTGAGGAGAAATGTGGGGTAGGGAGTGGATGGATGGTTGGGGGATGGTGGGGGAGGGAATATAAGAGAATGAGATGGATGAGGGGGGGGAGGTGGATGGGTGGTTGGTTTAAGAGGAGGTTGAGGATAAAGAGAGGGTAGATGGTTGGGGTGGAGGGTGAATTGATATTTTATTATGAGATTGGTAAAATTTTAGTTGGGAATTGGTGGTTGTTGAGGGGAGTATAAGATGGATGTTTAGGGGAGGGGGAGGAAGAATTTAGGGGGATTGGGGTAAAAGTGAGAGGAGAGGTGTTGTAGGGTTTATATGTGGTGGATGGTGGGGTGGGGTGGGGTAGATGGTAGTGTAAGTATTTTATAGGGGGGGATGAGGGTGGTGGGTTTGTTGGTGGAGTGAATTTGTTTTAGGTATTGGGTAGGTGTAAGGGTAGTTTTAGGGTTTGTAATAGGTGGAGATGGATAATGTGTGGTGTTAGTAGGTTGTGTAGTGTGTTGTGTTGTGGGTAGGTGGGTGAGATATGAGGGTTGGGTATGGGATAAGGGGAAGGTGTATGTATAATTGTGGGGGATTTTGGTGTTTGGATTTATTGTATGATGGTGGTGTGTATTGTTTGGGAAATTTTTGTTGGGGATTATTTTGGGAATCGGGATTGGAGGTTTAAGGGGATTGTGGTGGATGGTGTGATATATGTGGTTAATTGGTAAGGAACATGAGTGTAAAGTATGATAAGAGGTGGGATTTTGGAATGAGGGTGAGATAAGTAAGAAAAGGTGGGGGGAGAAGGAGTAATAGGGTTGGTAGAATATAGAAAGTATGTAAGGGGATGGGGGTAGGTTGGGGGATGGGTGGGTTGGGGTAGGTGGGTAGTGATAATGAATGTAAAGATAAGAAGAATATTGGGAATGGGTGATGAAAATTGGGGGGGGGGTAGGGGGGGAAAGAAGGTAATGTGTGATGTTGGAATTATAGTGATGGTGGTGGGGATTATTGATTGGGGTTGGTGTGTATATTGTATTATATTGGAATGGAATTGGGATGGGTTATTTAAATTTTGATGGTTTTGATTTTGGTGATATGTTATTGTTTTTGGTTTGGTTGTTTTTTTTTTTTTGAAGATGGGGGAGGAAAAGGGGGATTATGTTAAGGAGGTTAAGGGGTGTTTAGTGGATGTGTGGTGGAATTTATAATTATGAGGATGTTGTTTGGGAATGTTGGGTGATGATTGTATATGTATTGATAAGAAAATGTGGGTGGAGACTATGGGGAATATATTATTGGAAGAAGTGAGAAGATGTGGAGGGATGGTTATGTGGGAAGTAGTAAAGGAATTATTGTGGTTTTGGGAGTGGGAGTGATTGTAGGGGGGGTATATTATGTAGGGGGGGTTTGATGGAGAGGTGGGAATATGGTGAATGGATGTGTAAGGTGGTAGGGGGGTAGTTGGGGGGAGTAGGAAAGGTGAGGGGGGATGGTAGAGGTAGAGGGGGGGAAGGTGGGTTTGTGTAGATGAGGGGGGTATGAAGGTGGGGGGTATGTAATGGTGATAATGGGATGGGTGAGTTAAGTAGGGGTGTATTTGGAATGTTTTTGAGAATTGTAGAGGTTGTATATGGGGGGGGGTGAATGGATTTGGGGTGTGTGTGGGGTTTTTGAGTGGTAAATGTGATGGAGAGTTAGAATGGGGGGGGGGGGGGTAGGGGAGTGTGGGATTGGTGATAGGGGAAGGTGATGGGGTAAATGGGATGAGTTTGGAATAGTGGAAAGGGTAGGAGGGGTAAAGGTTGGGGTGTGGGGTGTATAGGGGTGGGTTGAGGGGGGTGATTTGAATGTTTTGGGTTGGGTGATTGTGGTGAGGTGGGGGTTTGAGGGATGTAAATGGTAGGAGGGGGGAATGGTTGTTGGAAGGTATTAGATATGGGGTATTGGTTTTTGTGATGGTGGTGTGTGGATGTGGAGGGATTGATTGTTGGGTGGGGGGGTAAAAATTATGGGTGTGATATGGAAGGGGTTTATAGGAAGGGGAGTAATAAAGGAAAAGAGAGGGAGGTGGGTGGGGGGGGTGAGGAGGGGGTGAAATGTGTTTTGGGGGGGGGTTATATAGATTTGAGGGATGAGTGGTTGTGTTTAATATATGATATGTTGGGGGGGGGGGGGGAGAGTAAGGGGTTTTGGGGATTTTTAGTATGGTGTGGGGAGGGGGGGGATGGGGGGGGGATGGGTTGAAGTAGGGGTGTATGATAATAGGTTGGAGGGAAGAAGTGGTGGGTGGGGGAGTTTATAGTGTGTTTAGGTATGTTTAATTTATTTGAGTGGTTGTTTTATTTTTATAGTGGATTGGGGGTGGTATTTTTGGGGGTGGGGGAGTAGAGGGGGGTTAGTATTATGGAGTTGTTATTTTTGTTTTTTGGGGTGGGTGATTGTTGTTTTGGATGTGGGTTGTGTTTGTGGTTTGGTTTGTGTTTTTGGGTGAGAGGGGTGTTTGTTGGTTGTGGGGTATTTGGGTTTGGGATTTGGGGTTATTTGGGGTTTGGATTTGTTTGTGTGTTTTTGGTTGGGGGGGGGGTGTGTGTTTTGGTGTTTTTGTGTTGGGGTTTGTTGGGGGTGTGGGTTTTGGGGGGGTTTTGTTTTTGATGGTTTTGAGTGTGTGGTGGTTTTATTGGGTTGTTGTTGGGGGGGGGTAATTAGGGGGAGGTTTGGTATGAGGATTGGGGAGGTGGGGAAAGTGATGGGGATATGAGGGTGTTATGGTTGGGAGGAATTGAGAAGGATTTTTTAGATTGTTGGTGGGGTGTTTGGTGGGGGGTATTTGTAGGATAGAGGGGAAAAAAATGAGTTGGTGATGTGTAGGGTAGGAAGGGGGTTATAAGGTTAGGGAGTGGGGGTAATTGTGATTGGGGTGTTGGGGGGGGTGGGTGGGGGGGGGGGTGTTGGTTGGGGGGTGTGTTTGTGATAGTAATGGGTTGGAGGGGGTTGTTGTTTGTTGGGGTGGTTTTGGGGGGGGTGGTGGGTTGGGTTTTTGTGTTTGTTTGGGGTTTGTTTGGTTTGTGGGGGGGGTTGGTTATTGTTGTGTGTTTTGTTTGGGGGTGGGTGGGGGGTGGGTGGTGGGGGTGGGGGGTTTTTTTTGGTGGGTTGGGTTTGTTTGGTGGGGGGGGGTTGTGTATTTTTTTTTGGTGTTGTGGGGGGGGGTAGTTTTGTGGGGGGTTTGTGGGGTTTTGTGGGGGGGGGTGTGGGGGGTGGTGGGTGTGGGTTGTTGGGTTTGTTTGTTTTGGGTTGGGTGTTTGGGGGGGGTTGGTTGTGTTTGTGTTGTGTGGGTGGGTGTTGTTGTTGGGGTGTTGGGTAGTGGTGGTGGTGTGTGTGTTGGTGTTGGGGGGTGGGGGGGGTTTGTGGGGGGGGGGGGTTGGGTGGGTTTTTGGTGGGGTGTGGTTGTGGTGTTGTGTTGGGTGGGGGGGTGGGGGGTGGGGGGGTTGGGTTTGGGTGAGGATGGTTTTGTGGTTGTGTTGTGGGGGGGGGTTGGGGGGTGGTGGGGTTGTGTTGGGGGTTTGGGTTTGGGTGGTGTTTGGGTTGGGGTGGGTGGTGGGGGTTTGTGTGTGTGGGGAGGTGTTGGGGTGTGGGGGGTTGGTGTGTGTGTGTGGTGGTGGGGGGGTGTGTGTTTGTTGGGGGTTTTTGTTGGGTTTTTTTGTGGGTGGGGGGGGTGGGGGGTTTTGGGTTTGGTGTTTGGGTGGGGGGGTTTTGGTGTTTGGGTTTGTGGGGGGGGGGTGGGTGTGGTGGTGGGGGGTGGGGTGGGTGGTGTTGGGGGTGGGGGGGTGGGTTTTTGGGGTGGGTTGTTGTGGGTGTGGTTTTGGGTGGTTTTGGTGGGGTTGGTTGTTTGTTATGTTTGGGGGGGGTTGGTTTTGTGTGTTGTGGTTTTGGTGGGTGTTGTTGGTGGGGGGTGTGTTTTGTGTGGGTGGTTGGTGTGTGGGTGTGTTAGTTTGGGGGGTTGTGGGGGTGGTGGGGTTGTTGTTTTGGGGTTGTTGGGGGGGTGGGGGTGTTGGTTGGGTGGGGGGTGGTTGGGGGGGGTGGGGGTGGGTTGGTGTTGTGGGGGGGGGGAGTTGGGTGGGGTGGGGGGGGGGGGGTGGGGGGGGTTGTGGGGGTGGTGTGGGTGTTGTTGTTGGTGTTGGGTGGTTGGTTGGTGGGGGGGGTTGGTTTGGGGGGGGGGGTGGGGTGTGGGGGGTGTGGTGGGGGGGGTGGGTGGTGTGTGGGGTGGGGTGTTTTTTGTGTTGGTGGGTTGGGTTGGGTTGGGGTTGTTGGGGTGGGGGGGGTGGTGTTGGGGGGTTGGGGGGGGGGGGGGGGTGGTTGGTTGTTGGGGGGTTGGGGGGGGGGGGTGTGGGGGGTGTGGGTTTGGTGGGTGGGTGGGGGTTTGTGTGTGTGGGTTGTGGTGGTGGGGGTTTGGGGGGTGTGTGGTGGGTGTTGGTGTGGGTTTTTGGGGGGGGGGGTTGGGGGGGTGGGGGGGGGTTTGGTGGTGGGGTGTGGGTTGGGGTGTTGTTGGGTTTGGGGGGGGTGTTTTGGTGGGTGGGGGGGGGGGGGGGGGGGTGGTGGGGGGGGGGGGGGGGGGTGGGGTGGGTGGGGGTGGGGGGGTGTTGGTGGGGGGGGGGGTTGGGGGGGGGGGGTTTTTGTTTGGTTAGGTGGTTGTTTGGGTGGGGTGTGGTTTTGGGGGTTGGGTGGTGTGGGTGGGGGGGGGGTGGTGTTTGGGGGTGGGGGGGGTTTGGGGGTGTGGTGTGTTTGGGTGTGGGGGGGTGGGGTGTGGGGTTGGGGGTGGGGGTGGGTGGGGTTGGGGTTTGTTTGTGTGGGGTTGGGAGGGGGTGGTGTGTGGGTTTTGGTGTGTTGGGTTTTTTTTGGGGGGGGGTGTTTGGGTAGTTGGTGGTTGTGGGGTGGGTTTGGGTGTGGTGGGTGGGTGTGGTTTGTTGGGGTGGGGGGGGGTGGTTGGTTGGTGTGGTGGTGGTTTGGGGGGGGGGGGGGTGGGGTTTGGGGGTGTGTTTGTGGGGGGTTTGTTTGTTGTATGTGGGTTGTGGGGGGTTTGGTTTGTTTGTTGGGTGGGGGGTTTGTTTTGGTGTTTTGGGTTGGGGGGGGGTGTGGTGGGGGTGGGGGGGGGGGTGGTGTGGTGTGGGGGGTGGTTGGTGTGGGGGTGGGTGGGTGGTGTGTGGTGGTGTGGTGTGGTGGGGGGGGAGGGGGGTGGGGGGGGGGGGGGGGGGGGGGGGGGGGGGGGGGGGGGGGGGGGTGTTGGTTGTGGGTGGGGGGTGGTGTTGTGGGTGGGGTGTGGGGGGGGGGGGTGGGGGTTTGGTGTGGGGGGGGGGTGGGGTGGGGGTTGGTGGGTGGGGGGGGGGGGATGGGGGTGGGTGTTTTGGGGGGGGGGGGGGGGGGGTGTGGTTTTGTGGGGGTGGGGGTGTTTTGGGTTGTGTTGTGTTGGGTTGTGTTGGGGGTGTGTGGGGTGGGTGGGGGGTTTGTGTTGGGTTTTGTTTGTTGGGGGTGGTGGTTGTGTTGTGGGGTGTTTTGTTTGTGGTTGGGGGGGTGGGGGTTTTGGGTGGGTTTTGTTGTTTGATTGTTGGTTTGTGGTTTGGTGGGGTTTGTTTGGTTTTTGTTGGTTTGTTGTTGGTTGTGATGGGTTTTGTGGTGGGGTTGGTGGGGGTTTGGTTGGTTGGGTTTGGGGGTGGGTTGGTTTTTTTTTGGGGTGTTGGTTTTTGGGGTGTTTGTGGTTGTGTTGGTTTGTGGGTTTGTGTTGTTTGGGGGTTGTTGTTGTTGGGGGGGGTGGTGGGTGTGGGTGTTTTTTTGGGTGTTGGGGATGGTTGAAGTTATGTTAGGGGTTTTATGGTGTAATTGTTTGTGTTTTGTAGGGGATTTTTTAGGAAGGTGTGTGGGTTATGGTGGGGGGGGGGGGGGGGTGGGGGTGGTGTGGGGTGGGTGTTTGTGGTGGGTGGGGGGGTTTTTTGGTTTGGGGTGTGGGGGGGGGGTTTGGTGGGGTGGGGTGGGTATTTGGGGGGTATGGAGTTGATGGGGTGTTGTGGGGGTGTGGGGGGGGGTGTGGGTTTTGTTTTTTTTTTGTTTGGGTTTTGTTTTTGGTGGTGTTGTTTGGGGTGGTTTTTTTGGTTTTGTTTTTGGGTGGTTTGTTGGTTTGGGTTGTGTTAGGGGGTTGGTGGTTTTTGTGTGGTTTGGGGGGGGGTTGGTGGGTGGTGGGGGTTTTTGTTGGTGTTGGTGGGGTGGGTTTGTGGTGGTTTGTTGTGTGTGTTGGTTGGGTTTTTGGGGGGTGTTTGTGTTTTGTGTTTTGGGTTGGGGGTTGTAGGGTTTTGATTTGTTTGGGGTGTTTTTGTGGGTGGTTTGGGGAGTGGTGTTTTGTTTGTGGGGGTTTGTGTGGGGTTGTGGGTTATGTGGTGGTTTTTGTTTTGGTGTTTTTGTGGGTTGGGTTGTTGTGTGGGGGTTGGGTTTTGGTGGTGTGGGTGTTTGGTGTGTGTTGGTTTGTGGGGTTGGGGGTTGGTTGGTGGGGTTGGTGGTTGGTGATTTTTTTGGTTTGTGGGTTGGGGTTTTTTTGGGGTTGATGGGGGTGTGGTGGGTGGGGGGGGTAGGGTTTTGTGTGGGTTGTGGTGGGGTGTGGGGGGTGTGTGGGTGGTGGGTGTTGGTTGTTGTTTTGTAGGAGGGGGGTGTGTTGGGGGTTTTTTGTTGGGGGGGTTTTGGTTTGTGTGTGGGTGGGTTGTTTTGGTGGTTGTTTTGTGGGGGGTGTATATGGTTTAGGTTTTTGGGTTTTTTGGGTTAGGTTTTTTTTTGGGTTGTTTTTTGTGGGGGGTTGGTGTTTATTTTGTTTTTGGGGTGGTTATGTTGGTGGGTGTTGGGTTTAGGGGGTTTTTGTTTTGTTGGTTTTGGGGGGTGGTTTTGGGGGTGGGGGGGGTTTGGGGTGGTTGGGGGTTTTGTGATTAGTTTTTGGTGGGGTTGAGGGGGTTGGGGAGAATGGGAAGTTTGGTAGGGGTGTTTGTTTGGATAGGGGGGGTGATTGAGAAGGTGTTTGGTTAAGATGGGTGTGTGTTGGTGGGGGTGGTTTTTGGGGGAGTTTTGTTGTTTGTTTTTTTTTTTGTTGGTGTGTTGGGGGGGTTTGTTTTTGTGGTGTTGGTTGTGGGGTATTTTTGGTTGTATGTGTTTTTTGGATTGTTGGTGGGGTTTGGTTTGTATAAATTGTTTTGTGGTTTTGTTTGGTGGTATATGTTGTGTGGTGGGTGTTGTGTGTTTTTGGGGTGTTGTTGGGTTTGGTTGGGGTGTGTGGGTTTGTTGTGGTGTTTTGGGGGGGGTGTAGGATTGTTTTTTTTATTGTGATTTTATTTATTTATTTTGGTTTTTTTTTAGGGTTGATATAGTTGAATTAAAAAATTTTTATATTACTGTTTGGGGGGGATATTTTAGGGAAGGGTGGGGGTTTGGGGATTGTTTTTATGGGATATTTGGGGTGGAATGTTTTGAGGGGGGGGGGTTTGGGGGGGGAAATTAATAAGGGTTAAATAATTTATGGGGGGGTTTGTTGGGGGAGGGGGAGTGTTTAATTTGAATTAGGGGGGGGAATATTGGAGTTTTTTAGGTGTGTGGGGGGGAGTTTTGGGATTTATATGAATATAAAGTTAGTGTTAGTATAAGAAATAGGAATTTATGGGGGGGGGGTGATGAGATGAGGGGGTGAAGAGGGGGAGGATATGGGGTATGGTTTGTGGGTGTTTTGGTGTTGTGTTGAATTTGTATGGTAATGGAGGTTTTTTAAGGGGTGGTGGTTGTTGGTATGGTTAGTATGGGTGGGGTAATTATGTTTTGGGGGTGATATATTTTTTTGTTTTTTTGTGTTATTGTTGGGGGATTTTTGTTAGTAATGGGGGGGTTTTGATTTGATGTGTATTTTTGTTGTATTGATTGATGGTTTTGGATTTAGGGAGGGGGGGGATAATTTTAGAGGGTATGATTTTAAGATATATTGGTATAGTAAGGGGGGGGGGGGATTTTTTGGATTGGGTTGGAAGGAAGATTTGGATTTTTGGTGTGTTTTGTTAAATTGGGATTAGTATAGGTTGGATTTTTTGGGTGGGAGTATTTGTGTATTTTAGGGGTTGTTGTGGGGTTTATGAATTTAGGGGATGGGGGGTGGGGGTTTTTGGTGTGTGAATTGTTGGGTAGGTATTAGGATTTGTGGGATTTTTAGGGGGGTTGGAGTTTTTTTGGTTTGGGGTGTGAGGGTGGGGGTTTGGTTGGGGGTTTTGGGTTTGGGGGTTTGGGATGTGAGGTGGGTTTATAGGGGGTGTTATGATGTGGTGTGTGTGGGTTGGTTGGTGGGTGTGGTAGGGTGGGGGTGGATTGGGTTTTGGTTTTTATGGTTGGTTGGTTTTGTGGAGGTGTAATTGAGTGGGTGGGTTTTTTTGGAGTTTTGATTGGGGTTGGGTTGTTTTGGGTTTTGTTTGATGTGGGGGGTGTAAAGGGGGATTTGGGGGTTTGTTTGGTTGGGGGGGTGTTGTATGGGGGTATTTGTGTTTGTTTTGTTTTAGGTTGGGATGGGGTGATTTATTTGTTTATGTTATATGTTGTTTGGGATAGTGGGGAGGGGGGGGTTTGTTGTTTGGTTTGATTATTTGAGGGATGGGGGGGGGGGTGTGGATGTAGTTGGGTGGGTGTAATGAGGTGTGGAAGATTGTGATTTTGTTTTTTTGGGGGGGGGGTTTTTTGGGGGGTTTGGGGGATGTGTGGGGGTGTTGGTGGGGTGGGTGGGGGTTTTGGTGGGATGTTGTGTTTGTTTGAGGGGGGTTGGGTTTTTGGGTTGGGGGGTTGGTGTTGGGTGTTTGTTTTGTTGTTAGGGGGGGTTGGTTGTTTGGATTTTGTGTTGTTTGTGTTTGGGTGTTTTTGTGGGGTGATATGGTGGTTGTTTGGTGTGTGGGTTGTTTGTGTTTGGGTTTTTGGTTGGGTGGGTGTTTGTTGTGTGTTGTTTGGTGTTGGTGTGTGTTTATGGTATGTGAGGTGTGGTTGTTTTGTGGAATGGTTGTTGGGGGTTTTGTGTTTTTTTTGGGGTTTTTTTTTTAGGTGGTGTTGGTGTTGGTGGGGTGGTATTTGGGTGGGGGTGTTGTGGGTTATTGGATTGAAGGTGTTATTGTGGTGGTTTTGGGGTTTGTGTGTTTGTTTGATTTTGTTGTTGTATTTTTATTGGTTGGTTTTTAGGGTGATTGTTATGGTATGTTTGTGAGTGGTGGTGTGGTTGATTTGGGTTTTTGTGTTGGGGTGTTGGTTGTTTGTTGTGGGTGTTTGTGGGGTGGGGTTTGGGTGTTTATGTGTTTAGTTTGTTTGTTTTTTTTGTTGTTTGGGGTGTTTTTGTTTTTGGTTTGTTGGGGTGTGGGTTGGGGTGGTGTGTTTTGTGGGGGGGGTTTGTGTGTGGGGGTTTTTGTTGTGTGTGGGGGGGTGGTTGGGTGTTGGGTGGGGGTGGTTGTGTGTGTGGGGTGGGGGGTGTGGGTGGGGGGGGGTGGGGTGTGGGGGGTGGGGGGGGGTGGTGGGGGGGGGGGGGGGGATTTAGGGGTGGGGGGGGGGGGTTGGGGGTGGGTTGGGTGTGTGTTTTGTTTTGGTTGGGTTGGTTGTTGTTGGTTGGGTGGGTTTTTATGTGGTTGGTTTGTTTTGTTTTGTGTGTGTTTGTTTGGGGGTGTGTTTGAGTTTTTGTTTTGTTTGTTGTTTTGTTTGTTAGGGTTTTTAGGGGTTTTTTTTGGTGGGGTTTGGTTTTTTGGGGGGTTGAGTTTTTTGGGGGTTGGGGGGATTTTTTGAGGGGGAGTAGGGGGGTATTGTTGGGTTGTTTTGTTTTGGGTTGGTGGGTTTGGTTGTTTGGGGGGGGGTTTTGGGGGGGGTGTGGTTTGGGGGGGGGGGGTTTGTTGGTGGGGGGGGTTTGGGGGGGGTTGTGGGTTGTTGAGTTGGGGGTTTGGGGTTTGGGTTTTTGGTGTGGTGTGTGTATGTATTTGTTTGGTTGGGTGATTGGTTGTTTGTTTTTTTGTGTGAGTGTGAGGTGAGGTTAGTGGTTGTAAAGTGAATGGTTGGGGGGGTTATTAGGGGGTTGGGTGTGGGGGGTGTGGGGTTGGGGAGGTAGGGATTGGGTGGGGGTGTATTTGGTTTATTATTGTGTATTTTGGGGGGGGGGGGGTGTGTTTGGTTGTTTGTTTTTTTATTATGATGTGTTATGGGGGGTTTTGTGTAAGATGTTTTTTTTGGGTTTTAGGTGTATATGGGGTTATTTTGTTGGGTGTTTTTGGGGTTTATAAGTGGTTGGTTATTGTGTGAGGGTTGGGGTGGTGGGGTGGGGTGTGGGTGGGGGGGGGGGTGTTGGAGTAGTTGGTGTTTGGGGTTTTTTTGTTGGTTTTTGGTGGTTGGTTTGTTTGTTTTGTGGTGTTTTTGGGTTTTTGTTTGTGTGTTGGGTGTGTTGTATTGTGTTTTTTTGTGGGTTTTTGTGGTTGTGTTTTAGGTGTTTGTGTGTGTTTTTATTTGTTGGATGGAAGGGAGTAGTGGAAGTATGTGTTAGGTGGGAGATAGGTTTGATATAATGGTTTTAGATGGGGTAGGAGGGGGTGATGGGGGATAGGGGGGTTTATGGGGTTTGGGGATTTGTAATGTTTGTGGTGTGGTTGGGTGGTTGTATGGGGGGGGGTTTGGTGGGGGGTGGAGTTTATATGGTGTTTTAGGTTTATGATGTATGTTTTGGGGGGGAAGGGGTGAGGTGGGATGAGTGGGGGGAATGTTTGTATGTGATTGTATTGTTGGTTGGGGGTTTAGTTTTTGTTATTGGGGTGTTTTGGGGTGGGGTGTTTGGTATATGGGTGGTGGGGGAAGATATGTGGTTGGTAGGGGGGTTGGGTGGGGTGGTGGGTTGTTGGTGGTAGTTGGGTTGGTTTTTTTTTGGTTTGGGTTGTGGTGTGGTTGTGTGTGGGGTGTTTTTTGAGGTGTGGGTGGGTGGTGGGGGGGGAGTGGGTGGGGTTGTTGGGGGTTATGTTGATTGATTGAGGGGTGGGGGTTGGGGGATGTGGGGGTTTTTGTAGATGGTTTGGGGGTGTTTGGGATGTGGGTTTTTGGGGGGTGGGGATATGATTTAGGTAGTGGTGGGGGTTTGGGTTGTTGTGGTTGGTTTTTGGTTGGGGATTTGGGGGGGGGGGGGTTGTGTTGTGGGTGTTGGGGGGGGTTGGTGGTTGTGGTTGTGGGTGGTGTGGGGGGGTTGGGGGTGGGTTTGTGGGGTTGGTTTGTTTTGTGGGGGGTGGGGGGGGTGGGGTGGTGGGGTTGGTTGGGGTGGGGGGAGGGGTGGGGGGGTGGGGGGGGTGGGGGGGTTGTGGTTGGGGGGGTGTGGGGGGGGGGGTGTTGGTGGTGGGTTTGGGGGGGGGGGGGGGGGGTTTGTTTTGGGGGGTGGGTGGTGGGGGGGAGTGGGGGGGGGTGGTGGTGTGGTTTTGGTGTGAGTGGGGTTTTGGTGGTGGGGTGTGGTGTTTTGTTTTGTGGGGGTTTGGGTTTGTTGTGTTGGTGGGGGGTGTGGGTGGGGGTTTTGGGGTGGGTGTTTGGGGGGTGTTGGGGGTGTGTGGTGGGGGGGGTGGTGTGGTTTGGGGTTGGTGGTGGGTGTTGTGTTTGTTGTGGGGGGGGGGGTTTTTGGGGGGGTGGGGGTTGGGGGGTGGTGTGGGGGTGTGGGTGTGGGGGTTGGTTGTTTGGTGTGGGTTGGTGTTGGTTTGGGTTTTTTGGTGGGGGGGGGGGGGGTTGGGGGGGGGGTGGGGGTTTGGGGATTTTTGGGGGGTGGGGTTTTGGGGGGGGTGTGGGGTATTTTGGGGTTGATGGGGTGGTGGGGGTTGGGGGGGGGGTATTTGTTTTTTATGTGATTATGGTGGGGTGGGGGGTTTTAAATAGGGTTATAGTGGAGATGAGTTAGAATTGGGTTGTGGTATGGGGGGGGGAAAGGATTGAAGGGAATGTGTGATGTGGGTGAGGGGGATGGGTGGAGGGTGAGGGGAGGTATGTGGTTAATTGTGGATAGGGTAATTTAGATTGAGGGATTATTTGGGTGTTAGGTGGGTTTGTTATTAGATTTGGGTGGATGGGGAGGTGTATAAGTGTGGTGGGGAAGTGTGGGGGTTAGAGGGTTTGTGTTTGGTGTAGGAGATAAGATTTGTGTAGGGTGGGAGGGGGTGGTTGTTTAGTTTTGGTGGGGGGGGGGTTTGTTGTGTTGGATGGTAATTGTTAGTGGGTCTCTGGTGGGGGGGGGGGGGGTTTGGGGGGGGGGGAGAGTTGAGGGGGATTGGTTTGGAGGGGGGGGATTGGTGTGTGTGGAGGGGGGGGATGGGTTGTTGGTTTGGTTTGGTGGGGTTTGGGTTTTTAGGGGGGGGGGTTTGGTTGGTATGTAGGGGGGATTTTGTTTTTGGGGTATTTAGGGGGTAGGGTGTTTTGTTGTGGGTTGGTATGTATGGGTAGTAAGTAGGTTTGATAGGGTTTTTAGGGAATAATTTGGGGATGTGGGTTTGGTAGGGGGGGGTAGGGGATGAGGAATTTTTTTATTAAATTTTATGGTATTGAAGAAATTATGGTGGATATGTTTTTTGGTTTTGGGGGTTGTGGGATTTTTGTTGAGGTTGTGGGTGTGGGGATTTAGGTTGGGTGTGGGTTGATTGTGTTTTTTTTGTTTGTTTGATGGGGGTGGGGGGGGGGGTGGTGGTTGGGTTGGGGGTTTGTGGTGTGGGGGGGGGGGGTGGTTGGTGGAATAAATTTAAAATATATTTTGGTTTGTGGGGGAATATGGGAATTGGGAAAATTGGGTTAGTTGTGAGTTTTGGTTTTGTGTGGTTGTGGGGGTGAGTATGGTTTGTGGTGTTTTGTAGGGGTTTTTTGGTTTTTTGGGTGTTGTTGGTTTTTTTGGGTGGGGGATGGGGTAGTGTATTGGGGTGTAGGGGTTTAGGGGGGAGGTTGGTTGTTTTGTTGGTGGTGTGGGGTGTGGGGAGGGAGGTTGTGGGTTGGGGGGGGGGGTGTTGTATTGTATATTAGTGTGGTTTGGTAGTTGGGTTTGTGGTTTGTTTGGGTGTTGGTTGGGTTGGTTTGGTTTATGGGTTATTTTAGGGTATTTGGGTGTGTTTTTTTTTATATTATGGGGTTATGGGTGTATGTGGTTGTTTGGTATGGGGGGGGGTGTGTATTTTTTTTGTGTGGGTTGTGGGAATTTTGGAGAATTTTGGGTTAGGGGAAAAGGGGTTGGTTGGGGGGGGGGATGGGGTTGAAGTGTATATATGAATGAATAAGAGGGATAAATGTTGTATTTAGTTATGTGGGTTGGTGTTTATATTAGGGGGGGGGTATTTAAGTAAATGGGGATTGTGGAGGATTAAAGGATTGGGTAAATAATATGGTGTACATGTAAAATTATTGGGGGGTGTGAGGGGGGGGTGGTTAGGGTAAGAAAGGGGATTGTTGAAAGGGATTTGAAGTTGAGTGGGGGGTGGGTGGGAGGTTGATAGGGGGGGGATGGGTTATAATAAAGGGTGGGATATATTGGGGTATTTTATATGAAGTTGTGGGGAGTTGAGAAGGTTTAAGATGGGGAGAAGATGTGATTTATTATGAGGGGAGAGGGTGGGGGTAGGTGTTGGGGGTGGTAGGTGGTGGAGTATGGGGGTGTGGAGATTAGGGTGGGTGTTAGAATGTAATATAATGTTGATGAGAGTGTATTAAATAAAAAGGGATGTATTGTTTGGGGGGGTATATTGGATGAATGTGTTTGTGGGGGTAGGGTGTGGTGTGAAGGGGGGTTTTGGGTGTTGGGAGTGGTGTTTGTGAGTTTTGAGGGTTGGGTGATAGGGAGGGGTTTGAGGGGATATTGTTTAAAAAAGGAAGAGTGATTAATGGTAAGGATTTGATATAGGATGGGAGTAAGAGGGTGGTATAGTTTTGTGGTGGGGGGTTTGTTTTGGTAGGGGGGGGTTGGTGGGAGTTAGGGTTAATGGGGTGGGGGGGGGGGGGAGGGTATTTTAGATGAGTGATGGTGTGGTAAGGTGAGTAAGGGGTGGTAGGGGGGGGGGGAGGGGGGTATGGTTGGATGGGGGGGGGAATTATTGTTGTGATGGAAGTGGGGGTATGTGATTATTATGGTGGTTGTTTTGGGTTGGTGTGGGGTTTTTTATTGGGGTGGTTTGGGTTTTGTTGGGTGGGGGGGGTTGGGTTTGGTGGGGTTGTGTGGGGTGGGGTTTGAGTTGGAAGGTGGGTGGGTTTTGTAGGGAGGGTTGAAGTATTGATTGAGAAAAATGTATGAGTATGGGGGGGGGTTGGTGGTTGTGTGGGGGGGGTGTGAAGTGTATGTGGGGGGGTGGTGTTTTGGGGGGTTGGATTTGTATTTTTTTTTTTGGGGGGTTTTTAGTATTGGTGTAGGGGATGTGGTTTGGGGGGGGGGGGGGTTGTGTATGTGTGTGGTTGTTTGTGTGTGGTGGGGGGGGGGGGGGGGGGGGGGGGGGGGTGGGGGGTTGGTGGGGGTTGTGGGTGTTGTGGGTGGGGGGGGTGGGGGGGGGGTGGTGGGTGGGGGTGTGGGGGTGGTGGTGGGTTGGGTGGGTTGGGGGGGGTGGTGGTGTGGTGGGGGGGGGGGGGGGTGGGGGGGTGGGGTTGGGGGGGGGGTGGGGTGGGGGGGGGGGGGGGGGTGGGGTTGTGTGGGTTTGGTGGGGTGGGGGGGGGTGGTGGGGGTGGGGGGTGGTGGGGTGGGGGGGGGTGGGTGGTGTGGTGGGGGGGGTGGGTGGGTGTGGTGGGTGTGGGGGGGGGGGTGGGTTTGTTGTGGGTTGGTTTGGGTTGTGTGGGGGGGGGGTGGGGGTGGGGGTTTGGTGTGGGGGTGGTTGTGGGTGGGGGGGGGGGGGGGTGGGTGGGGTGGGGGGGTGGGGTGGGTGGGTGGGGGGTGGGGGGGGGGTAGGGGGGTGTGTGGTGTGTGGGTGTGGGTTTGGGGTTGGGTTTTGGTTTGTGGGTGGTGGGTTGGGGGGGGGGGGTGTTGTGGGGGGGTGGTTGGGTGGGGTGGTGGGGTGGTTTGTGTGTTGGGGGGTGGGGGGGGTGGGGGGGGGGGTATTGGTGTTGGGGGTGGTGTTTTGGGGGGTTGGGGGGGGTGGTTGGTTGTGTGGTTGTTGTTGGTGGGGTTGTTTGTTGTGGTGGTTTTGTGTTGTTGTGGGTTTTTTGTTGTTTAGTTGGTGGGGGTTGGGGGTTGGTGGGTGGTGGTGGTTGTGGTGGGGGGGGGGGGTTTTTGGGTGGTTAGTTGGTGGGGGGTTTGTTGTGGTGGGGGGTGGGGGGTTGGGGGGGGTGGTTGGGGGTGGGGGTTTGTGGTTTGGGTGGTGGGTGGTGTGTGTTTGTTGTGGGGGGGGGTTGGGTGGGGGGGGGGTTGGTTTTTTGGTGTGTGTGTTGGTGTTGGTTGTTTGGGGGGAGTGGTTGGTTTGTGTGTTTGGGGTTGGGGTGGGGGTGGGTGGGTGTGTTTTGGGTTGGGTTTGTGGGGTGGGTGTTGGGGTGGGGGTTGGGTGTGTTTGTGTGTGTGTTGGGGGGGGGGTGGGTGGGGTGGGTGGGGTTGGGGGGGGGTTTTGGTTTGTGTGGGGGTTGGGTGTGTTTTGGGGTGGGGGGGGTGTGGGTGGGGTTTTGGGGTGTTGGGGTGTGTTTTTGGGTGGGTGGGGTGGTGTGGGGGTGGGGGTGTGTTGGTTTGGTTTGTGGGGGGTGTGTGTGTTGTGTGTTGGGGTGTGTGGGTGGGGGTGGGGGGGGGGGGGGTTGTTTTTTGGGGGTTTTGGGGGGTGGTGTGGTGGGTTGGGGGTTGTGGGTTGGTGGGGGGGTGGTTTTGTGGGTGTTTGGTTGTGTGGTAGTGTGTGGGGTGGGTGGGGTTTGGGTGGTGGTGGTTTGGTGGGGGTTTTGGGGTTTTGGTGAGTGGTGTATGGTGTTTATGTTTGGGTGGTTGTGGTTGGTGGGTTGTTAAGTTTTTGTGGGTGGTGGTTGGGATTGTGTTGTGGTTGGGGGGTTGTAGTTTTGTGGGGTTGTGTGTTTTTGGGGGTGGGTTGGTTTTTGTTGGTGGTTTTGGGTTGGGGTTTGGTTGTGTGGTGGGGGGGGTGGGGTGTTTTTTTTTTTTTTTTTTTGGTTTTTTTTTTTTTTTTTTTTTTTCTTTTTTTATTTTTTTTTTTTTTTTTTTTTATTAATTTTTTATTATTTATTTTTATTTATTTTTTTGGGAGGGTTTGTTGATATTGTTTGAGGGGTTTTTTTGAGGGGGTGGGGTTGGGTGGGTGTGGGGGGATGTGGGGTTGTGGGGATGGTTTGTTGTTGGGGTGTTTTTTGTATGTTTTGGGGGGTGTTGGTGTATGGTGGGGTATTTTTGTTGTGTGGGGTGGGGTTTGTTTGTGGGGGTTTTTGGTGGGTGGGGGTGTGGGGGTTGGTTGTTTTTTGGGTTGGTGTGTGGTTTGGGTGGGGGGGGTTGGGGGGATTTATATTGTTTTTTATTTATTGGGGTTTTTGTTTGTGTGTTTTTGTGGGGTGGGTTTGGTGGGTGGGATTGTTGGGGTGGGGTGTTTGTGTTTGGTTGGTGTTGTGTGTGGGTATTGGGGTTTGGTGTTGTGTTTGTGGGTTTGGGGGGAAATTAGTTTTTTGGTGTTGGGTTTGTTGTGGTTTTAGGGTTGGTTGGGGGGTGGGTTGTTGGGTTGTTATGTGTGGGGGGGGTTTGGGAGTGGGGGGGGTTTTGGGTTTGTTTTGGGGGTGTGTGATTTTTTTTGTTTATTGGGGTGGTAGGGTTTTTTGTGGGGAGTTGTTTGGTTTTTATTGTTGTTGGGGTTGGGTGGTTGTGGTGGTGTGGTATGGGGTATGTTTTTGTGGGGGTTGAGGGTAAGTGGGGTATTGTGGGGATTGGGGTATAGTATAATTGTATTAGAGAGGTTTAGTAATTAGATGGAGGTTTGTAGTGTAAGGGGGTTTGATTGTTGTTTGGGTTTATTTGTGGGGGGGTTTGAATGAGTGTATGGGAAGATGAGTAGGGTAGGATGATTTGGGTGGTGTTGTTGGGAGGGGGGTGGATGGGGGGGGTATTTGGGTAGGGAGATTGGGTTGAGTGTGTTGGAGAGAAATAATAGTATATGGGGTAATTAAATAGGGTGGTTTTTGGTTAGGGGTGGGGTAAAGTGTTGGAGGAGAAGGGGGGATATTTGTGAGGTTTTTGTTTTGGGGGGGGTTGTGTTGGATAGTATTTGGTTGGGTATAGGGGGGGGGTGAGGGGGTATTAGGGAGATGGGATAGGGGGGATGTTGGGGTGTGTGGTGGTGGGAAAGTAAAAAAAAAGAGGGGGTAAAATAGGAATTTTAGGGGTAGGTGGGGGAGGGTGGATTATGGTTGGGGTATTGGAAATTTTTGAATTTTGGATGGTGGGGATGGGGGTGGAATATTTATGATGTGTGATGTTTGTTATGGGGGATGGTTGATTTGGTTTTATGGTTTGTTATTATGTATGGGGGATATATGGGAATTGGGTTTGATGTGTTTTTTGATGTATATGAAATAGGGGATGTGGTGAATATTAGGGGAGGTGGGTTAATATGTAGTAGTTTTTAGGATAAAAGAGAATGTTATAGAGGTAATAAATAGATTGGATATGGTGTGGGATTGGGTATGAAAGTTATATTTTTGGTAGGGGTGGGTTGGTTTGTAGGGGGGGGTATTGGGGTTTATAATAGTAAGATGGTGGGGTGGTTAATGAATATGGATTGGAAGGTGTGTATGGAGGGGTGGGTTTAGTGTTGTTAATTTGAGTTGTATAGATTTTGGGGGGGTGGGGGGTTGGGGTTATAGGGATGGTGATTTAGGTTGTTGTGAGGGAGTGTGGGGGGTAGAGTTTTTGGGTGTGGTGTGGGTTAGTGGGATTTATGTTGTTGGGTTTGTTTTATGAGGTGGGGAGGTGGGGGAATGTTTGTTTTGGTTGAGTTTATTAGTTGAGTTTGGGTAATAATTTTTGGGTTGTGTGGTTTGGGGGGTTTATTTGTGGGGGGATTGGGGGGGTGGTGGTGGTGGTTTGGGGGAGGGGGGGGGTTTGTTATTGTGAGTTTGAGTTTTATATTGGGTTGTTGTTGTGGTGTTTGATTTGTTTTTTTTTTTTTTTTGTGGGTTTTTTAGGTTTGGGTGGTTTTTTTTGTTTGTTTTTGATAGGTGGGGGGGGGGTGGGGGTTGGGGGGGGGGGGTGTTGGGTTGTTGTTTGTGTTTGGTGTTGGTGTTTGGGTGTTGTGTTGTTTGTGTTTTAGGTTGTGGGGTTTATTAGGAGTTGTTGGTTTTTGGATTGAGGTGTAGGTGTTGTTTGGGGTGGGGGGGGGTTTTGGGGTGGGTTGTTGGGTTTGGGGTGGGGTGGGTTGTGGGGGGGGTGGGGGGGTTTTTGTTTTTGGTGTGGTGTGTGTTGGGGTGTGTTTGTTGATTGTGGTGTCGGGGGGTTGTGTTGTGTGGGGTGGTGGTGTTGTGTTTTGGTGGTGTGTTGGTTTTTGTTGGTGTGGGTGTTGTGGTGGGTGGGGTGGTGTTGTTTGGGTGGGGGTGGGGGGTGGGTTGTTTTTTGGGTTGTGGGGGTTTTGGGGTGTGGTTGGGGGTGGGGGTTTTGGGGGGGTGGTGGGGGGGGGGGGGTGTGGGGGTGTTTGGTGGTTTGTTTGGGGGGGGGTTTGGTGTGTATTTGTTTGATATGGGGTTGGTGTTTGGTTGGTTTAGGTTTGTTTTGGGGGGGGTGTGGTTTGTGTGGGTTTAGTGTGGGTTTGTGTTGGTTGTTGTTGGGGTGGGTGGTGTGATTGTTTTGGGTATGGGGATTTATGGGTTGGGGTGTTTTTTGTTTGGGGGGGTTTTTGGTGTTTGGGATTTTTGGGGTTTGTTTGGGGGGTTGTGGTGGGTTGGTGTGGTGGTTTTTGTTTTGGGTGGGGGTTGGGTTTGTGGGTTGGGTGTGTGGGGTGGGGGGGTGGGGGGTTGTGGGGTAGTGGGTGTGGTTTGTGTTTGTTGGTTGGTGTGGGGTGTTGTGGTTTGTTTTGTTGTTTTTTTTGGTGTGGTGGGGGGGTGGTGGGTGGGTGGTGTTGTTGTTTGTTGGTTGTTGTGTGGGGGTTGGGTTTTTTGTGTTTTTGTTGGATGGGGGGGTGGGGGGTTGGTGTGTGGGGGTGGTGGTGGGGGGGGGGGTGGGGGGGGGGGGGGGGGTGTGGGGGGGGGGGGGGGGGTGGGGTTGTGTGGTGGGGTGGGGTGTGGGTGGGGTGGGGGGGTGGGGGGTGTGGGTGGGGGGGGGGGGGGGGGGGGGGTTTGTGGGGGGTGTGGGGGGTGGTTTGGGGTTGGGGGGTTGGTGGGGGTTGGTGTTGTGGTGGTGGGGTGGGTTGGGGGGTGTGGTGTTGGGTTTTGTTTTTGGGGGGGTGGTGTGTTTGTTTTGGGTTGGTTGGTGTTTGTTGGTTGTGGGTGTTATGTTTTGTTTGGTGTGGGGGGGGTGTTGTGGTTTGGGTGTGGTATTTGGGGGGTTGGTGGGGTGTGGTTTTTGGGGTTTGTTGGTTGTGTGTTGTTGGTTGGTTGGTGGGGTTTGTTGGGAGGGTTTTTGTGTTGTGGGGGGGTGGGTGTGTGGGGGGTGTGGGGGTGGGGTTGGGTGTTTGGTGGTTGGGTTGGTGGGGTGGGGTGGGGGGTGTGTGTGTGTGTGTGTTGGGGGGGGGGGGGGTTGTGGGGGGGGGGGGGGGGGTGTTTGGGTTTGTGGTGGGTTGTGTTGGGTGGGGGGTGGTGGGGGGTGTGGATTGGGTGTTTTGGGGGGTTAGGTGGTGGTTGTGGTGTTTTTGGTTTGGTGGGGGGGTGTTTTTGGGTTGGTTGGTTGGGGGGGGGGGGGGGGTTGTGGGGGGTGGTGGGGTTGTTTGTAGGTTTGGTTGGGGTGGGTTTGGTTTGGGGGTTTGGGTTTTTTTGGTTGGTGGGTGTGTTTGTGGGTGGTGTTTTTTGGGGGTGGGGGGGGGGTTGTTGTTGGGTGTGTTTTGTAGTTTTTTGTGGTGTTTGATTGTTTGTTGTTGGTGGGGTTGTGTGGTGGTTTGTGGGTGGGGATTTTGGGTTTTGTGGGTGGGTGTGGTTTTTTGTGATGTGGGAGTGGTTAGGGGTGTTTGGTTTTTTTTGGTGTGGGTTGGGGTTGGTGGGGTTGATGAATGAGAGGGTGAAGAGTATTTGGTTGGGGAGGGAAGAAGGATTTGGGGAGATTAGGGTGTGTGGTTATGATTTGGTTTTAGGTGTGTGTTGATTATATATTTTTGGGTTGGGTGATTGGGGGTTGTGTTTTGGTGTGGAGTTTGGGGGTTTTTTTAGGGTGGGAGGGTTTTTTTTGGTTGGTTAGTGGTGGGGGGTGTGTTTGGTGGGTTTTTTTGGGTGTGTGGGTGGGGTTTGTGTTTTTTGTGTGTGTGGTGTTTGTTGGTGTGGGTGGTGTTTTTTGGGTGTTGGGTTGTGGGGTTTGTTGGGTTTGGTTGGTGGTTGTGTGGGTTGGGGGTGGGGGGGTTTTTGTGTTGGGTTTGGGTGGGTGTTTTGGGGGTGTGGGTTTTGGGGGGTTTTTGTTTTTTAGTGTTGGTGGGGTTTGGGGTGATAATAGGGGGGTGGTGTTGGAGGGGGTTTGAAGGGGGGGTGTTTGTTTTGGATTGGGAGGGGGTGGAGTGTGATGGGGGGGTTTTGTTTGGGGGGGGTGGTGGTTGGGTTTTGGAGTTTGGGTCTTGTTTTGTTGAGTTGTGGGTGGTTTGGGGTTTTTTTGGTGGATTTGTGGGTTTTTGGTGTGGTGGTTGTGTGGGTTGGGGGGTTTGGGGGTTTTTGGGGTGTGTGGGGGGGGTTGGGTTTGGGGGGTGGTGGGGGGGGTGGGGGTTGGGGGTTTGGTTGATTGTTTTGGGTGGGTGGGGTGTTGTTTTTTGGGTGTTGTTGGGGATGGGGGGGGGTGAGAATGAATGTGGATAAATTGGGTGGTTTGAGGATAATGTATGGAGGGGGTTTTTTTTTTTGGGTGGTAGTTTTAGGGGGTTTGGGGGGGTTGGGGGTGGTAGGGGGGTGGGTTTTGTTGGTGTGGGGGGGGGGGGGGGTGGGTTTTGGGTTGGGGGGGGGGTGGTGGGTTTGGTTTTTGGTGTGTGGGGGGGGGTTTATTGGGGGTGTGGGTTTGGTTGGTGGGGGGGGGGGTGGGGGGGGTGGTGTGTTTTGTGTTTGGTGTTGTGGGTTGTTGGTGGGGGGGTTGGGTTGTTTGTTTTGTGTGGGTGGGGTGTGTTGGTGGTTGGGTGGTTTGGTGGTGGTGTGGGTGGTGTTTGGGGGGGGGGGGGGGGTTTTGGGGGGGGTGTGGGGTTTGGTAGTGGGATGTTGGGGTGGTGTGGTTTTGGGGGGGGGTTGGGTGTGGGGGGGTTTGGTTTGGGGGTGGTGTTGTTTTGGGTGTGTTGTTGGGGGGTCTTGGGGTGGTTGGGTTGTGTTGGGGTGGTTTGGGTGGTGGGTGGTGGGGGTTTGGTGGGTTTGTGGTGGGTTGGGGTGGTGTGGGGTGTGGTTGGGTTGGTGGTGGGTTTGGGGGGGGGGGGGGGGGGGGGGGGGGGGGGGGGGGGGGGGGGGGGGGGGGGGGGGGGGGGGGGGGGGGGGGGGGGGGGGGGGGGGGGGGGGGGGGGGGGGGGGGGGGGGTGGTGGGGGGGGTGTGTGGGGGTGTTGGGGGGTTTTTTGTGGGGTGGGGGGGGGGGGGGGGGGGGGGGGGGTGGGGGGGGGGGGTGTGTTGGGGGGTTTGTGGGGGGGGTGGGGGGGGGGGGGGGGGGGGTGGGGGGGGTTGGGGGTGGGGGGGGGGTGGTTGGGTGGGTTGGTGTGGTGGGGGTTGTGGTGGTTGGGTGGGTGGGGTGGGTTTTGGGGGGGTGGGGTTGGTTTTTGTGTTTGGTGGTTTGGGTGGGGGGTGGGTTGGTGGGTGGGTGGGTTGGGGTGGTGTGGGTTGGGGTGGTGTGTTGTTGGTTGTGGTTGGGGGGGGGTGTGTTTTGTTGGGGTGTGTGGGGGTGGTTGGGGGTTGGTGTTTTTGGGGGGGTTGGTTGGGGGGGGGGGGGTTTGGTTGGGGGGGGGGGGTGGGGGGGTGGGGGTGGGGGTTGTGGGTGTGGGGGTGTGGGGGTGTGGGGTGGGGGTGGGGTGGGGGGGGTGGGGGGTGGGGGGGGTGGTGGTGGGTGTGTTTGGGGGTTGGGGTTGGGTGGGGGTTTGGGTTTGGGGGGGGGTGGGGGGGGGTTGGGGGTGTGGTGGGGTGGGTTGGTGGTGGGTGGGGTGTTTTTTGTGTTGGGTGGTTGTTTGGTTGGTGTGGGTTGGTGTGGTGGGGTGGTGGGGTTGTGGGGGTTTGGGTTGGTGGGGGTGGTGGGGTGGGGGTGGGGGGGGTTGGGGGGGGTGTGGTGTGGGGGTTTTGGGTGGTGGGGGTGGTTGGTGTGTGTGGTTGGGGTGTTGGGGGGTTTGGGGGTGTGTTTTGGGGTTTTTTTGTTTGGTATTGTTGTGGGGGTTTTGGTGGGGGGGATTTGGGGTGGTGTTGGGGGTGTGTTGTGGGTGTGGGTTGGGTGTTGGTTGGGTTGTTTGTGTTGGGTGTTTTTTGTTTGTGTGGGGGTTGTGGGTGGGGGTGTTTGGGGGGGTGGGGGGGTGTGGTGGGTGGGGGTGGGTGTGGGGTTGTTGGGGGGGTGTGTGGGGGGGGGGGTGGTTGGTGGTTGGGTGGGTGTGGGTGGGGGGGGGGGTTTGGTGGGTGGGTGTTTGGGTTGGTTTGGGGTGGGGGGGGGGGGGGGGGTGGGGTTTGTTGTGGGTGGGTGGGGTGTGTGGGGGGGGGGGGGTGTGGGGGTGTGGGGGGGTGGGGTGGGGGGTTGGGTGTGTTGTTTGGGGGTTTGTGTGTGGGGGGTTGGGTTGTTTGGGTGGGTTGGGGTTTTGTTGTGGGGGTGGTGGGGTTTGGTGTTGTGTGGGTGGTTTGTTTGGGTGGGGTGGGGGTGGGGGGGGGGTGTTTGTGGGTGGTTGGGGGTGTTGTGGGTTGGGGTTGGTGTGTTTGGGGTGGGGGTGGGGGGTTTGGTGGGGGGGGGGGGGGTGGTGGTGGTTGGGGGTGGGGTGTGGGGTTGGGGGGGTGTGGTGGTGGTGTTTGTGGGGGGGGGGGGGGTGTGGGGGTGGGGGGGGTGTGTGTGGGTTGGGGGTTTTGGGTTGGGGGGGGGTGGTGTGTTGGTGTGTGGTGGGGGTGGGGGGGGGGGGTGGGGGGGGTGTTTTGGTGTGTGGGTGGGGGGGGGTGGGGTGTGGGGTGTGGGGTGGGGGGGGTGGGGGTTTGGTGTGGGGGGGGGTGGTGGGGGGGTTGGTGGTGGGGGGGGGGTTTGGGTGGGTTGTTGGGGGGGGGGGGGTGGTGTGGGGGTTTTGTGGGGGGTGGTTGGGGTTTGGGTGTTGTGTGGTGGGGGGGTGGTTGGGGGTGGTTTTTGGGGGTGTTTGGGGGGTGGGTGGGGGGGGTGTGTGGGGGTGGGTGGGGTGTGGGTGGGTTTTTGTGTTGTGGGGGGGGGGTTGTGTTGGTTTTGTTGTGTGGTTTTGTGGTTGGGTTTGGGTGGGTTGGGGTTTGGGTGGGTGTTGTGGTGGTTTTTGTGTGTTGGTTTTTTTGGTTTTGTTGGGTGGGTGGTGTTTTGGGTTTGGGTTGGGTTTGGGGGTTGGTGGGTTTTTTTTTTGGGGTGTTATTTTGGGGTGTGTGGGTGTTTGTTTTGGTTTTGTGGGTGTTGTGGGTGGTGTGGTGGTTTGTTTGTTGGGGGGTTGTGTGGTTGTGTGGTTTGTGGGGGGTGTGAGGGGTGGGGTTTGGTTTGTTTTTGGGGTGATTTTTGTTTGTGTTTTTTTGTGTTGGGTTGTGGGGGGGTTATGGTGGGGGGGGGGGGGGGGGTGGGGGGGTGTTGGGTGGGTGTTTTGGGGTGGGGGGTGTGGTGTGGTTTGGGGGGGGTGGGTATTGGTTAGGGGTGGGTTTTTGGGGGGTTTGGGGGGGGTTGTGTTTTTTTGGTGTGGTTGGGGTTTTGGTTTTGTTTTTGGTTTTTTGGGTTTGTTGTGTTAGGTGGTGTGGGGTTGGGGTGGTTTTTTTTGTTTTTATGTATTTTGGGGTGTTGTTGGTGGGTTTGTTTGTGTTGGGGTTTGTGGGGTGGTGGTTGGGTTTTTTGTGGGATTTTTTTTGTTTAGGTTGGGAAAGGAGGTGGTATTTTTGTGGGAAAAAGTTGTGAGATGTGTTGGGGGTTTTTTTTTGAGTTTTGAGATTGTAATATGGTGGATTGTTTGGGTGTAGGGTTGGATTTGGGGATATATGGGTTGATTTTGTTATAAGTGTTGAAGGAGGGGGTAAAGGGTATAGGGTATTAGTGTGTGTTAATAGGGGGAAGAAAGAGGGGAAAGAAATGGGAATATATTGTAGTTAAGGGGTTAGTTAAGAGGGGGGTGTGGGTTATATTTTTTGAGTTGGGATTATGTTAGTGTAGATTTTGTGGGTTGGGGTTAGGGGGGGGGAATGGTGGATTGTGGATTATTATTGGAATGTGGAAGGGGGAAATTTAGAGGAGATGGGGGGATTGGAAGTGTTGGGGGGGGGGGTTATGAGTGGTGGTGGGTGGGGGGTGTGAGTGAGGGTTTTGGTGGGGGAGAAGGAGAAGGTAAGGAGGAGGAGGGAGGGGGGGGATATGGGGAATGAAAAAATGAATTGGGTTTGGGGGAATGTTTTTGGGGTTTGGGGGGGGGATATGGTAGTTTAAGGATTTGTGGAAATAGGGTTAAGGATTATGTAATATGGATGGGGAGGAGTTTTGTTTGTGTGTTTTTTTGTGGGGGGGGATGGGTGATGATTATTGTATATGGGGTTGGGTTATTTGGGTGGGGGTGTTGGGTTAGGGGGGTTATTTGTTTTATTATTAGGGTTTTGAGGGATATTGTGGTAAATGGGGAGGGTGTTTTTTGATTAGAATTTTGTTGGGGGGTTGAGGGGGGGGGTGGTGATTGGGGGGGATGTTTGGTAGGGTTTTGTTTGTAAGGGGGGTTGATTGAGATTGGTGTTTGATTGTGTGGGGGGTGTGAGATGGGAGGGTTTGAATTGGTTTATGGTTGTTGTTTAGATAAGTTGATGGTGTGTTGGGGGTTTGGGTTTGGATTGGTGTTTTGGTTGGGATTTTGTGGGGGATTTTTGTTTGGTTGGGGATGGGTGGTGTGGTGTGTATGTTGTTTTTGTGTATTTTATTTTGTAGTTGTTTGGGTGGTGTTTTGATTGGTGTAGTGTATTGTTATGTTTTTTGGGGTTTTGGTGGGTTGTTTGTGTTTATTGGTTGGTGATATGTTTATTATTGATGTATGATATTTTTTATTTTTTTGGGATGTTGGATTATTTAGAAGGGTGGTTTGTGGATTGTGTTTGGAATGGGAGATTTGGAGAGTGAATGTTTTTGGTAGGGGGTTTGGGGGGGAATATTAATAAGGGTTAATAATTGATGGGTTTGGTTGTGGAGGGGATTGTTTTAATTTTGAGGGAATTAGGGGGGGGGGGGAATATGGATTTTTATGTGGGGGGGGAGGTTTTTGATTATATGAAGGATAAAGTTATATAATAAATAGGATTTATGGGGGGGGATGGATGATGAGGGGGGATAGGGGAGGATGATATGGTTGTGGGGGTGTTTTTTGGGGTGGGGGGTTGGTGGGTGGTAAGTTGGATTATGGAGTGGTTTTTAGGGTGAGGTTTTTTAAGTTTAGGGGGGTAGGTGTGGGTGAGGAATTATGGTATTGGGTGGAATTTTATTGTTTGTTTTTAGATTGGGGGGTTGGGAGATTGTTAGGGTTTGGGGTTTTGTTTTGTTTATGTTTTTAGTTGTATTTTGGTTTGTTTTGTAATGGTTGAGGGTTTTTGTAGGTATGGATATTAGATAGGTAGAGGGGGGTAGGGGGGATTGTTGGTTTGGGATTTTGGGAATTGTGTGTAGGGGTGGTTTTTTGGGGTTGTTTATGGTTTATGTTTTGTTTGGTGGGGGGTTTTTGTTGTTGTTTTTGGGGGTTGTTTGGTTTGGGGGTGTATTTTTGGGTTGGGGGGGGGGGGGGTTGGGGGGGGGGTGTTTGTTGGGTGGGTTTGTGTTGGGGTATGTGGGGGGGGTGGTTTTTGGGGGGGTTGGGGGTTGGGTGGTGGGGGGGTTGGGGGGTGTTGGGGGTTGGGTGGTTGGGGGGTTGGTTGTTGTGGGGGGGTTTTGGGGGGGGGTGGTGGTTGGTGGGGGGTGTGGTTGTGGGGGTTGGGGTTGTGTTTGTTGGGGTTTTGGTTTTTTGGTGGGTGGTGTTTTGGGGGTGGGGGGGGGGTGTTGGTGTGGTGTGGGGGGGGTTGGGGGTGGTTGTGGTTGTGTGGGGGTTGGTTTGTGGGGGGTGGTGGTGGGTTTGTGGTGTGTGTGGGGGGTTTGGTGGTTGGTGGTTGGGTGGGTGGTTTGGTTTTTGGGGGGTTTTGTGGGTTGGGGTTGGGGGTGGTGTGGGTGTTGGTTGGGGTGGGGGGGGGGGTGGGTGTGGGGGGGGGTTGGTGTGTGTGGTTGTGGTGTTTTTGGGGTTTGTGTGTTGGTGTGGGTGGGGGGTTTGGGGGTGGGGTGGTGGGTGGGTGGGGGGGGTTTGTGGGGGGGTGGTTGTGGTTGTTGTTGGGGGTTGGGGTTAGGGGGGTGGTGGTTGATTGGGTTGTGGGTGGTGTTTTTGGGTGGTTTGTTGTGGTGTGTTTGTGTTTGGGGTGTTGGGTGGGGTTGTTTTGGGTTGTTGGGTGTGGGTGTTGTGTTTGTTTGGGTTTGTGTTTTTTTTTTTTTTTTTTGGTGAGGGTTGGTTTGGTGTTTTTTGGGGGTGATGTTTGGGGTGTAAGGTTTGTGTGATTGATATTTATTAGTGGTATAGTTTATGTTGGGGGTGTTGGGGGGTTTGGTGTGTTTTTGGGTTGTGTGGTTTTTGTGGGGTGGGTGGGGTGGTTGGGGGTGGGGTGGTGTTTGTGGGGTGTTTGTGGGGTGTTGTTTGGGTTGTGTTTTGTATTGTATTGGTTGTTGGTGGGGTAGTTTGTGTTTGTGTTGTTGTTGTTGTTATGTTGTTGTGTTTTGGGTGGTTTGGTTGTGTGTGTGTTTTGGTTGGTTGTGGTGTGGGTGGGTTTGGTGGTGGGGTTTGGGTGTTTGTGTTGTTTTTTTTTGGTGTGGTGGGTTGGGGGTTGGGGGGTTGTTGTTGTGGGTGTTGTGGTGTTGGGTGGGATAGTGGTTTTTTGTTTTTGTGGGTGTGGGGTTTGGGGGGTGTTCTGTGTGGAGGGTGTGGTGGTTGGTGGGGGGGTTTGTATGTTGTGAGTTGGGGGTTTTATTGGGGGTTTTTGGGTGGGGGGTGGATTTTTAGTTGGGGGTGGGGTGTGGGGTGGGGGTGGGAGGTGTTGGGTTGGGGTTGGTGGGTGGGGGGGGGGGGTTTTAGGTGGGTGGGGGTGGTGGGGGGGTGTGTGTTTGTTTGGGGTTGGTTGTTTTGTGTTTGTTTTTTGGTGTGTAGGGGGGGGGGTGTTTTGTTTATGGAGTGTTTGGGTTTGGTGGTGGGGTTGGGGTGTGTTGTGGGTTTGTTGTTTGTGTGTTATTTGGGTGTTTTTTGGGGGTGTTTTGGTGGGGGTGGGGGTTATGTGGGTGTGGTTGTTTTGTTGGGTGGTTTTGTTTTGGTTTTGGGGTGGGGGTGGGGTTGGTGTGTGGGGGGGGTGGTATGTTAGTTGGGGTTTTGGGGTTTGTTTTGGGTTGGGGGGGGGGGGGATATGTTGGGGGGGTTATTGGGTGGGGGGGGGGTTTGTGTGTAGATGGGTATGGGGGGGGGGATTATGGGTAGTTGGGGGGGGATATTGAGTGGATGAGTAATGGGATTGGGTTTGGTTGGGTTAGTGGGGGTTGTTTGTTTGTTGTGAGGGGTGGTGTGTGGTGAGGGGTGTGTTGTATTGTTGGTTTGGGGTATTGGGTTTGTTTGGGTTGGGGGTTGGGGGTTTGGTTGGTTGGTTTGGGTGGGGGGGGGGGGGTGGTTATGGGTTGTTTTTTGTAGTTGGTTGGGGGTGTTGTTGTTTTGTTTGTGTTTTTGTTTGGTTTGGGGGGTGGTGTTGTTGGTGGGTTGGGTTGTGGTTTTTGGGTGTTTTGGTTGGGGTTTTTTTGGGGTGTTGGTGGTTGTTGTTTTGGTGTGGGGTGGTGGGTTGGGTGGGGGTGGGGGGGATGGGTTGTGTGTTTTGTGTTTTGGTTTGGTTTGGTTTTGGTGTGGTGGTTTGTTGTGTTTTGTGGGTTGTTTTTGGGGGGTTGGGGGTGTGTGGGTGGTGGGGGTGTTTTGGGTTTGGGTTGTGTTGTGTTGGTTGTTTTGTGTTTGTGGGGGGTTTTGTGTTGGTTGGGGTTTTTTGGTGGGTGTGTTGTGTGGTGGGGTTTTTGTTGTGTTTTTTTTTTGGTTTGTGGGTGGGGGTTTTTTTATTGGTGTGGTGTATTGTGGGTGGTGTGTGGGGGGTTGTGGGGTGGGGGGGGTGGGGGGTGGTTATTGTGTGGTTTTTTGGGTGTGTTGGTTTGGGTTGGGGGTGGGGTGGTGTGGGGATTGGTGGGTTTGTTTTTTGGGGGTGTTGTTGTTGTTTGTGGGTGGTGTGTGGTGGTGGGTTGTGGGGGTGGGGTTGTGTTGTGGGGGGGTGGGTTGGGGGGTGGGGTGGTGGTGGTTGGTTGGTGTGGGGGTGGTTTGTGTTGGTGGTGGTTGGTTTGGTGGTTGTGGGGGTTTTTGGGGTGGGTTGGGGGGGGGGTTGGGGTGGGGTGGGGTGGTGGGGGGGTGTGTTTGGGGGGGGTGGGGGGGTTGGAGGGGGGGGTGTTGGGGTGGGTGTTGTGTTTGTGGGGGGGGGGTTTTGTTTTAGTTTGGGTGGGGGGGTTTTGGGTTTTTGTGGGTTGGTTTGTTTGGTGGGGTTGGGGGGGGGGGGGTTGGGTTTTTGTGGGTGTTGTTGGGTGGTTTGTTTGTGGGGGTTTGGGTTGGAACCAGGAAGTACGACCACATTAGTCCTGACTAGAACCAGGAAGTACGACCACATTAGTCCTGACTAGAACCAGGAAGTACGACCACATTAGTCCTGACTAGAACCAGGAAGTACGACCATATTAGTCCTGACTAGAACCAGGAAGTACGACCACATTTAGTCCTGACTAGAACCAGGAAGTACGACCACATTAGTCCTGACTAGAACCAGGAAGTACGACCATATTAGTCCTGACTAGAACCAGGAAGTACAACCACATTAGTCCTGACTAGAACCAGGAAGTACGACCATATTAGTCCTGACTAGAACCAGGAAGTACGACCACATTAGTCCTGACTAGAACCAGGAAGTACGACCGCATTAGTCCTGACTAGAACCAGGAAGTACGACCACATTAGTCCTGACTAGAACCAGGAAGTACGACCACATTAGTCCTGACTAGAACCAGGAAGTACGACCACATTAGTCCTGACAAGAACCAGGAAGTACGACCACATTAGTCCTGACTAGAACCAGGAAGTACGACCACATTAGTCCTGACTAGAACCAGGAAGTACGACCACATTAGTCCTGACTAGAACCAGGAAGTACGACCACATTAGTCCTGACTAGAACCAGGAAGTACGACCACATTAGTCCTGACTAGAACCAGGAAGTACGACCACATTAGTCCTGACTAGAACCAGGAAGTACGACCACATTAGTCCTGACTAGAACCAGGAAGTACGACCACATTAGTCCTGACTAGAACCAGGAAGTACGACCATATTAGTCCTGGCAAGAACCAACCAGGAAGTACGACCACATTTGACCTGACTAGAACCAGGAAGTACGACCACATTAGTCCTGACAAGAACCAGGAAGTACGACCACATTAGTCCTGACTAGAACCAGGAAGTACGACCACATTAGTCCTGACTAGAACCAGGAAGTACGACCACATTAGTCCTGACTAGAACCAGGAAGTACGACCACATTAGTCCTGACTAGAACCAGGAAGTACGACCACATTAGTCCTGACTAGAACCAGGAAGTACGACCACATTAGTCCTGACTAGAACCAGGAAGTACGACCACATTAGTCCTGACTAGAACCAGGAAGTACGACCACATTAGTCCTGACTAGAACCAGGAAGTACGACCACATTAGTCCTGACTAGAACCAGGAAGTACGACCACATTAGTCCTGACTAGAACCAGGAAGTACGACCGCATTAGTCCTGACTAGAACCAGGAAGTACGACCGCATTAGTCCTGACTAGAACCAGGAAGTACGACCAATTAGTCCTGACTAGAACCAGGAAGTACGACCACATTAGTCCTGACTAGAACCAGGAAGTACGACCATATTAGTCCTGACTAGAACCAGGAAGTACGACCGCATTAGTCCTGACTAGAACCAGGAAGTACGACCGCATTAGTCCTGACTAGAACCAGGAAGTACGACCGCATTAGTCCTGACTAGAACCAGGAAGTACGACCACATTAGTCCTGACTAGAACCAGGAAGTACGACCACATTAGTCCTGACTAGAACCAGGAAGTACGACCACATTAGTCCTGACTAGAACCAGGAAGTACGACCCACATTAGTCCTGACTAGAACCAGGAAGTACGACCACATTAGTCCTGACTAGAACCAGGAAGTACGACCACATTAGTCCTGACTAGAACCAGGAAGTACGACCACATTAGTCCTGACTAGAACCAGGAAGTACGACCACATTAGTCCAGTCCTCAGGTCTCTGCACTGGCTTCCTGTGGCTCAGAGAATAGACTTTAAAACAGCTCTGCTTGTTACAAGTCTTTCCATGGTGTTAAGGCCAGCTCAGAGCCATAACAAATAGGGAGGCGAAACGGGGGTAAAAAGTGCAAAAAGTATATTTAATAATAACCAAAGACGAGTATAATATGAACAAAAACAAGGTACGAGTTGTGAGCATGTTGTAATCAGTGTGGTGCAGGTGTGTGAGTGCAATGAAAGCCAGTGTGTGGTGCAGGTGTGTGAGTGCAATGAAAGCCAGTGTGTGGTGAATGTAGTGCATAAAACAAAAGACAAACTCAAATGTGCTAAAGATGAATGGACATGGCTCTGCAGAGCCCACCAGGACAGGACCAAACAGAGCAGCAGCACAGCAGAAGAGTGAGCCGCCCTCAGCTGAAAAGGTCCACTGATGAAGGGGCGTGGCCACTGATGAAGGGGCGTGGCCACTGATGAAGGGGCGTGGCAAGGTGCAGGTGTGGACCTGCACAGAGGAGGAGACAGCAGAGAAGGCAGGCAAACCCCAGACAGCTCCCTCTCCTGGACAGGAAGGGCATGGTCCTTAACAATGGCCTCGCACCAAAATATATTATTGACATGTCCCATATGAACCAGCCCGGACTCTGAGGAGTACCGTTGGGTCTCTGAAGAACACAAGGACTGGCCTTTTGCTGGTGCCCAGATTTTTGTAGCTAAAATCTGGAACAGTCTTCCAGCAATTGTGAGACAGGCTGCTACTCTATGTTCCATCCAGGTTAAAGAAAAGTGCTGTTTATCTGCGCATAAAACGGAAGGATTGTATCTTCACTGTGTTTAGTTGTGTATAAACTGTGCTATACAGATAACCCTGCCTTGCCTTTACATGAATAAAGCCTTTGATACTGACTCTATCTTTCTGCTGAACTCTGAGTGGCTGTGATCAAACTTGGAGAGGCCGTGGTGGTTGCAGTAAACAGAATGAGCGACGAGCTAACGGTGGCGCATTAGCACTGACCTTTCCACATGCACTAACAAGGCGCCCGGACAGTGGGGGCTTAATGACCTGCTCTTACCTTCAGAAAATGGAAAAAGAAAATAGAAAATGTGAGTCTCTCCCTGCAGTGAGAGGATGGAGTGCTCTTGAGCAACAGGCACCACCTGCTGCACACTACGGCAGAACTCACCCAGAAATATTCTGGGGCGGTAGAATATCCAACTGTGTCATTTTTCCTGACAGGGATTACCGATAGATTTCATAGATTCTTAATCAATTTGAACTTTTTATAGTTGATAATATGAACACATGACTAACTATTCCATGCTTTTAAAAATAATTGCATCCTAGCCATTTTTGATCATGTAAATTGTAATTTTTCAGTTCAGACAAGGGAATAAAAAGAAAAAAAAGAAAAAGCGACACAGAAAACCAAACAACCAAAGTATTTTCATATTCTAGCTCATCTCAGTTCAATTCAATGAACTCTTGTACATTGGTCCAATTTCCATGATGTGGATAAATGTCCATAAATGTTGTAGAACACGGGTGTCAAAGTCAAGGCCCGGGGGCCAGATCCGGCACGCAAGACCATTTTTAGTGGCCCCTGTAATAATTGTTTATTATTATTAACTTGCAGCATTATTGGGTGACCGAAGCAGGTTACATCGACTATTTTCTCAGGAAAACAACCAAATTGAATTCTAACATTTAAACCCAATAACACATCTTTAGAAGTTAAATAGTTCAATATAAAATATGTTTCACTTTATATTTGATCAATTTTTGGTTCAATCTAAAGAATAAACGCATTTTGTTTTCAGAAAAATCAACCAGAAAATAACAGTAAAACTCATTTCACATTAAAGTCATAATGTAAAAAACTATTTTGAGCAAAGGAAATCTCTTTTATTGTTTTGGCCCCGGACCAGTTCCTATTTTCTTATTTGGCCCGGACCAAACTGAGTTTGACACCCTGTTGAATGTTACAGTGTCCTCTTTGATCGAATTCTTTGTCCCTGTCTCACTGTGAGATCTACAAACTACTCTCAGTTTTTCCAGAGTAACAATCTCCTTTGAGATCGTAAATCTGACAAAACAGTAGAGTGAACACCTGGCGTTAGAGTTGATAATCGCCATGGCAACCGAAGCCCTTTTCAATCTCAATCCCAGACCTACCATTTTGTAGGATTCTATTTCAGTTTGAGAGAAGATCATGATTTGATTGTGATTAAATTCACAAACCTGTTGTTCTTACGTCTGAAAGTCATTACTCCCGGCCAACGTTATGTGTTTGAATATTGTCACTTCTAGACCTCCTCATGAGGAAATATCTGGACTACAGTTGATAGATACTGACAAAGAAGATGCAGAACCTTTGTGTAATAAATATTGAAGTTGTTGGACCCTTGTCGGACAGTGGTCCGGGACATTTATCAACCTTTATGGACATTTACCAACCTTTATGGACATTTATCAAACTTTATGGACATTTATCAACCTTTATGGACATTTACCAACCTTTATGGACATTTATCAAACTTTATGGACATTTATCAACCTTTATGGACATTTATCAACCTTTATGGACATTTATCAACCTTTATGGACATTTATCAACCTTTATGGACATTTATCAACCTTTATGGACATTTATCAACCTTTATGGACATTTATCAACCTTTATGGACATTTATCAACCTTTATGGACATTTATCAACCTTTATGGACATTTATCAAACTTTATGGACATTTATCAACCTTTATGGACATTTATCAACCTTTATGGACATTTATCAAACTTTATGGACATTTATCAACCTTTATGGACATTTATCAACCTTTATGGACATTTATCAAACTTTATGGACATTTATAAACCTTTATGGACATTTATCAAACTTTATGGACATTTATCAACCTTTATGGACATTTATCAAACTTTATGGACATTTATCAACCTTTATGGACATTTATTAACCTTTATGGACATTTATCAACTTTTATGGACATTTATCACCCTTTATGGACATTGGTCTCTGTTTTTCATCATTACATTGTTTGTGTTCGAACTGTTTGATTCTCTGATCTGTGTTGGCAAATTCAATGATTTTGTAAAGTCCTCCGAGAAAACGACTGTTGTGCTTTGGTGCTGTACAAGAATATTTTGAATCGAATTGAATTGTGTGAGTGAGATGTTGGTGGTGGTCAGAGGGGCCGACGGCACAGACTGGTTACCTCGATTCTGTCAGTGTGCCTTATGGCAGCTGTGGCTACAATAGTAATTAATCACCATTGTGGATGGAATGAATGAACGACGTCATGTGAAGCACTATTTATGAAAGTGGCATTAGTATAGTCACCAGGAAAGATTTTTCAACCGTCCTCCTCTACATATTTAAAGTATAGGCTTGGAATGTTGTGATGTCACGTGGACGCAACCTATTGGAGAATGTTAGCGTCGTAGCATCAGAATCTGCACACGTCCAAACAAAGACTAAATCTTGTAGACGGAGTGCAGGATGGGAACGACCCGAGTGCATTAGTATTGACCTTTCTCATTGGTGCAGAGGAGCTTTCGGAGCCGCCACGTCTGGTGCGAGCCGGGAAAATAGCACCGTGTCACAATCCATCCCATCAGAGAGTCCACAGAGCAGCCGTGGACCCAGCATGCACCAGGCCCATATCTGAGAGACTAAGAAAGGCCGGCGCAGCAGCGGGGGGCGGCAGTGGGGGTCCGGCCGTGCTCTGGATACATATATGAAGCCACAGAGAGCGGCACAACGGGGCAAATGTGACTCAACAATTGAAGTAGTATTATAGCACTCGCAGTGTGTTCGAAGCAGGAAATTAGACTGATTGCATTTTATAAACAGTTTGTTTGTAAAATGTCGTATTGAAGTTGAAAAATATGAGACGGGATCTTTAAAAAAAATATTCTCTCCATGAATGTACAATTCAACTTAATTTGTATGGCCCTAAATCGCAACAGCAGTTATGGGGTTGGAGTTATTTGGGGAAATGAGAAGCCTGTGAGCTGTGGGGGCTAAACCTTCAAACCTGCAGAAACAGGTATAGCTCCTTTAAGCCATTGTTATTATATTGTTTTTTCCTTCAGAGCGGCGCCAAGACTTCAAGAATAACTTTTACAATTTCCATTTGTATAATCACTCTTTTAGTTAATTGAACTCAACAATGGCACGAGACACGACTCCTCTGCAGTCTTTTTATGAATCATAATTCTGTCTTTGTTGTTGTGGATATTGTTTCTAATTGCGTTGCTCATTTTCTGCAAACTGCTCTGAAAACCATCAGTGTCCAACAAAATGACCAGACCTATCGCCTTGTTCTTGTGTCCGTCCAATTATCAAAGCACTTTCCAGCCAAGAATGGAATGAAAAGGAGAAATACCATGTTTAGAAAAAACACAGCTGGACACAGATCAATGCAAATGTGCAATTTTCTAAACTGCTCAAAATGAATATAATCAACTCCAGCTCGTTGCTTTTGTCTGCTTCTGTAGAAAGGAAAAGTTACTGTGTTCAAAGAAAGCCAAACAGATCTAAGTTAGACGGTTACAGTACAAATAATGCTTGTCAGATCGACTGTCGCGCTGGAATATGATGTTGGCGGGGATAAAGTTTGGCTAAAGTTTGGCTAAAGTTTGGCTAAGGTTTGGCTAAAGTTTGGCTAAACCCAGGCTATAAAAGGTCTGAGGACGTTAGACTCAGATCCACCAGAGCCAAACCCAAGGGAGACTTGTGTTTGTTATTTTGTTTTGGGTTTTTCTGGGTTTTTTGTGACCCATAAAAACATGGTTTCTTCCCGATGCAGGAGGATGCACAGATTTTGATGATTTGGGACATTTAGGGACAACTTTTAACATTTATGGACATTGTTTTGACTCGTATTTGCAGAGCATAGTCAGAGTACAAGTTAGTGCAGGGGTTCCCAAACGTTTTAGTCCGTGACCCCCCCATGATAAATGCGCATCATATCAAGCAAATCATACATTAAAATCTACATATAAAAAAAAAAAAAACACACACAAACATTTTAAAAAACAGAAAAAAATCACAAGTAATTGAAAACACACGAGATTTAAAATAATAAAATCAATAAAGTATGTATCTATACTACTCACCCAGACCAATGTGAGAATTCTAATGCTGTAATATCTTTCACAATACGTACGACTCAAGGGGAAAATACAGTTTATAATGTATTCTGACATTTACTCTTCTTGAACAATATTCACGATGAACACAGCTCCAAGTCAACACATAATGACTTACTAGAATAATTGAATTCTGGCTCATTTCCATATCATCTGTGCTTGGTTATCTCGTTTAACATGTAAATGTGTGTAAATGTCTTTGGGCTAAACACAGCCTGGGTTCGACTACGGTAAACACGTCAAAAGTCTAACTGAAGATCGCTCTGGTCCGACAGGCTTGAAATAGCAACACATCCTCAAAGTCGAAGCATTCCAGGTGTAAAACGTGGCTGGATTTGCATATTCACCGTTTCTAACCGGCTCTGGCTCCTTCAGCAGTAATGTGATGTTTAGGAGGCTTTGAAACTGCCTTTTCCAAAACCCAAACATTCTTCTCCACGGTTCAGTGCCGAGAAACTGGTGCTTGATCGTAGCTATCGGCGGGCTTCACCTGCCGTGGACCCAAACCTGTCTAGACACAATTAGTTTGGAGTGAGACGTCTTATTTACCGAGATGATTGTGTGTATTGAAGCTGCAGCAAAACTAATCTGACTAGATTATGTTGTAACTAGAATTGTCTGCGGGATTTAGCGAAAAGAGACCGTTCATTCACTTCACTTTGAAGAGTTGAGACGAGGCCCGGAGCGGCTCCAACGATGCACCAACAACCACTGAACCAGGATTACTTCAATATTTTGATTACCTTCGACTGATCTAAAGTCTGAACCCATCGTGTAAGTATTTATGAGGAAACGGTCAAAACAACAGGTACAGAAAGCACGACATGGTGGCTGAGTGGTTAGCACTCTCGCCTCTCAGCAAGAAGGTTCTGGGTTCAAATCCCGGTCGGAACAGGGCCTTTCTGAGTGGAGTTTGCATGTTCTCTCTGTGTCTGCGTAGGTTTCCTCCAGTTTCCCCTATACCACTAAAAACATGTGCAAAAGTTCAGGGTGAATGAGTGTGTGTGTGTGAGTGCGAATGTGTTCATGAACATGTACTGTCCCAACCAAATAAACTATAAATAAAAGGACCGACCATTAAGATTTGTGAAGTCCTCATAGTGATAACTATTAAACCTGTTGGTTGTAGGTCTTTGCGCTGCTGCAGCTGTCAAAAGCCGTGCATACACTGTAAAATACAGCTGCTGAAGCATTTGTAATGTGAAATTGAAGGCTCAGTGAAAGTAGAAATATACAAAATGTGTAAAAGGCTAAAGAGAAACAGATTGAAAATAAATGAATGAAATAAGAATAATACAAATGATTAGAATGTGATGCTTACTATTTAATTACCAAAACATATTCCTCAGACAGAGATACACGTGCACATGATTAGAAAAGACTTCCGTTTATCACCTCCTTCTTTACTCTGACACTTAGAGCCTCACACTTGCGCTGGTCATTAAAATGCTATTCTCTATAACAGCCTGGATTAGCACGAGCACCTTAAACGCCTCTGTGCTCCGCTCTGCTGACCTCATCTCCCAGAACGCTTCATTACGTCGTCCCCTGAACCGTCTCTGCGGCGTTACCGCCCGCCGAGCCGCTCCCCGCGCTGACCTTCTACCTCCCCACTCATTCTCTCCCGTCGCGGCTAATTGTGATCACAGCTAGCATGAACGCTAACCCCGTCATTAGCATCTCTGATCATCACCGCTAATTGCCCTCTATAAATCAAAACTGTGATAGTGCTGGTGTGAAGGGACAGCCTTTGAATAATACAGTAACATGGTTTGGTGTGTGAAGGATGTTTGGATTAAATAATAATACTCTTTCTTATTCGGCAAAAGTGTGTTTTCAAAGTTTCATCTTAAAGATAAGATATTCAGAAATTATGTGAGATTTCTGTTTAGGATTCATGCATTTAAATCAGAATCAGAAATATTTGTATTGCCATGTGAGTCATAATAAGTCACAAACTAGGAAATTGCTTTGGCTCTCGGTGCAAACAGGTCAAAAAGTAAAAAATAGAATAAAGCAAGGACTTGAAAGAGAAAGTCTGCTCCAGAAACCACATCACCCCCGTCCTCAAACCACTCCATGCCTCCCTGTTCCATAGGTCCTCCTCCTTCTCACCTTCAAGTCGCTCCAAAACCTGCAGCTTCATAACTCACTGACCTCCGCCATCATCACTGTCCCCCACGCGACCTTGGGGGGCCGAGCCTTCACCGTAGCTGCCCCCACTCGGAAACTGCCGCTACTACAGAACTTTAACTTGATTCTCAAAACCCACCTGTTTCAGCCTTTCCTTAATTTTGTTATTGAAAAATGTATTATCATTATTAATGTAGCAATATGTTAGATTTTCATGTCAAGTCATCATTAAAGGGCCTTTATATGTCATCATTAAAGGGCCCTAAACTGTCATCATTAAAGGGCCCTAATATGTCATCATTAAAGGGCCCTAATCTGTCGTCATTAAAGGGCCCTAATCTGTCGTCATTAAAGGGCCCTAATCTGTCATCATTAAAGGGCCCTAATCTGTCATCATTAAAGGGCCCTAATCTGTCGTCATTAAAGGGCCCTAATCTGTCATCATTAAAGGGCCCTAATCTGTCATCATTAAAGGGCCCTAATCTGTCGTCATTAAAGGGCCCTAATCTGTCATCATTAAAGGGCCCTAATCTGTCGTCATTAAAGGGCCCTAATCTGTCATCATTAAAGGGCCCTAATCTGTCGTCATTAAAGGGCCCTAATATGTCATCATTAAAGGGCCCTAATCTGTCGTCATTAAAGGGCCCTAATATGTCATCATTAAAGGGCCCTAATCTGTCGTCATTAAAGGGCCCTAATCTGTCAAAAGGCATTAATAAAACCTGCTCTTTTCCAATACTTCTTTAACTGATAACAGTAGTTCAGAGATATCTGAATTTCTAAATGACTTTTCCAGCCTCTAAATCTTGTTATTGTTTTCATTTCGATGTCCCGCCCTCCACCGTTTCACCAATCAGAAAGTCTGTGATCCGGGCGCCAGAACTCACCGCGTAGAGCTAATCTCACTGGTAAAGTACCATGTGGAGCTAATCTCACTGGTAAAGTACCATGTGGAGCTAATCTCACTGGTAAAGTACCATGTGGAGCTAATCTCACTGGTAAAGTACCATGTGGAGCTAATCTCACTGGTAAAGTACCATGTGGAGCTAATCTCACTGGTAAAGTACCATGTGGAGCTAATCTCACTGGTAAAGTACCATGTGGCTCAGAACTAAAAAAGGTCTCGTTATTATTCTCAAATCATTAACGACAAAACAAGGAATAAAACCAGGATTTCTATCTTTGTGAAAAAGGTGTTGGTTATAGATTTGTTGTTGACAAAACTCTTGTCTATTCAGCTGTTATGGTCCCAGCTGGATTCGTCTGCATATCTGGCAACCTCAGTCAGGGAGAGTGGGAGAGGCTGCAGTACCACTTTTGGCCACATTTTTACACACTGCTCCTTTAAGTAAATCTGTTGGTCCTGATTTTTAGAGAAAGAAATCACATTGCAATTGTTTCTTTTTAATTCAGTATCCGTCGTAACCTGCCCTGACCCAGTGGAACATGTGCGTCTATACCGAGAGTGGAGTTATTAATACTCAGACTGTATTATCCTCTGACAGACACTGATCGCATGTTTCCGAGCCTTTGTTGGTGATGGCAGCTGGGTTATTGTTGGGGCGCGCCGCTGAGGATGATGGGAAAATAAAACCCTAGCCCTGTCATCGCCGCTTCCCACCCACATTTTCTCTGCCGTTGTGGCGCGGTGTCATTTACGGCGCAGCGATAAAGACGTCTGGTTAACTCTCTGGATTATAGTGGGGCCTTAAAATAAGAGTTTAGAGTTGGCAGCTGTGGGATTAGCAGATCAGGCTTGAATGCCTCCATCAGCGCATGTGTACAGTGAGATCCAGATTAATGGTCCGGTCCAATTTAAATGGATTGCTTCAAATGCATGTAATCCCAGGCATGTCGATCGGGCTGCCCGGGTCCAAAACCATGAAGACGTACGGACTAGAGGTCGGACTCAACTATTCAACTATTCATTGAGTTATTTATATGTCTGTAATTAATGTATTGTCCCAACCGCTGTTTTCCAGACTATAAGCTGCACCTGTTCCATGTTGTAATGTTAGAAATGTGGCTCAAAACTTGAAGTGAGTCAGTGACCGCTGTTTTTAATCTTCCAGCGTGAAGCAGAAAGATAAGGAGAAACATGTACCTTTACTCTGTGTAAATATCTCATGTAGTACATTGATTTTTGGTTCTCTGTATAAACATGAAAGTGAACAAAGATATTATAAGTGAAAACGTTTAAACTGTATTTAATCTGCCTAGTAACAGAAAAGGTAAAGGTGCAACCCATCCTGAGGAGGGGTCAATGACACGAATAAGTCCCGAAATGTCCGCGGTATAATCTATAATTAGACATTGATTCTAGTGTTATTCCCATTCCCGTTAATAGCCATAAAGTAGTCTTCTGTCCTGTTCATTCTTCCATTCTCAAAGCTTCCAACACGACGTGTCCTAAATGTAACTGTCTCCCCAAAGTCCAATACCATTTTGTTAAAGGCATCTATTTTTCTTTGAGGTTTGAGCCCATCTGACATGATCCTGTGAATATCTACATTTTTATTAAAATGTAGTTAAATGTAGTTAAATTGAAATAACAGCAGCACGTTCAGAATCTGTTTAGTTTTTGTTCTTTCAATGGAAAACACAGACAGCAGTTGACTGCTCGTGTCTGGCTTTGGCGTCAACATTTAAACGTATTAAAACTATATCTGGAAAGATGTTAAATAGCAAAAACACATGTCTCGTTCCAAAATACAACAGTACTATTTTTAAAACCTTTACTCTGCGCTTGTTTTGCTTGTCAGGAGGCAGGTGTGAGCTGGAGCAGACTCTGAAACACACGCCTCATTAGTCAAATAAACAGGTTGCTATGGTTACCTCCAAAAACACTGAGCAGGTGTCGGGAAAGATGGCTACAAACATACAACAGCTATTGGCATGCTGGTTCTGTGTGCTGCTGGTTCTGTGTGCTGCTGGTCCTGTGTGCTGCTGGTCCTGTGTGCTGCTGGTCCTGTGTGCTGCTGGTTCTGTGTGCTGCTGGTTCTGTGTGCTGCTGGTTCTGTGTGCTGCTGGTTCTGTGTGCTGCTGGTTCTGTGTGCTGCTGGTTCTGTGTGCTGCTGGTTCTGTGTGCTGCTGGTCCTGTGTGCTGCTGGTTCTGTGTGCTGCTGGTTCTGTGCTGCTGGTCTGTGTGCTGCTGGTTCTGTGTGCTGCTGGTCTGTGTGCTGCTGGTCCTGTGTGCTGCTGGTCCTGTGTGCTGCTGGTCCTGTGTGCTGCTGGTCCTGTGTGCTGCTGGTCCTGTGTGCTGCTGGTCTGTGTGTGCTGCTGTCCTGTGTGCTGCTGGTCCTGTGTGCTGCTGCTGTCCTGTGTGCTGCTGGTTCTGTGTGCTGCTGGTTCTGTGTGCTGCTGGTTCTGTGTGCTGCTGGTTCTGTGTGCTGCTGGTTCTGTGTGCTGCTGGTTCTGTGTGCTGCTGGTTCTGTGTGCTGCTGGTGTGTGTGCTGCTGGTCCTGTGTGTGCTGGTCCTGTGTGCTGCTGGTCCTGTGTGCTGCTGGTCTGTGTGCTGCTGGTTCTGTGTGCTGCTGGTCTGTGTGCTGCTGGTCCTGTGTGCTGCTGGTCCTGTGTGCTGCTGGTCCTGTGTGCTGCTGGTCCTGTGTGCTGCTGGTCCTGTGTGCTGCTGGTCCTGTGTGCTGCTGGTCCTGTGTGCTGCTGGTCCTGTGTGCTGCTGGTCCTGTGTGCTGCTGGTCTGTGTGCTGCTGGTCCTGTGTGCTGCTGGTTCTGTGTGCTGCTGGTTCTGTGTGCTGCTGGTTCTGTGTGCTGCTGGTCTGTGTGCTGCTGGTCCTGTGTGCTGCTGGTCCTGTGTGCTGCTGGTCCTGTGTGTGCTGCTGGTCCTGTGCTGCTGGTCCTGTGTGCTGCTGGTTCTGTGTGCTGCTGGTTCTGTGTGCTGCTGGTCCTGTGTGCTGCTGGTCCTGTGTGCTGCTGGTCCTGTGTGCTGCTGGTTCTGTGTGCTGCTGGTTCTGTGTGCTGCTGGTTCTGTGTGCTGCTGGTTCTGTGTGCTGCTGGTTCTGTGTGCTGCTGGTTCTGTGTGCTGCTGGTTCTGTGTGCTGCTGGTCCTGTGTGCTGCTGGTCCTGTGTGCTGCTGGTTCTGTGTGCTGCTGGTTCTGTGTGCTGCTGGTTCTGTGTGCTGCTGGTCCTGTGTGCTGCTGGTCCTGTGTGCTGCTGGTCCTGTGTGCTGCTGGTCCTGTGTGCTGCTGGTCCTGTGTGCTGCTGGTCCTGTGTGCTGCTGGTCCTGTGTGCTGCTGGTCCTGTGTGCTGCTGGTCCTGTGTGCTGCTGGTCCTGTGTGCTGCTGGTCCTGTGTGCTGCTGTGTCTGTGTGCTGCTGGTCCTGTGTGCTGCTGGTTCTGTGTGCTGCTGGTTCTGTGTGCTGCTGGTTCTGTGTGCTGCTGGTTCTGTGTGCTGCTGGTTCTGTGTGCTGCTGGTTCTGTGTGCTGCTGGTTCTGTGTGCTGCTGGTTCTGTGTGCTGCTGGTCCTGTGTGCTGCTGGTTCTGTGTGCTGCTGGTTCTGTGTGCTGCTGGTTCTGTGTGCTGCTGGTCCTGTGTGCTGCTGGTCCTGTGTGCTGCTGGTCCTGTGTGCTGCTGGTCCTGTGTGCTGCTGGTCCTGTGTGCTGCTGGTTCTGTGTGCTGCTGGTCCTGTGTGCTGCTGGTTCTGTGTGCTGCTCAGACACACAGCCGCAGACAGACACTTGGACACAGCCGCAGAGAGCAGCCACAGCCGCAGAGAGCAGCCACAGCCGCAGAGAGCAGCCACAGCCGCAGAGAGCAGCCACAGCCGCAGAGAGCAGCCACAGCCGCAGAGAGCAGCCACAGCCCGCAGAGAGCAGCCACAGAGAGCAGCCACAGCCGCAGAGAGCAGCCACAGCCGCAGAGAGCAGCCACAGCTGCAGAGAGCAGCCACAGCCGCAGAGAGCAGCCACAGAGAGCAGCCACAGCCGCAGAGAGCAGCCACAGCCGCAGAGAGCAGCCACAGCCGCAGAGAGCAGACACAGCCACAGAGAGCAGCCACAGCCGCAGAGAGCAGCCACAGCCGCAGAGAGCAGCCACAGCCGCAGAGAGCAGCCACAGCCGCAGAGAGCAGACACAGTAGCAGAGAGCAGCCACAGCCGCAGACAGACACTTGGACACAGCCGCAGAGAGCAGCCACAGCCGCAGAGAGCAGCCGCAGAGAGCAGCCACAGCCGCAGAGAGCAGCCACAGCCGCAGAGAGCAGCCACAGCCGCAGAGAGCAGCCGCAGAGAGCAGCCACAGCCACAGAGAGCAGCCACAGCCGCAGACAGACACTTGGACACAGCCGCAGAGAGCAGCCACAGCCGCAGAGAGCAGCCACAGCCGCAGAGAGCAGCCACAGCCACAGAGAGCAGCCACAGCCACAGAGAGCAGCCACAGCCACAGAGAGCAGCCACAGCCGCAGACAGACACTTGGACACAGCCGCAGAGAGCAGCCACAGCCGCAGAGAGCAGCCACAGCCACAGAGAGCAGCCACAGCCGCAGAGAGCAGCCACAGCCGCAGAGAGCAGCCACAGCCGCAGAGAGCAGCCACAGCCGCAGAGAGCAGACACAGTAGCAGAGAGCAGCCACAGCCGCAGACAGACACTTGGACACAGCCGCAGAGAGCAGCCACAGCCGCAGAGAGCAGCCGCAGAGAGCAGCCACAGCCGCAGAGAGCAGCCACAGCCGCAGAGAGCAGCCACAGCCGCAGAGCAGCAGCCGCAGAGAGCAGCCACAGCCACAGCCACAGAGCAGCCACACAGCCGCAGACAGACACTTGGACACAGCCGCAGAGAGCAGCCACAGCCGCAGAGAGCAGCCACAGCCGCAGAGAGCAGCCACAGCCACAGAGAGCAGCCACAGCCACAGAGAGCAGCCACAGCCGCAGAGAGCAGCCACAGCCACAGAGAGCAGCCACAGCCGCAGACAGACACTTGGACACAGCCGCAGAGAGCAGCCACAGCCGCAGAGAGCAGCCACAGCCACAGAGAGCAGCCACAGCCACAGAGAGCAGACAGAGATGGAGGAGGTGAGTGTCTCTGACAGGAAGAATCTTCCTCAGAGCAGAAACACGTTTCCAAACATAAACTGTCGGTTCAGTCTCTGCTCTCTCTGGAATCTGGATCCATGTCCAGAAGAAATCAGGTGTAAAGGGTTGTCACCGACGCAGAATGATTGGAAAAAACAGATATTATGCTTCTGCACTAATAATGAAGCACCATCATTCCATTCTTTTACATCAATTACATCTCACTTTGAAATGCTCTTGAAGTATTTCCATTTGCACAATGAGTAATTATTGAAATGCATTTAAGGTTCTAAGCTGCTTTGAAACCTATTCTTTTCCCATTCACTTTGGGAAAATAGCTTTGATTAACTTTGGCCAGTAATGCAAGATAAGGCAATCACAGAACATTCAAACGAAAGATACAAATATAAAATCCCTCGGTTGTAGCACAGCTAAACAGAACTGTCTTTAACCTGGTTTTAAACATTGTCAGAGAGGAGGCCTGTCTCACATCTTCAGGAAGACTGTTCCAGATTTTAGCAGCATTAATCTGAAAAGCAGCCTCCCCATGTTTAGTTCTGACTCTGGGCACTAACAGGAGTCCAGTCCCTGTGCTCCTCAGAGTCCCAGCAGGAGTCCAGTCCCTGTGCTCCTCAGAGTCCCAGCAGGAGTCCAGTCCCTGTGCTCCTCAGAGTCCCAGCAGGAGTCCAGTCCCTGTGCTCCTCAGAGTCCCAGCAGGAGTCCAGTCCCTGTGCTCCTCAGAGTCCCAGCAGGAGTCCAGTCCCTGTGCTCCTCAGAGTCCCAGCACGAGGCCAGTCCCTGTGCTCCTCAGAGTCCCAGCAGGAGTCCAGTCCCTGTGCTCCTCAGAGTCCCAGCAGGAGTCCAGTCCCTGTGCTCCTCAGAGTCCCAGCAGGAGTCCAGTCCCTGTGCTCCTCAGAGTCCCAGCAGGAGTCCAGTCCCTGTGCTCCTCAGAGTCCCAGCAGGAGTCCAGTCCCTGTGCTCCTCAGAGTCCCAGCAGGAGGCCAGTCCCTGTGCTCCTCAGAGTCCCAGCAGGAGTCCAGTCCCTGTGGTCCTCAGAGTCCCAGCAGGAGTCCAGTCCCTGTGCTCCTCAGAGTCCCAACAGGAGTCCAGTCCCTGTGCTCCTCAGAGTCCCAGCAGGAGTCCAGTCCCTGTGCTCCTCAGAGTCCCAGCAGGAGGCCAGTCCCTGTGCTCCTCAGAGTCCCAGCAGGAGTCCAGTCCCTGTGCTCCTCAGAGTCCCAGCAGGAGTCCAGTCCCTGTGCTCCTCAGAGTCCCAGCAGGAGTCCAGTCCCTGTGCTCCTCAGAGTCCCAGCAGGAGGCCAGTCCCTGTGCTCCTCAGAGTCCCAGCAGGAGGCCAGTCCCTGTGCTCCTCAGAGTCCCAGCAGGAGTCCAGTCCCTGTGCTCCTCAGAGTCCCAGCAGGAGTCCAGTCCCTGTGCTCCTCAGAGTCCCAGCAGGAGGCCAGTCCCTGTGCTCCTCAGAGTCCCAGCAGGAGGCCAGTCCCTGTGCTCCTCAGAGTCCCAGCAGGAGTCCAGTCCCTGTGCTCCTCAGAGTCCGGGCTGGTTCATATGGGACTAACATGTCACTAATATATTTTGGTGCGAGGCCATGGAGAGACTTGTAACAAGCAGAGCTGTTTTAAAGTCTATTCTCTGAGCCACAGGAAGCCAGTGCAGAGACCTGAGGACTGGACTAATGTGGTCGTACTTCCTGGTTCTAGTCTGGACTAATGTGGTCGTACTTCCTGGTTCTAGTCAGGACTAATGTGGTCGTACTTCCTGGTTCTAGTCAGGACTAATATGGTCGTACTTCCTGGTTCTAGTCAGGACTAATGTGGTCGTACTTCCTGGTTCTAGTCAGGACTAATGTGGTCGTACTTCCTGGTTCTAGTCAGGACTAATGTGGTCGTACTTCCTGGTTCTAGTCAGGACTAATGTGGTCGTACTTCCTGGTTCTAGTCAGGACTAATGTCGTCGTACTTCCTGGTTCTAGTCAGGACTAATGTGGTCGTACTTCCTGGTTCTAGTCAGGACTAATGTGGTCGTACTTCCTGGTTCTAGTCAGGACTAATGTGGTCGTACTTCCTGGTTCTAGTCTGGACTAATGTGGTCGTCTTTGGTCAACGGCAAGTCCTGGACCCTAGAACCCAAAACCTAAAGTGTGTCATCTGCCAGGATGAGGACTGTCAGGATTCAATTTGTTTTTTTTGTTTTTGTATAGCCCTAAATCAGAACAAGAGTCTTTAGGACTTCACAAAGTTGTGGATTCGCCAGCTCAGATCAGAAAACCAAACAGTTCAAATGTAGGAAATTCAATTATAGCAAACGCATGTGGGAGCCATTGGTCTATAGCTGTCAGACTGTACAATAAGTCACTTTCAGACTGTAAACTCGCACTGACAGTAGCTTTTTTATCGTACATAAAAAAAGGCTTTATTGGACAAAATAAAGGTATATTTTCTTTTTGTTGTTTGCCCATTATTCGTCTGTCTGCACACCCTTTGATCTCTTTATGTCAAATATGACGTGGAAGATTGTCCATTGTGAGATCAATACAGTTTCATCTGATCTTATAGGAGACATACAATAAATACCAGTGGATAGAGCTTGTGTCTCACAGCAAGAAGGTCCTTGGTGGAGTTTGCATGTTCTCCCTGGGTCTGTAGGTTTCCTCCAGGTGCTCCGGTTTCCCCTACCACTAAAAACATGTAAAATAGGTCTGAATGTAATGAGTGAATGAACAGATGGGGCTTTGATGCTCCAGTGTGTTCGGCTCCTCGCTTTCTTCATCAACTCTGAATATTGGCCTGGACTCGAGGGCTGCAACCCCCTCCCCTCCCCTCTCCTGGGAGCTGCCTCAGTCCTCGTTCTACAGCCTGACTCCTGGATCTATAACCCTTCAGAGTGGATCCCTCCCTCTATGTGGGCCTCCAGGAGTTTCTCATTTTTTCCCCACTGTTTTTATTTTGCCGATGCAGGAGGGTCAAAGGCCAGAGGTCCAAGACATTTATGGACATTGGTCATCGTCCCCTTCTGCCTCTTTGTGTTTATAATTGTGGCATTTCCTGTCTTCAAACTGCACTGTAAACCCGAACAATTTAGCAGTAATTAAAAAATTTTATGTAAACGGTTGCCTTACCTTTTTTAACTTTATGGTATTGAATTGTTTAATTGCTCCAATTTAAAAAGATTATGTACTGTGTCCTTAAAGTTTTTGATTTGAGTTAATTAAATTTTTTGGTCAGTGAAAACACATTTTTAATTTAAGTGAGAATTGTATTTTTTAATTATTTGTAATTAAATTATTATCTCAGAGTAATCTTATATTTTGATTGCTGAAAAATTATATTTTTTAACCAATTTAACACAAGTAAATCATTAGATATATGTGCTGCTTACTTAATATTTTTAACTTGTAGCAATCAAGTAATTTAATACCATGAACTTATAAAAAGTAAGGCAACCATTTACCTCAAAACTTTAAGTTACCATTTAATTAAAAATACATTAAATCATTTGGTACTTGAAAAAGTTAAGTGAAAAAGACTTTTGAAAATTACATTTTTATTAATGCAAAATATGTTTCAAAATGTCATTAGAGCCATAAAAGGCCAACAAGAGTACAACAATTCTTTTACTCAACAGGAAGTTTCTCAAAAGGGAAAAGTTAGTCTGAGAGAAAGCTTGAAAAGTCAAGCCCCTGAACTATTTTTGTTCAAACAACAAAAATCGGTAAATCAATTCTTAAAGCCAGATTGGCTTAGGTGCAAGTGTACCAACAGTTCACACATGTTTATAAAGGTAGCTTTACAGTTTGTGTGTCTTGAATGTATTTAACAAAATAAAAAATACACACAGAAAAAGACAGTTGAAAAGGTTATCCGTTTAGATTGTCAACTCATTTTTCAAAGTCTGCAGTCTAGGGGAAAGCTTGCCATCATCAAGTGCAAGAATAACTTTTTGCACCAACTCAAACGTTAGCTTCAGCTGTTTGGGATAACTGATGTGAAATGCGTATATGAGTCCAAACATTACCAGGAAGGCTTCTGGAAAGTTTTCTAAGGTCACAACCTCTTGACCCTCCAACACTACGGAGACCTGGTTTCCATAGTTCACTGGGCGGTCGCCAAAATGGACTTTGGATAGAATGGCTACAGGTGAAGTGGATAGATCCGGCACCTCTGCATCCTCCTGTGACAACATGTACACAGATACAAGATGGATCGAAACAAATAAGGATAAAGTAGTTTAAAATATTTTTTTACACAGGCACCTACTTCTGAAGTGATGAAAACCCCTGATATTTCTTCACGCAGGAAAGCAGGTAGACAATGGAGCACGGTTGTGCGTCGAGTGTGGACATCATGTTGGATCTGGGATAAAAAAAAAAAAAAAGAGTTTAGGGTATGTTAGGTCAGGAAAATAAAATATAGAGACAGCAGAGGAGGAAGAGGCAGCAGGAGAAACAAAGGAGAGGAGGCGACAGGAGAGACAGCAGGATGGACGACAGCAGAGAAAAGGAAACAGCAGAGATAAGCAGACAACAGCATAAAGAGCCAAGCGGAGAGAAAAGGCGACGAGAGCAGAGGGAGGAGAGAATAAGAGCGAGAGAGGAGAGCAGAAAGGAGAGAGCAGAGAAGGGAGCGAGAGAGGAGAGAGCGGAGGGAGGAAAGAGCAGAGAACGAGGAAGGAGAGGAGAAAGAGTGAGGAGAGCGCATAGAAGAGAGCAGAAAGGAGCAGAGAAGAGCAGGGAGGAGGAATGAGCAGAAAAGAGCGAGAGCAGAAAGGAGAGGAGAGAAGAGCGTGAGGAGAGAAAAAAGGGGTGAGAGGAGGAGGAGAGAGAAAAGTGAGAGAGCAGAGAACGAGAGAGGAAGGAGAGGAGTAGACGAAGAAAGCAGAGCAGAGAGGAGAGCAGAAAAGGGAGTGAGCCGAAAAGGAGAGGAGAGCAAGAAAAGGAGGAGAGCAGAGAAAAGAGGAGAGGAGAGAGAAGGAGCAGAAAGAAGGAGAGCAGAGGAGAGAAGGAGAGGAGAGCAGAGAGAAGGAGCAGAGAGAAGGAGAGGAGAGCAGAGAGAAGGAGGAGAGCAGAGAAGGAGGAGAGCAGAGAGAAGGAGGAGAGCAGAGAAGGAGAGCAGAGAGGGAGGCAGAGGAGAGAGAGAGAGAGAGAGGAGAGAGAGAGGCAGAGAGAGAGAGCAGAAAAGAGCGAAAGAGCAGTAGAAGGAGAGGAAAGCAGAGAAGGGAGGGGAGAGCAGAGAGGAAAGGAGCTGAGCAAAGAGCGAGAGGAGAGAGCAGAAAGGAGGGAGGAGAGAGAAAGCAGAGGGGAGAAATGAAGGAGAAAAAGTACAACCCTGTTAAATTAAAGGAACTATGAGGGTGCAGAGTGAATGCCAGATAAAAATACAAATCCCATAAAAAGTGCTGAACTGCACAGTATAGTACCTGCTCATCATGAACTTTTAAAATGGACGCCAAAGCATCAGCAGTCTTGCCGTTTTTAGATGCCTTTTGTCTGAACAGTGTCATCAGACGGTTGGTGTACACATCTAGTCCAGCATAGAAGGAATTCTGAAGATTCAGGTTGGTTATGCGTTGAAATTCAGCATGCACCTGCAAAAATAAAAGAAAAGTTGTAAATCCATTACCAGCAAAAAAAAAATGTTCTGTTTCGATTACCATAGACGGCAACTGAAGCGCAGGCCAAAGCTCCAGCAAGGTCTTCACCGGTGCTGCAGAAACCACAATGTTTTGTCTCCGAAGGGCAAAGGTACTTTGCATTAGTTTTCCAACTGTGGCCATGTTCTTGTCTACTTTTTTCATCTCCTCCACAATTTTTTCTCTTTGTTCTTCAAGTGTAGATGCATTCTCTCCTTGAGGGAAGTTGGGCAGAAAGTTTACTTCCGCTCGTCTTGCCTTTTTAATAGCGGAATGTGAACACTCTCCATCCGGGTTACTGTGACTTCTTTTGCCAGCGTTCACCATTACTTCCTGACACCCAGCTTTTCTCATTTTGGTTCGTATGTTTGCCATTTTGTATGTCAAGCTATTTGCCCAGGCATCATATCCTGTTCCTGATCCTTTTTCCTTTAAACATGGGTGTTTTTCGACAAGTGCTGCAGCTGCCTTTTGTATCTCACTTTTGCTTTGGTAAGGCTTAAATCCATATATCACTGATGCCATTTTGTCTAGTATGTCATGTCTCTGATCCCTGGTAAGCTTTAGTTGACTGCCATTTCTTTCAAATTCTACCAGACCATCCCTTAAAATCAGCTCTACGTCGAGACCAAATGACGGTACAGGAAACTGAACAGTTGGCCATCTACACAAACGCTCAGGGGAAGATGCGCCTGATACAATGTCAGTTGATGTTTCACTTGAATCTTCTGTGCGCTTTATATGAACCACGGCTTTTTGTGGTAGTTCATTTATGTCAACCAGAGATGTGAGCTTGCCGTCAAAATCAGGGTCTTCATACATCAGAGTGAAGTCTGAGTCAATACTTAAACCCTCCTTTAATCTATGAATTAGCACTTGAACAGAGGAAGGGCGATAGTTAAGTTTAAATTTCCGCACGCTGTCTGGCTCAACAACACGCAAAATCAAGTGTTCCGTTTCACTGTCCATTTCTGCAAAAAAGTAAAAAATAAAAAATTCAGTTGTGACAATTTGTATACATGCATCGCAATAACTTATTCAGGCTTATTTTGAGCACTGCAGCCGCCAATTAAATTCTTTACAGTGGTTGAATTAATGTGAGTAAACTGTTTTAGTGTAGGTAATTCATGCAATTCACTCTGCAATCAGCGGAGAAGCAAGTTGTTCCATCACGATGAGTTTTCAGGAAACAATCCAATTAATAATGAATCCACAAAATTAGATGCCAAAGCAATGCATATATTTTTTGAATATCATTGATTATATATTTTGTTGTTAAAAGCTCAAGTCAGACACTTCATATAGTGTAACTGTCTTATTGGCTGCAGAGGGAAGATAAAAAATATCAATAAGATGATAATGATTTGTCACATTATGAATTTTACACTTTATATCCTATTCAAAAAAGGATGCATACTTGCATATCATCACTCACTGAATTTATTCTTTAACCAGGATGAATTTCCTTGGGGTCAGGATCAGAATACCACTGGTCTTGTAAGCCGAGAGTGGTGTTGGATCATTGAAGTCACACTGCTGGTGGATAGACAAATGTTGTGGGGAAGTCAACTCGTATGAACGTAGATGCTCTATAAACCAAGAGACATGTCTAAGGAGGAGAAAATAAACTGAGTTATTCACCAAGTAAATGTCTTTAATTTCTCCAAAAGTAGGAAGCCCACAATAACTTCCCACAGACACAAACATTCCTAGTGCATACTCTATTGCGTCAATGGTGACCTTAGAAGTATGATACACTGTGTTGCTTTCAGTATGTTCTTTAATGAGCGTTTGAGCCACCTCTGGCAACCCCGATACCAAAATGGAATCAACTCGAGTTGCTTGCACCTCAGGCTTGAAGTATGGTGCACTGATATGATATGCCATCATATTTTGATGTTTTGGCCAATGTTTTCAATACATTTTTGAAGTTCTGTGCATCTCTGACTGCCCTCTTGAAAAAACGATGCTTGGCCTCAAATCGCATGGTCCAAACATTTACTATAGGTCCAAAACGCTTAATCAATTCTGGATAGTGTTCCAGATAATGATGTTTTGGCCTTAGCCTGAAATCTGGAAACGCAAGCTGCAATGCCTGCCTATGATCACTGATTTTCCGGCTAAAGAAGTCCAACAGGCCATCTGTGAAAGCGGGACATAATGCTAACTCTACCACATCTTTTAACTCCATAAGCACAGTCCATGACAGGTCACCCTCAGGCACTTTACTACCAATAAGGAAAGGAAGTAACCGGAGAAGAGTTGCATTTTCATGGGCATTACCCCCAATAGTTGCCCTCACTAGGAATGACTTTGGTAATGCCTGTGGTCTGTTCACTTTGTCTGTGTGCTGGTATGGGAATGATGTTATTCTGTGGTTTAAATAGTCAAATGAAAAGAGCTTCCGCCTGATCATTTCTTTTAAGCAAAGAGCTAGTTCCACAGGAACTGCACCCTCTAAGAGGTCATGCAGCAAGTCTGGAGGAAAACCTGATGTTGGGTGGAAATGCTGCAGTGATTCAGCAAGAACACAGGCCCCCTTAACACCATATTTACTGCTGGTAATCTCACTTTCCAAGACCTCTTGGACAAGCAAATCATGACTCTCTTTAGTCCTCATCAAAAACAATTCATCCCCAACTTCATTTTGCTGAAATTGCTCATTTGTAGCCAAGCAAAATCTGCAGACATACTCTCCTCTGAATGACTCTAAAAAGCCTCCTAGTCCATGAGCAGCCAGGTTGTCCGCGCACACACAAAAGATAGTGCCTTTCACGTTGCGGCCCAAAGACTCTATAAAAACGCCATCATTCTCAAGAACCTGGAGCTCACGGATAAGTGGGCCCAGCACAGCAGCATAGCCATATTCATGCACATCACTAACTTTTGCCAACATCGCCAACTGTATAGTGTGCATTGCTGACCTATACTTGGGTTCCAGATTGGAAAGTACCCAGTACACGGCGCATAGCTTATGCACTTTCCGTGATGTACCAAGAGGATTTGCAATTTCAAGGTCATCAATATATAGCTGAATAGCAAAGCACAAGTCTTCAGTGTTCAACAACTTGTTTTCCTTGAAACTAAAACCATCTTGATAAGATGAGTAGTTCCCAATTTCAGTGTTTGTCACATTCAAATGATCGAAGATATCAGTCTTCTTGAACAACTCTTGCAAAGTCTGTAGTAGCGGCACATACATGATAGCACGTCCAGGTCCAACAGTGTATTCAATAGGCTTGACAAGGTTATACTTTTTCTCAATAAATTGTCTCCTTTGTTTGTGTGTTGACAAATCAAACCCCTTCGAGGTTTCACGAAAAACAATATTAGAGTCCATAACTGCCCTAACCACTTCATTCAAAGCATCACTTGTAAGATTGAGGCCATGTTTGAGCAGAGTTGTTTCAATGGCCTCTCTGACTAATGGTTGAGAAAGATCAAAGATCAGATTGAGTTGCTCCACAACATCTTGTATTGCTGCATTCGAAATATGGAGAATTGCCTGCATTTTAAGAAATAAAGAGGCTAAATTTCCCTTTATCAATAGTTTCAGTTTTTCTGAATCGCATATATCAGGTTCAATATATCCTGGGCACTCAACATTTAAAGATACACAAGAACTAGCCACTTCAAGGTTTTCAGTGGGTTCACCAACAATATAATCACAAGTGTCTGGTGAAAGGCCACTATCATGCACTCTACTTTGATGGGAATTAAAAGAAGAGTAAACATTTGTACGATAGTCACAATGAGTGAATGGACATTTCACTGTTTCATGTCTTTTTAAATGCACTCTGACGTGACTAAATACCACAGATTGAGAGAAGGCTTGCTCAAATGGACATAGAGGACACTTAAAAGTCACAAGTTCATGCGTTTGCTCTGGACAGGTCTCTTCAGAACGATGATTTCTAGACAGGTGACTACCAAGAGAAGTAAGTGACTGAAAAGTACAAATGCACTCATCATAGAGGCACGGTAAAGGGCTAACTTTTGAAAAGCGGCCATGTTGTAATCTATAATGTGTATATAGTTGTGCCCTTGTAGTAAAGCTGGGTGCAGCACACAACTTACAATGCCAGGCCATTTGGAAGGGTCAAAATCTGTAAAAAAAAAAAAGAAACACAAAAGTTAATTAAACCATCAATATTTAAAGATATTTACAGTAGAAGTATTTTATTTTAGTCATCATAACTCATTGACTGCCAGCCCATTTCAAAACAGGTACTCCCATATTGCCAGCCATTTCTGATGGTTTTTAATGATTTTTCTGAAAGAATGGACTGTCTTTCATCAGCAAAGATAATTTTGTTTCTAGCTTTTGTTCCCTGTAATCCTCAGTCGAGTAGAGGGAAGTTTTATTGAAATCAACAGAAAGCTGAGAAAAAAGGGCCACAAACAGTGCATCTAGCTGTGATCAAACCATTCATAGAGCAATGCTGCCATCTGCTGGCTTCATAGAATATTGCCTCAAGCCAGTCCCCATACATATAAGATACAATAGACATCTGGGAACGTAAAAATAGCGCGAAACGCAAATGACGTGTTAACACGTCATTGACAGACAACGTTATACCATCACCTCAATGGCAGTCAATGAATTACGTATAAAGTGCATGAACTCATTGACTGCAATAGACGTATTAATACATAGATTCCGTTACACATCATTGTATACAGTATTTTGTTAAGCCAGCAGCGCTAAGACTGATGATTTCTGTCAAACTTCCTTCTATTCACTGAGCGAACAGAAACCTTGAAGTACAGACCATCCAAATTTGATTTTATACTTCACATAATCACGACATGTAATATTCTGTAGGTCTTGAAAACCATTGAAATCATCAAAAACGGGTAGTACTCAATGGGTTAATTAAACTGAAATATCCTGAACTAATTATCTAATAATTACAAAAATATTTCCCTACACTACAATATCATTTATACACATCTGCACATATCCTACCAAACAGACGAATATTAAAAACTACTGGCAAATCTGTTCAACCAAAGAAATTCAGATTCAATTCTTCTAAGATTTTAACATTGAGGGCTGCTAGCACAGAGCACATGCAACGTCATGCTAGCCTAGCACGTGCGCCGCGGTATAGTCAAAAACTTAACACGTTCGGTAGACTATAACTTTGAACACCATAAATATTATGTACAGATTTGAAACATAAGATTTAGTTAACTTTTCAAAGAACATCAAGTCGACCTATAGCCACATGCAGTGATGCCATTGCAAAGCATAAATGTTAGCTAGCATTGGAACAAGCATAAATGTTAGCTAGCATGAACAAGCATAAATGTATTTAAATAGGCAGCTACCAAAAAAATACCGATGATAGACGGGCAACATAATTCTTAAGTGAAATACAAGACAACATATTGCAAGCAAAGAGTGTGTATTTTGAAGATGTTACCTGATACCCTACGAAGCTTGACCGTGGCCGACAGTGTCACGTAGTGGGAACTGACTGGAGATAGATACGCTGCGCATGCGTTGACATCGGGACAGGAAGTCTTCTTTCATAATAAAACTTGGGTCTTGCATAGCTGCCGGTTATCGAAATTTACTACAGACTAAACGCTGAATTTATTCAAGAATTAGCCGTTTCTAAACAGTGTGGGGATGACTGATGTGGATTGAATGTGTATTAGAATTAATTAATTAGAATTAATGATACATCTGCCCTTACCATGGAACTATGGCCCTTACGCGATTGTTGACGTAATTTCCTTCCAGACGAAAAATACACGCTTCCAGCTGTCACGCCGTAAACAAATCGTCAAAACAAAGCGGCAGATACCTGCGAACAGCACTCAAATGGAAACTAGATGACATCACTCCCTAAGTTAAGGTTCTGCCGCTCCAGCTGTTTTTACGTCTGATGTACGAAAACAATTGTATTCGCTGTGTCTAACAAGAGGAGAGCGCTACAGCTTCAGGACTTCAGCCAGACATACGAAATTCGAATTCCATTTATTTGTGCTTGGCATGTGATTCTTTTCGGGGATAATATCCACAAACTTTGGGATTTTGTGAAAGAACACTGTGGGACAAAAACGTATTCGTGTCAGGCGTGGGAGGATTTGGCTTCAAGTGAACAAGACCGCATCACGGTGAGTAAAACGAATGAAGTCATTTTCCGGTTTGGAGCTACAAACTTTGTTTACGTGCGTAGAAGAGCGCCTGCCGCAGATTGTCGAGCAGTCAGTGTTGTGTTAATGTTTTAGCACACATAGGGAGTGTGCAGGTGCTTATGGGTGGGGAGGGTGATGCCGTGGCACGGGGTGTGTAATTGGAGCACACTGTGACAACGTGACATTGAATGAATGGACATCCAATTTCAACGTTTGCTGATAATATAGAAAAAAATGCAACATTACGTGGCTGACGCTGCTTGTTTGCGTTGTCTTGTACTTGTTATCCCAGTTCACATGGCTAACTTCAGTCTCTACTTGCCTCTATTTATCTTCGTGTTGCTTCTAGGAACGAAAGGTGCTTTCACAACATCGAATGCTGATATATCCAGTGGTGGAATGTAATTTAGTAAAAAGTTAAAATTATAGATTTACTTTTCTGATGAATACCTATTCACTACATTTCAGAGCCACTATACATTTAGCAATTTGGTTAAACGTATATTATCAAAGTGACCTATGATGCACTGGTTTAGACCTTATTTGGTCCAGAATTAGACCTGGTGTTTTTTTATTTTATGTTTATACTTCTAACTAAGCACATTCTTTATCAGATTGTTAAAACAAATAATTCGTTCTAAATTAGAAAGCAGTAGTACAGTAAATAAAATAATATAATTTATGATTAATTAAAAGTATTATACTAATAGAAATCAAAATAAATAGTTTCATGCACTGAAAATTGGATACTTGCATTATTAAATTAAAAAATGTAATTAAGTAGTACATTTGTTTAGTTTTAATTTTACACTAATCATTTTTTTTGACTAATTTGAGCACTCGGGTTTACAGTGTGTTTGAAACTCTGATCTGTGTTTGCAAATCAGCAAATCTGTAAGTCTGTCTATAGTCTGTCTGAGCTATACAAAAAATACATTGAAATGAACTGAACTTCCACCAGTAGATAAGAGTGTTCCTCAATGACTGGAAAGCAAGACAACACATATTTTCATTTGTTCAAGTTCAAAACAGCATGAAATACCAAAGTAATCATTCAAGTACGCACACAACACACAACAAGCCACCGTACCAAACACACACAGCCAATCAGCATTCGGCCCACGCTGCCTCTCGGCTCATTAGTATTCTGCCAGTCTCCCCAAAGCGTTGTTGTGTCGGCGAGATGGGCCACCTATCTGGGAAAGTGGGCCCCGGGCCCCGGGCACCAGCAGCTCCTCCTGCCCCCGTCCTAATGGAAACAAACGGCAGAAATAGCATCTGCATCCGGAGATTAGCGAAGTGATGAACGCGAGCAGAATGGAGAGGATCACTCCGACAGAGTGGACAGTCCTGAATGAAGGCGCCGGGTTTGATAATCGAGGACGTTCAACCGTGACTAATGACTACATCTGTGGGATTCTGTTTTTCTACTCAGTTCTGTGTATTTACAAAAGTTCATAGTCATAAAAGTCGTACACGTTCTAGTTTCTAAAGTGTGTAGGGGCTGTGGTAAAGGGAGCGCCCAGGAAGCTGCTTTAATTGTTGTTATTATTAAAAAGTCTTGTACAAAGTTTTTTCCCCAAAGGTTCTTGCATGATTCATTCACTAGAAGGAGATTGTCTTTGAGCTGTTTTATGGGAACCGGTTTAGCAACCGATCCATGAAGGCAGAACACTGTGGCAAAGTTAATTTTGTTTCATGAATTTTTTTTGTATGAAACATTATTTCAAAAAAGAGTAAGTGACATCAGTGTAGTCCATCAGTGGCCTTGGATTAACCACTGACGCAAACAGACGACCGCTGCCCTTTGGCAACGCAATCTCTGCTCGTAATTCAGGTGTGTCATACTCAGGTGTATCTAAGCTACTCCGGCCACAACCATGGATCTATAATAATAACTGGAGAGGGTATTACTAGCTTATAGCTGTCCCACCCATGGGCACAGGGGGCGCTGTGATACTGCAGACTAAATTCACATTACCCACAAAAATGTCCCATAGAACTCAATGTAAACTAAAACAGCTCGACCTCAGCTGACAGAGAACCTGACAGAGAACCTGATAGAGAACCTGATAGAGAACCTGACAGAGAACCTGACAGAGAACCTGATAGAGAACCTACAGCTTTCATAAAGGTCAGATTTATGACCTTTATGAAAGGATTTTTTGGAAAATGTATTTTATTTTTTTTCCTCTGTAGTCTACAGGTGCAGAGGAGAACTCTACAGTAGAAGAGTTGATTGTGGATTTATTCATATTTTTGTATTATGAATGTACCTATGGTTTATGTAGAACCTGTAAGTTTATGAGATAATGTGGGAGGAGCCAGAGTGGTTTAAGAGTAGGCCAGCCTCTACTGTCAGGGTCAGTGTGAGTCTGAACTGGGACAGAGGAGGTAAGCCAGGAGACCTTCTTGCAATGTGTTTTTTTCTGTAAATACTGTAAATATGTTTATTAATCACTGGTTTTTTTTCTGTACAGCACTCCTCTTCAATACTTCATTACTTCATTACTTCATGCTTTATTCTTAATTACTTTATTCTTTATTTTGGGAATAAAACTTTAAAAGTACTCTGGCTGCACCATCATCTTATTTCACATTCAGAACCCCGTCACATGGGGATGTTGGTGTTCCTTGTCGTCCTGAACTTTTTTTCTTCTTAAATTTTCTTCTGTTTTCTTTAAATCCACACTTTACTGCCACAAACTCTGCTACTATCCTTCCCGCTCTGACTCCGCCCTGCTGCTGCTCTGATCAGCTCTGATTGGTCAGAGGCCGAGCCCCTCTGTGCACATGCATGAGAGCCACACACACATATTTGGCACAAAGCATCATGGGAGCTTGTCCACTGCACACAACCAGGAGGACCAGACGATGCCCAAATATGGGCGAGTTCTGCTAATCTCCCCGTCTCCGTGAAGTCCCATGAACTACTGAGAA